AGTCTGATTTGTGACTTTGGCATTACTTAGAAGTTCCATAAACCTTGCTCTTGAGGATTGTATCTATTGCTGAGAAATTTTAGTCACTTTAGAATAATAATTCAATGGTAGGATGTCTAACATTTAAACTTGTTTGGAAAATAGAAGAAAATTAATTCCAGAATATTAAAGTTGGGTATATGTGTGCCAGCTGAAATACATTTTTTCCTGTGCTGTTTAAATGAAGAAGGCCGGACACCTTTTGCTGTAACTCACGGTGCTGATTCTGTTAAGGAGAAATAGTAGAAACCTCAAGTTTATGGGGCTTATCATTTTAAGGCTTACATGTTCAGCCAAAACGGAATTGATGTGATCGGTTTTTTGTCTGGCTGAGTTCTCCCCTAAGATCTCTGTTTCCAGAATGTCTGTTTTCCCAACAACTTGCTCTTTCTGACCAATAAATCACATTGGTATTTTCTCTTGTATTTTCATTGTTGAGTCCTTATAGTTGTTTATGTATCCGGGACAGAAACTCCTTATTGAACGCATGATCACAAACGTGTTTTCCCATTCTGTGGGTTGTCTTTTCCCTTCTGGATGCCATCATTTGTAGTGGACGTGACCTAGTTTGCTACCTGGAGTTAAGCCCCAAGGAGAATGCCTGGACAACCCCAGGACCCGCGAAGAGACCTGGATGGAATTAAAAAAGGCCTTCAAATAAATGGCTGCCAGAGGGGGCAGAGGACAGCCCAAACCGAGGACACAGTGGGCCTTGTGGAGGTTGAAGGACAGCACAAAACCAGTTGGATTCTGTCTCTGTTTAAAGTCCTTCAATGGCTTCCCATTGAATTTAACAAAAATGCCAAACTCCTCGTCACGGACCAGAACCTGGACACTCCAGCGCGGGTGCAGAAGAACAGCAACAACGCCACCTGGGCTGTTGAACAGGTAGAACCTCAGATCCCGCCCCAGACCTTGGAGTAGAGTCTTATTTTATAAATTAAAGGTCCCCAGGTGATTTGTCTGCCATGAAAGCATGAGGGCGTTGGCATACACGATCATAAATGAATAGTTTATACTACGTGGCGACAGTCAAGGTATTTATTTTCTCTTAGAAGGAGACACTATATGTTACATTTGAGGCCTAAAATCCAAGAGTGAAATCCTGCTGGTACAGTGCCTCAAAAACACCCCAGTGCTTTTGCCCTACTTTGCCGTGCCCCTCTGCCAAATAGATCGATTGTCTAAGGAAAAACAAATCCCACCCATCAGCTCTTTCTGGAACACACACAAGATCGAATGATAACTTACAAAATACAAAACAAAGGTAGCAAGAGCTTTGAAATGGTATGTGGGATGTCTGTGTTAAAGAGTTATGGAAGAGTAAAGTGAATATGAGACCAGTTTTAGGAGAAGATCACATTTGCCAGGTGTGGTGGGCTCAGCTATGTTCCCTCAAAGTTGTATGTCGTAGCCTTGACCCCCGGACCTCAGAATGCGACTGTGTTTGGAAGTCAGGCCTTTCAAGAGGTACTTCAGTTGCAGTGAAGCTGTTAGGGTGGTCCTGAGTCCTGTTCAACTGGTGTCCCTGTAAGAAGAGGAGATGGGGACACAGGGAGCGACACCAGGGGCACTCGGGCACAGAAAGGACCCTGTGAGGACACGGTGAGGAGGTGGCCATCTGCAAACCACCAGCAGACATCTCACGAGAAACCGAAACCACTGAACCCCTGATCTAGGCCGTCCGCGCTCCAGAACAGTTAGAGAGTATCTGTTGGCTAAGCCGTCCACTCTGTGACATCTCGTCATGGCTGCCTGAGCAAACCAACACAAGCGTCAACCCACCTTTTGTTTGGAGGGAGAAAGTGTAACTTGATGGGAGAGCCAAAGAAAAAGATGGTTACAGTTCATTAAAATACTTTATTTTAGTTTAGAGTAGGTAGCATGCACACATCACAAAACTCAGTTGTTATAAAAAGGGTGTGCAGTGGAAGAGAACTTTTCCCAAACTCGTCCTGGGTCAGGGCTCCCAGTTCATTCCTTGTCCTAGTGATAGTCTGCACCAGGTCCTCCAGAATTTTTTCAGTTGTACCCTGTGCCTAAAGAGGTGGGCGTGTATGTGCGTGTTATTTCACAATATGTGCCAGCAACAGGATATTTTAACTTTTGTCCAAATGAGTCTATGACCAGTATGTTTTGCAAGTCACTGTTGGTTTTGGCCTATTTGCCTGTTATTTTTCACACATATACACATATTTCTGCTCTCCAGCTTTTTAATAACGTATGTTGTGGCTCCTCTTGTGTCAGGGCATGTATGGCTGTCATGTTTTGTCACTGCTCCACAATGTTCCACAAGTTTTAAACTAGTCTTTGAGAATTGAACATCTTTACGTTAACAATCTTTGTCTTTTATGAACAGCATAGCAATGGGCAGTTTGTACACTGGTCATTGCAAATGTACCTGGATGACTCATTCTAAAAGTGGAAATTCTGGGTTGAAAGAAATGTGCAATTAAAGTTTTAAAAGGGAACCGCTGTATTGCTCTCCATCGAGGCTAATGAATTCACATGCCCACCAGCAAGATAATAAGGTGTCTGTTTCCCTGAACTTGTTCTAGAACCTGGTGATAAATAGTTCTGAACCTTGTTTGCAGTGGTGCTAACCTGAACTTACATTTAATAAAGTGACATAAAGCTTTATACATACATTATACAGTTGTCAGATTCCTGATACTATTTTTTTTTTTGCTGGGTATAATGTGCACTTTTTTGCTTAGTTTTTTGAGGGAATAAATAAGGATGAACATTATACATGGGTAGCACCTGAAACACCTGGCATCTGTTCTTGTGTTTTGTAATTATGTATTACATAAAATTTCTTGTACCATGATATGTTAAAAAATAAGTGCTAAAATTCCTTTATAATACAAAAAAACAAGTATCTAAATATAAATGAATAAAACATTGAATTAACAAATTAAAATATTTTTTCCCTGAAAGTTTGGGCCCAAAATGTGAGTGTGCATCATACATGGCAAAATATGGTTATTATGTAAGATATTAGCATTGGGGGAAATTGGGTGAAGGATACACAAGGCCACTCTGTATTTTTTTTGTAATTTCCTGTGAATCTATAATTATTGCAAAGTAAAAAAAGAAACATAAGAAGCCATTAGAGGGCTTCTACCATCAGAGCGATTCTTATTGGGGCCTCTGGATGGAGACAGTGGCTTCTGTGGTCTTATCTCCCGACCAGCTGGCAGAAAGTGAAAGCCCGTGAGGAACTAGGGGTAGAGGGGCCTCGCCAGGATAATTGGTGAGTCCCATAGCCTATCAGGGGGCTGAATGGTCTTCACAAAATCAAACATCTTTAGAACAGAAAGGCTTTTAAAATAAACGGTCCACTTGGATAATACTGTCTGGGTGCCTGTGTCCAGTTGCAAGGTGGCTCTGGTCATAGGGACAGAAAGGAAGCAGAGTCAGAAGCTCTGCAACAGTACACTCAGTGGCTGGCTGTGATCCACAGTGAATTTCAGCCCCTCGCCCCTCATGATGAACCCTTTCCCCCAGCCCCGGGGCAGTTTAGTCTAGTGAATTTTAATGGGAGGAAACAGAACCACATCTACATAATTTCTAGTACAGAGAACTTGTCCTGGGACAATTTCTGTCTTCTGCAGAATTTGTTTAAACTTGAACCCTTGTGGGAGTCCTGGTGCCTTACTAGGGAACCGAAGTTAAGAATGACGAGGATTCTTCCAACCTTTGAAAAGACCGTTGAAATTCATTTCTTCGTAGAAGTACAGAAATAAGCTCTAAAGAGCTCATTCGGATAAGGATGGTGGGAGTGTCCTGGTGGCCCATGGAAGGCACTAACATAGGTGGGCATTTCTTGGTTTCCATGCAGTGCTTCTATAAACCACTTCTGCCTGGACGTCTGTTGCCTTCCATGCAATAAAGGCTAATATGGTTCCTCACGTGTTGAACCTTTCCCGACTTTAGTTTACATTTGGTTTTGATAGGGGACTCAAGACTTGGAAAATTTTAGCTTAAGGTAAAAAGTTATAAGTCTAGCAAATAATGTGTATGTTAAAGCTTGTGTTTCAGAAACTGCAGAGAAGGCCCATCCTGGCTCTTGGGAAAACAGCCGGCCCCCTGGGGCACTGCTAGAAGGTTACTGCCTGGACATCTGGACCTTTGTTCCAGTGAGAGCAGAGGACCTCCCTCCCCTGGGAACAGCTAACTGCCCAGAACAGGAAGGCTGCAGCTTCACTCACCCAATCCTTCCTGAATTTCAAAGCCCCCACGAACCTTGCTTTTATACACCCGCCCCCACCTCATGACAGGTCTGGCCTGGAAAGAAAAGACAAGATCTGTTTGTTAGAGTATAAACCCGCCATCTTCTCGGACCACCGGCCATCTGAATAAAGGGCCCATAAAAAATTCGATTGCTGTCATTGCTTATTGGATTTGGTAGTGGCGGGCAGCCTGAACGCCGGTGTCTTTTCCGGTTACAGTTTCATGTCTGTTCCTTTAGGGTACACATGAACTCCTATGTGGAACTGTGAGATGAGGGACTTCTACTCCAGGAGGAAGGCACACACTACTTGTATTCAAAACCTAGCTCTCCATGTGATTACCTGATGTAACCTCGTTGTACCTTAGCTTTTCACTTGTGAAACAAATAAATGGGGATAAGAGTGTTTCCTTCACAGGGTTTTGGGAGGAGTAAGTGCTTAGAATAGTGACTGGCCCACACTTGACACTATTTGCAATTGCAGGTCTCAATGTCTCATGTGTGTATTTCACATATGCCCCTAGCAATCATAAAGCTTCCACAGGTAAGGCTGTTCCCCACTTTTCCTGTTACAAATTGTGCCTTGGCTCCGCCTCCCGCTCGGCGAGGGGTGGGGCGAGGGGCGGGGCCCCGCCGATTCCTGGGCGAGACTCCGCGGTGGGCGTGCCCCCAGGCTCCGGCGCCGTGACGTAGGACGTTACCAATTCACGCAGCCGCAGTGCAGGCCGGCCCCCCTAGCTCGGACTGCTTCCCACCCCCGCTTCTCTCTGTCAGTGGCCTGGGTCGAGGCCAGACCTCGGTCGGCGGGCCTAGATCTTCGGCGGCGGGCCCGGCTGGCAGGGCTCGAGGGTGTGGGCGCGGGCCGCGTACAGCCGGCGCTGCAGCCGCTGTCCGAGGCCCTTGACGCCCTCCAATGAGAGGGCTGGACGGTTCCGGGCCGCCCCAGCGCTCGCCCAGGTGAGGGGACTGGGCTCGGTTCGGGTGGGCGGCACGTTATCCAGAGTCTCTGGACCTCAGCCGTGTCGGAGTCGGGGGGTTTGGCTTCGAGGCAGCGGCGTGCCACGGCGTCGGCTCATCTCCCAGTCTTCCGCTGTGCTCACCTGCAGAGTTGGGACCTGCGGAGCTGGTGTCGAAGGTCAGTGGGAAGGCCTGACAGGCCCTGAGAGTCACCTGGCGGGGGCTCGGAGGCCGGAGTAGCCCCTGCGGACGGTGCTGAGGCGGGTGGGCGGCGCCCGCTGGCAGGTGTGTGGCCTCAGCGGGAAGGACCGTGCACCTGCCAGCGGCGGCTACAGCCGCGCGGGCACCTGGTTGCGGGAGGCTGCGTAGCGCTTAATCCCGGGCGGTGGGGCTTCAGAACCCCTTTTCTGCCCAGGCGACGTGTATATAGTATTCTGAATCGGTGCTGGCTGAGTCTGCACAATGGAAGTGGACACATTTCAGCGGAAACATTATCTTGGTCAAAGGGAGGTAAAGGGAAGTTGATTTTGTTCTCTAGAGTCGTCGCTGCCGCCCCCCTCCGCCCACCGCTCCCACTCCCTACACGGCCTTAGTTTCAGCAGCAGAAAGTTAGGGACTGTTGTTAAAGGGAAGGAGAGCTTGTAAATTTCCTCTGTGAGGAAGTCATGGTATCTGAACCGTCTGAGCGTGTGAGTTTCAACTGGTTTCGTGTTGCTGCTTCCCCTCTGTGCACATCAACGAAACGATTCATTCTAAGTTAACCAGGCATGTGAAGTATCAAAACAGATGAATTTACCAGAATATGTATCTTACAAAACTGTTGAGTGGTACATTAGGTGCATACATTACCTCATTTAATCGTCATAACAAGCCTATCATGTAAGGTCTATTATTATTCTCCTTTTGTATGCAAGAAAACTATAAAGCCTGCAACCCTAAAAACAGCTCATCCAAAGTCAGAGCTATGAATAAACCAGGTGACCTGGCTCCAGGTTACAGCAGCCCCGGAATCAGTGTGCTTTGCCATCTCCCAAGCATATTAAAAGTTTGCAGGGTGATTTTCATTGGACAAAAAGTGCTTCAGGGGCCGGGAATAGGAAGGAAACCAGGGTGCCATTCTTGCGGGCAGAGTCCCAGCATTTGAGAGAACTTTTTTAAGGCCACACTATGAGAAGGTTGTACCTACAGGTAGCAGGGTGTGACTGCTGGAACCCTCTGACTATCACGCCATGTGCTTTGAAATGTTTGGAAGGCCATGGGTTGGAAATTGTGGCCTTATTGTAGATTTAGGAGTATTTCTTATTTGGAGACATAAGGAAGACTAACATTAAAGACTTAGCTGCAGGTATAATCAAATAATTTAATCTGAAACTGTGAAACTGCTGGTAAAGCCAAAATATCTGGGTTATTGGTTGAAATCTTTTTGTTTTGTTTTTTTGTTTGTTTGTTTTTTGTTTTAGGTTTGATAAGATGAAACACCACAGATGGGCCTTTTGAAGATAAGGAGAAGGAAAAACAACACTGAAGACGTTGGGGGAAAAAACCCGGGTAAATATTTTAACTAAGTTAGGAAAAAAATCTAATTCCCAATGAAAGCTCAGACAGAGAAAATCCGACTTTCTGTTTCAGTTGTGTTTTAGTCTGCTTTAAATGGTGGGGGACTGGGGGTGGAGCGGGGTGGTACACAGCTTGATCTGCCAGTCATTTTACTGGACTTTGGAACTACCGATATCTTCCGGACAGTTGAGTCACGTGCTGAGTTTGTGTGTTGGAAGCATAAGGCCGCGGACGGCTTTGGCTGGACTACCCAGTGTCGCTGTGCTTTTCTCTCTTTTGCATGCACGTTGATCTTCCCCTGTTATAAAGGATTTAAAAAGAAATGATGAAAATTAGTTGACTTCTGGTTTGTTCTTCATAGAACACTGTGTGTGGTTGAACTCAGGTGCATTTTTACTATGAGTCCTGTGGAGAATAGTAAAAGCTATGGTTTAGCATGACTAAGAAACATTTAATTCAATTGGTAAATATTTGGTGAGTACCACAGTGTCAGGCATTATTTCAGGCCTCTAGTAATAGAGCAGTGGTCACCATGGCCCTGAAGGCCACCAGAGCAGTGAGACTTTTTCTAGAATGTAATATTTTTTGTAAATCCATACATTTTCTTGTTTTTTATTCAAGGATGTTTTTGCTTTATGTAAAAGATTAGGAAAGTAGCCCTATGTAACTGTATTGTAGATGTTTGTATTTATAATCTTCCATATTATTTTCAGTATTAAAGGAAGATAGCCTCAGTGCTACTTCAGGGACAGTGGGAAACTAGGATTCTACAGACCTCATTTTTGCATACGTTTTTCACGTTAGAGATAGTGCTAGGATTGCAGAATTTCATGGGAGGCTAAGAAAACATTAAATCTACAATTTGTGAAAATTTCGGGAAATTTCTGTGTGACAAATAGAAGTGACACCGTCAGATAGGCAGTCTGGATGGTGACTTGGAGAGAGAGGAGCTTGGGGGCGTGGTGATCAAGGACAGGCCATTGCAGTCACCCAGGTGAGTGATGAGAAACAGAATTGAAACAGTGCGGATGGGAAGTGAGGACGCAGATGGACTGGACAGTTGCAGAGGTGCCAGAACGGGCAGGATTTAGTGGGCTGGAGAGACAGTGGCATCTGTGTGCTTCCTTGTCACTGTCGTGCTCAAGCCCGTAACATTTAAGAAATACTTGCAGTGTGAGTGAAATGGATTACCTGAGGTCTCGGGACACTGAGTGGACGCTGGGGCCACTTCCGAGGGGGTGTAGGAAGAGAACTAGGGTTGAAACACGGTTGGAGGAGAGAAGTTCAGCGGGAGCTGTTGTATTTGAGGCCTGTGAGATTCCCAGCAAGAACTGTCATCAAGCAGTTGTGCATATGGTCTGAGATATGACTTGTGGACTCTCAGTTCACCGGGATAGTTAAAAGCAGTGCAGGTGGTTGAGATCACTCATGGAGAACATGTGGAGTAGGGTGTCCAACCTGCGGCCCAGGATGGCTATGAATGCGGCCTAACACAAAATTGTAAATTTGCCTAAAACATTATGAGATTTTTTTGTGGTCATGTATCACAGTGTATTTAATGTGTGGCCCAAGACAACTCATTTTCTTCCAGTGTGGCACAGAGACGCCAAAAGGTTGGACAGCCCCGAATGTGAAGTAGTAGAAGCGAGGACAGGGCACACTGATACTGAAGTGTCAGGTGGAAGAAAAACACACCTCAGAGGAGGCGGGGTGGGCAGGGAGGTAGGAGGAAAAGTCACGAGAGGCACAGGAGTCAGTGGGAGAACTGGGTTGGGAGAGAAGGACTGCGTATCAGTCCTCTTTGAGACAGCAGACGAGACGAGGACCACAACCTGTCCATTGGGCAAGCCTGATGAGCAGCATTGACTGAGCAGGAGGGATCCCATGGGGCAGCCGGCTCACACTGGGTGAGGGATGGGAAGAAGAATTGGCGAAGCACCTCCACTGACCCAGCTGGATGGGCCGCGGGTCAAGGGGGCTTGAGGTAGGCGTCTGCCGAGACAGGTAGGAAGGTGTGGTGATGGTGGTTGGTAAGAGCATGAGGAGAGGGTGCTTCAGGAAGTCTGTGTAGGAGACCCCCGCTTGCAGGAGAAAGAGAACATGGTTCCTTTACTGGACTGGTAGCCTTTTTGGTGTGGGCTTGCTGGCTGCTGATCTTTTGGTAAGGAGGAAGAGGAAAGGGTGAGGGTAGTTTAGCTTAAGAGTACAAGTATGAACCATGTGTGTAGAGATACTTTGCAGCTGTCTTGCAAAATTACCTTCTTAAACTTTGGATTTGTCACCTATTGCTGAATAACAACTTACCCCCAAATTTAGTGGCTTTAAATGTTTGTTATATCAGGGTTTCTATGGGCTCAGAACCTTGCACATGACTAAGATGATTGTATCTGACTTAGGGTCTCTTAAGAGCTTGCAGCCAAGATCTTGGTTGGGAGGGACTTCAATCACCTGCCCATCAGCTGGGGCTGGACTGTTTGCCACCCTGACGGCTCACTCCCATGGCTGTTGGCTGGAGGCCTAGGATCTGGGGCTTCTTAGTGTCCTAATAAGGCAGCTGGCTTCCTCCAGAGCAGATGCTCTGATGGAGGGAGCAGGGAGGAAGCTGTGGTGTCATCTGTGACCTGGTCACACACCGTGGCTGCTGCCCTCTTCTTCTAGAATTGTATCATCAAGTCCAGCTCACATTTGGGAGAGGGATTCATTAAGTTCCACCTCTTGGAGGGAAGAAGATTGAAGAGTTTTTGGACATATTTTCAAATGACCACATACCTTTTGTCAATTGCTATTTCCTTTAGGGGCGAAGTTCTGTAGAATGATGTAGAGATACAGTCTTTATGACCAGGTGAGAGGGAGGTACAGAAAAGTGGGGAAGTGGTTTGGCCAGAGATGCCAATCGGGCTCCAGAACTAGATGTGTTACTGCTTGTGGTTATTTAAAGGAAAAAAAATTGCTGATCTTTGATTTAATGGAGGATTGTTTTAGGAGGAAAAATGCCATAGTGGTTAAAATATGAATTTCTTCTTATACCAAGATATGAATTCTGGTAACATTCATTTTAGCTCCTAAAGTAGAATCTAGGGCTGGGAGGAGGGAACTTATTTTTCACAGAAAAAAACCTATAAGCCAAGAGATTGTTATTGATTTCTGTGAACATAAGTGATGACAGGCAATAGGACACAGACTCTAAAGCCAGACAGTCTAGTTGTGATCCCAGGATGGCCTTTAGCCATGTTTGTGCTTAGCTTCTGCCCCAGTTTCCTCATCTGTGCAAGGGGGAATTGTAAGTGGGTAGTTATTTATGATGGTTAGATGAATAAATACATGTAAAGTGTTTAGAGCAGTGCTGGGCACATAGCAAGCAGTGAATAAATGTTAGCCATTGCTTTGGTAGCTCTATTTTAATGGTGAGCTAGTTCCATGGAGTTAACATTTCAAAGAGTAAGATAACATTGACCAGAATGTTTAGAGTTTAGACTTTAAACTACTGTACTTTGTACTTTGTACTACTGGCCTTATTGTACTTTGTCACTTTTTATGTATGTGTACAGTAAGTTTCCATCTAGCTCCATATCCATTTAAAGTACTGCATCAGATGTCACCAGTAGTGTGGTTAGGGCACATCCGCATACAACTCGCTGAAGCAGGCTTTAACGTTTCTTTCCCCTGGGGTTCGGTTCCAATTGTAGCGATATTCTTTGCTCATAGGAATTGGCTGTAAGATGGATCTGTTGGCCCCTTTCCATGGCAACATGGTAATGAAAGGCATTTTCTTTGAACCTGATGTAGCGAGAATGGTGGTGGGCAGGTGTGGCCACTGTCTTCCTCCCTCTGCCCCCACATCCAGAGACCCTGTGTTCCTGTTCTGTTGGCTGGGTAGTTTGAAGAGTGTTAGGGAAGGTTTTCTGACTGAAGTGACTTAAGGTAGAAGATGAGAGAGAAGCTTAAGGAGTATATACAAAACCGTTTTACTACAAGAAACCTTTGGAATTGTACCTTGCTAATGCTTTTTAGTGTCAGGCCTTCTGATATATTTCTAATCAAGATGGAAGTGATACATTGCATTCTTGATTAAAAGAACTAAAAGAAACTTGCAGAGTGGGTTTACCAGCCAGCATGAAAGGTGAAACGGCCCCACAGCCGATTTGAGTGTGGGCTGTGGTGGTGGGCAGGTCAGCCCTCTCCTCTGCGGCCCTTTCTGCTGGCCCTGGCAGCACCTGGCAGGACGGACCCCGCCGCGGTGGCGGTGAGCCCAGGGGGCCTGCTGGAGGTGCGTGCTGCTCAGGCCTCACGGCCCTCCCAGGCTCGGCGAGGCGGGGGTTGGCTCGTCTCGCCCTGTGGTGGGCATGTTCTCCGCAGCATTTTAAGAGCTTTTTTCCTTTCGGTAGATATCTAGGTGAAACAGCCTGAATTTCAGGTTATAAAAGTGGGGTTTGCTACAGTGCAGCATTTTTTTTATTGGGTGACATGATTTTCCAGATGTTAAAAATTCTTTCAGCTCTAACATGAGCTATTTTTGTAGCACGCATGACGGTATTGAAAAGTGCATCTGTTTGGTCGGCTGATTTGTGGCGTTTGAGCCGTTCGTCATGTACGTGAGCGTTCCCTCAGCAGCGGGTGCCTGCGGAGTGCGGGTGTGCCTCGGCGTCTGGCCTGTTCCTGCGCGCATCCTGCTCACTGGGGTTCGTACAGCTGTGTTATTTATCTTCACTTTGGGATGTAGGCCAAATAATGTCTTTAGGTTATAAGGTTCTATTATTTAGCTCACTATATACACTCTTTATCTTACATATTGCAATGGATAAGACACAGGTCATTGTTTACTGCCATGCATTTTATTCTTTTTCACCTTAAACATTTTTTGTTGAACTGATTTTTTTAAAGAACGCTAATCATAGTGATTGTAATGAGTTCTTGTCAAGCACTGTGCTGTGGGTTTTATGTTTGCGTTAGCACCTCCTACAGGGAGAGAAGGCCATTCACACAGAGGACGCAGGCTCAGGGCAGAGCAGTGACGTGCACTGCCTGTCTCCCAGTGACGGAAGGGTGGGGGACCCGGAGCTTTGCATTTCAAATCTGACTTCGGAGTCCACTCTGGTTCCAGGTGGCCAGACGATTTCTGTTATTTCTGATTGAATGTTATCTTACCACTTACTTTTACTGGGCTTTAGAGTTAGTGGATAGTGAAATTATGCTTGTCACAGAGAATCCAGGAACTGAAAGACCGGGAATGGTTTTTTGTGGGTGGGGAGGATTGTATCTAAATGTTTGACCTCAGGACTTCCTCCAAGATGGAGGCGTAGGTGGAAGCATTGCGCCTTCTTGCACAACTAAGTTTAAAAACAACAGTTTTAGCAACAAAAACGCAGCCAAACCACAGAAAATTGAACTACACAGAAGTCTGACAACAACGAACCCTTCAGCCAAACCGGTAAGAGGGGCAGAGCCAGCAGCAGAGTGGGGTTGGGCAGGAAAGATCCACCGAACCAACCGGGGCTCTCGACCCAGGTGCGCCAGCAGCCCTGGGCGGATCCCAGGTGTGGAGAAGTGGGCAGACCCACTGAGGGCTGACTGTGGTCACAGGTTCGTGCGCAGATAAACCGGTGAAGGAGCTAGCAGTGAGATGGACCGCACAGGCCCCAGTGGCAGGAAGCGGCAGAGGGGACCACCAATGTCCCTGTCTGACCCCACCCCCACATACAGCATCACAAACCAGTGACCTGGGTGGCCCCGCCCTGGTGAACATCTAAGGCTCCTCTCCTCATACGTAACAGGCACGAACAGATCAAAACATGGCTCAAGAACAACTCAGAGCCCCAGAGCTGATAAATCTAAGTGATGAAGAAATGGCCAAACTTTCAGATGCACAGTTAAAAACACTGGTGATCAGGATGCTCACAGAACTGGTTGATTTTAGTCACAAATTAGAGGAACATATGAAGGCTAAACTAATTGAATGGAAATACACAGGAAACCAATAGTAATGGAAAGGAAACTGGGACTCAAATCAAAGGAGTGGACCAGAAGGAGGAAAAAAATGACCAAACAGAAAAGGATGAAGAAACAAGAATTCAAAAAAATGAGGAGAGGCTTAGGAACCTTCAGGACATATTTAAATGTTCCAACATCTGAATTATAGGGGTACCAGAAGGGGAAGAGGAACAGCCACCAGTGGAAAACTTATTTGAACAAATAATGAAGGAGAACTTCCCCAATCTGGCAAAGGCAATAGACTTCCAGGAAATCCAGGAAGCTCAGAGAGTCCCAAAGAGGTTGGACCCAAGAAGGAACACACCAAGGCAAATCATCATTACATTAGCCAAGATTAAAATGAAGGAGAGAATCCTAGAAGCAGCAAGAGCTAAGGGGACTGTCACCTACAAAGGAGTTCCCATCAGACTGTCAGCAGATTTCTCAAAAGAGACCTTACAGGCAAGAAGGGGCTGGAAAGAAGTATTCCAAGTCATGAAATCCAAAGACCTACATCCAAGATTGCTCTATCCAGCAAAGCTTTCATTTAGAATGGAAGGGCAGATAAAGTGCTTCTCAGATAAGATCAAGAAGTTCATTATCACCAAGCCCTTATTATATGAAATGTTAAAGGGACATACCTAAGAAAAAGAAGATAAAAAAGATGAACAGTGAAAGGACAGCAAACTCACAGTTATTAAAAGCCACACCTAAAACAAAAGCAAACTAAGAGGACAGCTAGATCAGGAGCAGAACCATAGAAATGAAGATCACATGGAGGGTTAGCAACAGGGGAGTGGGAGAAGGAGAAGGGGGGAGAAGGTACAGAAAATAAATAGCATAGACAGTAGGTAGAAAATAGACAGAGGGGCAAGAATAGTATGGGAGATATAGAATCTAAAGAACTTGAGACAGGTGGTCATAAACTAAAGGGGGGAATGGTGGGGGTGGGGGTATGCAGGGTGGAGGGGAATGAAGGGGGAATAGAACAACTGTAATGGCATAATCAATAAAATATATTTTAAAAAATAATAAATGTTTGACCTCAGAGAACAGTTGTCTGTTTTGTTTGTTTAAATGAACAGAAGGGGCTGTTGGATACCTTTGCTCTGTGTACACAACAGCTGTCCCTGGCTGAACCTGTCACAGAAACTGAGTTTGCTTTTGCTCTCCACACCGTCCTTTTTAACGTTTTCTCCATCTTCAGGAATCTCGGGACTTGTATAATATTCTTGGATCTTGCTCATACTATAACACATGGTAATAATGGTAGCTATTATTGACATACTTTAAAGTTGTTTTTGTATTTTAAGAAAGAACAGTGGTTAGTACTCTATCTAAATGAATGGATGGTGGAATTTAGGCCTTGTACCCTAATGGGTAAAAAGGTTTAGGCAGAGGTTTTCAAATCACTGTATATTCTGGAGGACCACGTTCACGTGAGATATTCAGTTGCAGTAGGTACTTCTCTGTTTTCTTTACTGATTTGCACAGCATCATAGACTCGGAAGGAGCATCACAAACACGTTTACTTTATTAGGATGCCTGCCTTTAGATGCTTGAGTGCTCAGGCTATTTGAGCCATTGTAGAAAAGGTTCAAAGGAGTTGGAACACTCTTAAAAGTTCCTTTGGATAAAAATGTTGTGATCTGATTTGTGTTTTATTTTTGTTTGGGAGTGTCATTATGTCACAGGAAAGACAGGCAGTGTGTTCAGGAGTTCCTTTGTGTTGGGACAGACTGAGGTATTTGGGTCAGTTACCCTGCTTGGTCAGACACCTGGTTTCTTAACTGTTAGGACATGCATTTGACATAGAAATTGGGAACCCTACAGAGGTATCTCAAGATAGTTTGTTACATGTGTGCCGGAACTGACCAGTAACTGCAAAGTTTTCAAGTACGAATGCGTATATTCTTCTTTTATCCTCTCCAAGGATGTGTTTTTATTGATTTAGAGAGAGAGGGAGGGAGCTCCGGCCGGTGGCTCAGCTGGTGGGAGCATCATCTGCGCCACAGTGTTCGGGGTCCGGTCCCTGGTCGGGCGCACACTGGAGGCAGCCAACCGGCGTTTCTCTCGCACGTCCATGTTTTTTTCTCTCTCCCTCTCAAATCAGTAGTCATATTTTTGGGTGAGAATTTAAAAGAAAGTTTAAAAAAAAGGAAGAAAGAGCAAGCTTATGTTGTAAAGTTAGCTGCCACATTTTAAGTTGCTGGTTGATGGATTTTTCAAAGCTTTGAAAAGTCTGAGAACATTCTTTACAGTTTTATTGTGATGTAATTGACATGTAACATTGTATTTTCTTGAGGGCGAAAAGGACCTTTGGAAAAACTTGCTTATCCTCGGCAGTAGTTCATAATTACGTGCTCTTGTAATGATGCATTTATCTCATTCAAATATTATCTTCCTTCCTCCTGTGGAGCAGTGAAGCAGTGAAGCAGATTGACTTGCAGGGTGTGTCTCTTCCGGTTGGAGTGTGTAACTGATGTCTTTTTGTTGGGTGTGTAATTGAAGTTGAGTGGTAGTGTGTGAGGGCTCCCCCTTCTGGCCCCTGTACTCCACCTTAAATGAGGTTTCCCTTTATTACGATAATCTTCACAATATTTGCTCTCTTCGTATTGTTGAGATGAATATCTTTGATTGTATTTCAGAATAACGATGTCCCTCTTATTTAGGACATCATACATGTCCCAGAATATAGTAATGGAGGCCTGTTTTTCTATTCATACTTAAAATGGTGAAATCAGGATGTTAAAGTATGATACATTGTCTTATATTTTCTATAGAAATGTGGACATGTTTTGTGGTTGTTTGTTGTATTTTTGCATTCTTATCACTGAAAGAACCAGACTGTGGGTTAATAAACTTTCATGTTTATTAAATTCACCTTTTTCCCCTCGCATGATTTTCCTTGCAGGTTAATAAATCTCTGACTCTAAATTTGACTTTGAACTCGGTGAGACCTGTGGATGCTGCTCTGGGAAGGCCGCAGTAATGGATCAGAAGAAGAACGAGAGCATCGTCCCTAGCATCACCCAGCTGGAGGACTTCCTCATAGAACACAACTCCAATGTCGTCTGGCTCCTCGTTGGTAAGGGCAGTGTGTTTTCTTACACTCGACTGTTTTTCGTGGGTGGAATAACAACTGCCGCATTTTAAGCAGTGGTTGGCCGAAGTTGGAATGCTTAAAATACCGTTTGTTTACTTTTTGGAAAGGAGATTTAATCTATGTTTCCATGAATATTCGCTCTGGGAACTGCTCTGGGAAGCTCTTTTTCTGAGGCTGCTGCCCTGGCTGGCTGAGGGAGGGGGCGGAAAGGGGAGACACTGCCCTTGGTCATGCCTCTGCGTTCAGGTCCACTCCCCACCGCATCCCCCCACACAGGGGAGGAGTCTCCTGGTAAAATGGGACATGCGGGCCTGAGAAGCTCATCTCCTTCCTCGCTCCTCACACACTGGGCAGCGGGCTCTCCTGGTAATGCTGCTTTTATCTAATATCCCAGACGTTTCCTAGGTGCCTGCAGATAATACACAAGAGTGTATAGTTAAATGGCAGAGAGAGGGATGGAATGTAAGTGATTGAACGTATATGATCAAACGAAAGGGAGAAATTCTGAAACAGTATCCTGCAAGGGGAGGTTCCTGTAGGCTGTCACCCAGGAAGTTTTCGTGGGACAGTGGTATTTGATTTGGGTTTGGGGTAGGAACTAAATGGTAAGGAGGAGAATGGGAAGGGCAAGGTGGGGTGAGAGAGGACAGGGAGGCTAATGGTCTTTATCAGGCACCTTCTGTGTGTACGTGCTGTCTCACTGAATGCTCTGAGCAGGCATAGGGAGGCTGGCATTACCCTTTTCCTTCAAACACGTGGGGAACTGAGGCCCCAAAGGGTCACGCGGTCAGCTCTCAGGGCCCTTTTCTCTGAGTGTGCGCTGCTGCTGCTTTCCTGCAGCCACGGACCTACCGTGGGGCCCTGGGTAGAGGTGACGGGGTTATAATGATTCGTGCATTGCAGGATTGGATTACCATTTAAACTGGAGTGCAGTTTTTTCCAGTGGAGAAACATGAATTAGGGTAAATTATCATTTAATAAAAGCAAAAAAAAAGTAAAACGAAAGGCAGAACATTAGTGTGAAGTAGGACTTCATAAAAGCAGCATAGTTTAATTAAGGACCAAATTCTTCCTTATTTCCTGTGTGTCCCCTCTTCTGCCATCCAGAATTTCTCTGTTCTGGTGTGTACAGCTCCTTTCTTTAAGGAAAAGTCAGCAGCAACAACCAGGAAAACACTGAGCAGCCTCAGGAACTCAGAGGGGGCGGGGCGAGGTGCAAAGAAAAGGCCCCGACCCCAGGCTGTGGAACACCAGCTGCCCTTCTTCTGTAGGCACCGCTGGCCTTTCTGAGCGGCCGGCAGCAGTGTGCCTTGGACACAATGGTTTGCAGCAGAAATTCACACGGCATGACATGAGACCTAAAGCACCGTGTCTCAGTGAAGTGCTTTTTCCAAAGAGCTGCTCTGGGAACAGTTTTGGTGGGCCAGTCGTTGCCCTTGCTGCACCAAAGCCGTCACCGTCATCTGAGCCACCCTGGGACGCATCGTGTCAGTGACGGCCGCGTCTCCTCTATATTGAGTGATGCTTTTAGAAATGAAGAGCTGGATTTGGTGTTCCTAAGAGGCTACCCACGTTGAGTTGCTTTGTATGACTTTGTTCTAATTTAGTAAATAGTTATACTTTTTAAATAGATGGGTAAAAAATTATTATCAGAAAATGCTTCCTTGTATTTTACCTTTTGTATATTCATGAATTAGTTTTTTTGGGGGAATATTATAAATTATATAAATGACTATAAACTTCATGACAAATGGGCAAATTTGTAATATCATTTATTGTAGTGTATTTGGTAAAAGTAGGCATTCTTAAAAGGTTATTGTCTTATCAATTATAGCAAAATAGTATAAGACGTTCTATTTAATATAGATATGCCCTTAAGTGGGTTAAATTCCTATTTATTTCTATTACTTTTTTAAAAAAACAGAGTTTATTGATTTAAAATATAATGACTTTTCTCTGATTTAAAAAGTCATCCATTTTCTTTCTTTGTAAGTGACTTTAGTCTTTAGGAAAAGCTTGGGAATGAGCTCTTAGCCACTAAAGGTAGACAGATGTTTCCATAACGTAGGAGTGATGGGCTTTCTTGCCCCAGCACACCCTTCCCTGTGTTCGGCAGTTGAAGCAGCACAAAGCAGCACAAGGGGAAACAGGAGGAGGAAAGCAGAGGGCATTCACTGATCTGCCCGGGACTTGTGCCTTTCTGGCTGGTGGCCGGCAGGGAACGAGGGAAGCTGGTGAAGGAGAGCCGGCCTCTGATTTTAGAACCCCGGGTGTTCTGCCGTAAGGGACACACACCCACACTGTCATTTCTGCACGTGGCAAACGACCGTTCGCTGATGAGGTTTTACTAACGAGGCTTTACTAAGATGTTAAGGTGATTGAAAGTGACACCCTTCTGCATTGTTTTCTCCCGACAGCTACCATTTTGTCCTGTGGGTGGATCATTTACCTTACCTATTACAATTCTCGGAATGTCGGTCTCATTTTAACATTGGTTCTTAACAGATTACACAAACGTGGCTATATCCACATTGGTAAGTTTGAGAAATCCTGAGTTTTTTCTTCTGTGTAATCTTAAGGTATTTATTATAAATTTATGTTTTATGAACAGGTAGTAGCTTTAGAAATTTATCTTTGTTTTATGAATGTTAAACTAATGTAATGAATTTCTCTTGTGCAGCGCTTTGTGACATGTTATGTCCTTTACCTCATTCTTATTTCTCAAAGCGGTTCCACAGTTCCTCCCCCCCTTTTTTTCTTTTTACTGATTCTAGATAGAGGGGAGGGGAGGGAGGAAGTGAGGGAGAGAAACATCGATGTGAGAGAAACATCGATCGGTTGTCTTTTGCGCACGCTCTGATTTACAACTGAAGCATAACCCAGGCAGGTGGCAGCCTGGGAATTGAACCCACGACCTTCTGGTATGCAGGATGAGGCCAACAAACCGAGCCACACTGGCCAGGACTCCATAGTTACCTTTGACTATAATTTGAAAATATAGATAAATATGAAATATAGAAGTAGAAGTTTCTCATTATTCTGCCATCCAGAGGAAGTTTTGAATGGTTGATGAAGTATTAGTGGTTTTTTTTTCTTTTTTAAGTAAGCCGTACTTTAAAAATCGGAGTCATCTGGTGTGTTTCATCCTGTGGCCTACTTTATTAATTTAGTTTCCAACTACTTCTAAGTGGGAGGTTTGCAGATGGATAGGAGGGTGTGTTAGGAAGCTCTGTGCCTTGGGAAGTCCTAAACCAGTGGTCACAGAGGGAGAGGGGCCCTGAAGGGAACCGTTCTGCCTGGAGCCGACTGCCTGGCAGTGGACACAAGCAGACGCCTCTCAAACACAGTCTTCTGTGAGTTCGAGGCAGTGACTGGTTCCTGGAGTCACACGAATTGATGGAGGAAAATGGTGAATTAGGCACCACTTGGGTTTATTTAGTGGTTGTGCATAATTCAGGGAATTATGGGGCAACTGTTAAAACTGATCTAGTAGCTCAGCCCATGGCGGTGATGCTTGTGGCACTTATTTAGAAAGAATGATGGAAATTAGTGAGGCTGTAAGGCTGTCAGGAAGGGAGGCAGGAGGGAACATTTAATTATTGAATAAATTGAGTGCTACGATTATTTTAAGTGTTAAAGGCTCTACTATCTATCAAAAGAATTACATTAATCGTTTTTGTTTTTTTCCCTGTAACAGGCTCCTTCTCTTTCTCTGTTCTTTCTGGAAAAGTCATGGTCCGTGAAATCTATTACATCACAGAAGACATGTCTATTAGGTAAAAAGCAAAAGCAAAAGCAAATATAAGAACCTGTCTTAAGCTTGAAATGTTGAAAAGATTTTTCTGATCCTGATACTTTATTTAATATTACTTGGCTGTTCAAATAGGACCATAAATCAAAAAATCATTATTTTCAGTAAATCAGACCTGATGAGTTAATGTTCTAAAATGTTTCCTTCAGTGGATTAATTTACTTAAGGTTTAGACTGGCACTAAATGTAGGAAATAGCAGCCTATAGAAACAGATAATCTCCTTTTATTCCAAGTTGAAAAATTGAGCTGTTAAATTAACTGATCATCTCTGTTGTAGAATTTATGGTGGCCATTTGTTCTATACAGGCAGGAGCAGAGATGCTGATAACTCTCACCCAGTTGGTGGGGTCATAAGTTTTTAGAATTGTTTAGCGTCTGCCAACAACTGTAATTTTACTTTATAAGAAGGAAACACAAATCTGAATGTAATAAGAAATGATAATATGTTTGATATGGTCTCTTTTCTCTAAGCCTTGAAAGAAAAGCTTACTCTATTTTTGTGATTTTCTTAAAATTTGCTACTAAGATACAACCTGGAAAAATTTGAGCTATTTGAGATATGCTAGGGTTTGGCAACGCGTACACATCCCTTAAAACAGTAGAGGCAACTTCTAAAATTGCTTCTAAATTAAAAGTGAAAAGTAGAAGTTGAGATGCAGTAAGTTCCTCCTATAGGAGGACGAGTGATCTGTCATTACAGAAAGGAAGGAGTATCTTTAAAAGCTCCCCTCAGTGTGCTAATGTTCCCCTTTCAAGATCGGCTTTGTGTAGTTTTTACACCATTAGGAATATTGACAAGAGAAATTTTTATTAGCACTTTATTTTCCTGCTGAACGTAGTGTGGTATTACATTTTACCTGCACTGAACTAGATGAGATGAACCCTTTAGGTATGCCAGTGTTCTGTTGAGAACTCTTGTATTCCTTATTATCAGTTGCCTGCCTTTTACAATAACTAATTAAGAATCAAGTTAAGTAAATTGTTACTTATATTTTCATTTTGTAATTTATCTTTCCTAGAATTCAAGATGGATTTGTAATTTTTCGGTGGTGGAAAATGTATAACCCAAAGCAGAAGCAGCATGGTGAGTTTTCATTTTGCAAATATGATTCTCTTCCTCATAGAATTGTTTTAAAATAAATCATTTAAGTTACTTTGCTGTGAAAAAGGTGTGACAAAAACGCTGAATGGCGTTTATAAGACGTTAACCAAGAACTGTGCGTGTGTGTTGTTGGTGTCTTCAGACCCCAAGGCGGAGACCAGGCTGTACATCACAGTCAACGACTTCGAGTTTCATGTCTACAACCGTTCGGGTCTGTACGGACGTCTGCAAGAACTGTTTGGCTTGGAGCCAACAATAATCCCACCCAGGAAGGAGGATGATAAAACACGGGAAAATGGGAGAACAAGAGCCCAGTCCAAAATTGAAAGGTTCGTTGTCACACTTGAATTTTATTAATCTCAGACATGTAAACATTCGCTTGCTTATTCAGTATATAGGACAGTGAGAGACTTTTTTATGTTATTAACCTAGTATCCTGCAGCCTTGCTACAATCACTTATTAGTTCTAAGACTTTTTTTGATCAGTTCTTTCAGACTTTCGACAGAGACAGTTGTGTCATCTGCAAATGCAGAAAGTCTTATTTCCCCCTTCCTAATCTCTATACCGTTTATTTCTTGTCTTACTGCAATAGCCAGAACTTCTCAACTTGAAAGGGCGTGGTGAGGTTGGACTCCCTTGCTTTGTCCCAGACCTTGATGGGAGAGCTTCTAGCCTCTCACCCTGTAGTACTGACTGTGGATACTCTTTGTGAAGATGAAGGCCTTTCCCTCTGTTCCTGGTTTACTGGGAGGTTTTAACCATGAATGGCTGTTGGATGTTGTCAGATGCTTTTTCTGCATCTAGTGATATCATTTGCTTTTTTGGTTTTAGCCTGTTAGTATTGATTGATTTTTGAATGTTGAATAGCCTTGCATACCTAATAGTTTTTGTGTGGGTAAATAAGGAGGACATTTATTCACAATTAAGTATTTAAAGGATATTATGTCCTAGGCACTGAGCCAGGGCACCTGGGATACTGGGAATATGACAGCTCTTCTGTCTCTAGGGAATTCATAGCTGAGTTGGGAGTTAGATCGGTTAATAGGCAAGGCCATTTCAGTGCGAGAAGTGTTACCACAAGGACCAGAGTAGGCTTCTGTGAACACACATAGAAGGGTCTGGAGGACGGGGACCTGAAGATGAACGAGTTGGGCAGAGTCACGTGGGTCTCCCACTGAGGAGGGGCGTGAGGTGCAGCAGGAAGTTACACACTGGGGCCGTGGTGGGTGTGAGGGGGGATAGACGAGACTGAAATGGTTAGCTGGGTTGAGGGCTTTGCCCCAGGTCAGTCATGCTGTGATGTGATTGGGGGGCCATGAGACTGGGTGGGGAGACCCGATGCGAAGGTGTTGTAGCAGTTCACCACGTGGGCGGTAGCAAAGGGAAGGGAGAGAAGTGGGTGGGGTGAGACACACTTAAGTGGACGAATCCACAGGGCATGAAGGTTAGACAGGGAGAGTGAGCAAGAAGGGTGATAACAGTGAATCCCCATTTCTCACAGAAGCAATGGGCATGCCTAGTCAGGGAGCTGTGGGGAGAGGGGGGCAGGGGGTGGTGAGGGCCCCCATCCGTGGACACGGCCCAGGAATGTGGTTCAGGAGATTCCGGGTGGTGGAAGTGAGACGCCTCTAGTTCCCTGCAAAGTCTTCATGACGTCTCACATCCTGAGTGTTGTATGCTCTCGGCCTGTGCTTTTCGTTTTGTCGGGAGGACATTATTGTGGCACAGAGTGGTGGTAGGGGGGGAAGAGGATCAGCTTAGTTGTCGGAAACGCGCCGGATGGTAGGAGACATCGGAGTGACTTGCCCCGTGGTCACTTGTGTGGACAGTGATTCCGGCTGTCTGGTAAAATGTCCTGTTGGGGTGCAGTGAGCACAGTGGCGGGTGTAGTGACGGCCTCTCCCAGTTTGCACTCTGGACATTAAAGCTTGTCATTCTGAGAGTGCAGTTTGTCATTAGTGCTCGCCAACCCCAAAACTGACACGTGACGGACTGCCTCCCATGCGCACTGTAGGGATGTCAGTCTTCGGGTAGACGGTCTCCGTTCTGTTGCCAGGAGCCGTTGGAGGTGCACCTGGAGGGGTGTGGCTGGTGTTACTGACGGATGTTTGGAGGAAGTCCCCTGCATCCTCAGGGATTTAAGTTTTTCTTACGTATGTCAGCTTTTATTTTTTTCCTCAGAGTAAAAGTGAAAACGGAATCTCAGGACCCCACGTCTTCCTGGAGATCCCTCATTCCGGTCATAAAGGTCAACGTGAGCACCGTGAGTTGGTTCTGCTGCAAGGGACGTTTGGTCGGCTCGTAACAGACGTTTTTTTTTTTTTTGCAAACATAATTTTCACTTAAGAAAAGAATGTAATTTTGTAGTTATTTTGGTTCCAGCTTTCATTAAGTGTGAAGGAATTATTTTAACACCAGTACCACTTTAGCACAAATTTATTACATCTGAAAGGCTATTTGTTCACAGGGCTTGAATCTCTTTAAACCCAGGTCTACATAGATCAGGGCAGTAATTTCATTACACATAGTGGTAAAGTGGGATCATTCAGTTGTTGCTTGAAAATGCTTGTTACTAGGTCAGCTAAGGGAACAAACAGAGCCTGAATAGTACGGCACAGTGTCTCTCCTTTTCTCAGGGACGCTTGGCCTTTGGAAACCATTACCAGCCGCAGACTCTGTGCATCAACTTCGACGATGCTTTCTTAACTTACACCACGAAGCCGCCTTCCAGTCACCTGGACCAGTTCATGCACATCGTGAAAGGGAAGCTGGAGAACGCACGCGTCATGCTCGTGCCCAGCCCGCGATACGTCGGCCTTCAGAATGATGAGTGAGGATGCCTTGTTACAACAGTCCTCTCTTTCTGCTTTTAACTTTTAAAAAAGATTTATTTCTTTATTTTTAGAGAGAGGGGAAGGGAGGGGGGAAGAGAAGGAGAGAAATATCAATGTGTGGTTGCCTCTCATGTGCCCCCTACTGGGTACCTGGCCTGCAAGGCAGGCATGTGCCCTAACTGGGAATTGAACTGGTGACTCTTTGGTTCACAGGCCGGCGCTCAGTCCACTGAGCCATACCAGCCAGGGCCATAATGATCTTTTTATATCTAATGTAGATATGAATTAAGACCTTTAGCATCCATTTAGTTTTTTTGTTACCAGTTGGGCAATAATGAGGTATATTTTGCTATTAAATCAATGAATAGTATTAGTCCTGCTTTATAAGGGAAGTAGATATGCTATCCATTGGTAAACTCTAATTTTAAACATTTTTCTGTAAGATTATGTAGCTATAATTTTTTACCCTTTTCTCCTTAGTGTATTTGGGAAACTCATTTTGGGCAATTAAGCCTTGATAATTTGATGTTAGAAAATACACTTTACAGGTAGGTTTTTTGTTTATAAAAGGAATGAGTAAATAGTAAATTCAGCAAATTCATTACAGTGGAGTACCATTGTGAGTTAATGAAATTCGAACTTGAGTTGGAATTACTCTTGGAAAACAGTTGAAGTGAGGCTGGGGCACTTAGGATGGAACTTGCTTAGCATCCAAGTCCTGGTCAGTTTTTCACCCAGCTTTCTGAATTCGCGCCCTGCCCCTTGAGTAGCTCTCGAATCAGGAGGCAGGGTGTACTAGTGATGCACTGTGGGCTCCCCCTCGTGGTGGAGGGCTGCTTGTGTATGAGAGCCTGGGGTGCAGAGGGAACCGTGGACACACAGCTGCCACCCCACGGCAGACCACATGCTCGGTGGAGCACTGAGCATCCTGTCTTCTGGAACTGTACTTAGCTTGCCTTGTGCCTCCTTGCAGACCTCCAAGATTGATGGGAGAAGGCTTCGTGGTGATGCAGTCGAACGACGTGGACATCTACTACTACATGGACGAGCCAGGTAGGGCTGCCTGGAGCTGGGTCCACCTGTGATTCTGTTTCTCCTGTGCAATTACGTTAAGTCTCTTTACTTAGGGTGTAAGTTAGCATCAGTAAGTGGTAAGTGTACCTGTAACAGTGTCCACTACAATAGAAAATACCTGTGTTGCTGTTGAAAGTTGAATCAAAAGAAAATGATGCGATCTTTGCTTCCAATTCTTTTATCAGACACACCTCAAACATTGTGAATGCGAGTGACAATGAGTGAACACCTTTGGGAGTGAGGTGTTTGTTAGGGCACTTCGAGTTCGCTTGGGGAAGAAAAGCACGGTGTGTTAGATGGGAGGCCCCCAGTTTCAGGGATAAAATCCAGCTACGGTGCTTCAGGGGTGGTTTCAGTTTTATAAAAGTAGCTAAATATTGGATTTCTACTTCCATTTTCTTGCTTCTGATCTTTCTCTGCCTTTGTGGGGGTTTATGAGGTCAGGAGTATTTCACAAGTAAACCTGGGACACAGTTTGCCTCTTCACCGTGTCGGTGTTTGCATGGGTGGTGTCATAGCCGCAGTGGGGAAACCGCTGGAGCCCTAGCACGAGTCCAGGTGCCGGTCGCACCTGGGGTGAGGAGCCCTGGCTGTCAGGCTGCGCACTCCCAGGAAAACGGCGGCTGGCATCGCTGTGATACAGCCGAATGATTTACGTTGCCCAAATCCGGACCCTCAGGAAGCTTTGACCGTTTGGTGTGATACGATGGCAGGCACACACGCACCTGTGCTGGGGCACAGAGCACACGCGTGTTCGGAGGGAGCATGGTGTGTCATTGAGGTTCAGGATGAGCCGTTGGCGTGTTTCATGGGATGCCAGTTTTACTTGACAGAGTAGCTAGGGACAGAGAGTGGTTTTGAGCTTTCCTGTGAAAATTAGGGTTCTGGGAAATTTGGGTCCACAACTGTGAGTTTGGTGATTTTTCTAGGTGAGCCCACCAGTGATGGTAATCGATGTGATTTCTGAAGTGTTTAATAACGGCATTCGTTAATATTGGGAAAGCTGTGCTTGTCTTAGTGAACCCATGCCTTCCATATGACCTATGCGTGAGGTTGCAGAGTCGTGTGGTGGGTGAAAGGCCCACGCCAAGAGCAAGAGAGACGGCACGTGTTCGTGTGGCGGCACGTGTTCGTGTGGCGGCACACAGGACAGCCAGACTCCACACTGTGGCTGGCCTTTGAGAAAATGCTGCTTATTGCATGTCAGCAGAGTGTCACGGAGGAATAGCCAGAGTTGTCAGAAAGAGCTATCAAAACACTCCTTCCTTTTCTATCCACCTATTTGTGTGAAGCTAGGCTTCATCAAATCCATAAGTGATAGAATTAATGCAAAAGCAACTGTGAGAACCCATGTGTTTTGTGTTAAGCTGTATGTTACAGGTATTTGCCAGAATAAAATAATGTCAACACTGTTTACTAAATTATTGTAGAAAATATGGTTATTTTTCATTGAAAATATTTTTATTAAAAGTGAAATTAAAATGTTACATTTTACTAAAATATACTATATATATACATATGTATATATGTATAGTTATTTTATAAGTATAAAGTGTTCCTGAGATCAAAAAATTTTTAGAACTGCTGAACTAAAGAAATATTTTAGTGGTTCTTTTAAGTAACTGCCTTTATTTTCTATATTTTGCAATGTGTAGGACTTGTTCCAGAAGAAACAGAAGAAAATATTGAAGGAGAAATAAGCAGTGAGGATTGCAAATTACAAGATTTACCTCCATGTTGGGGACTGGATATAGTTTGTGGTAAAGGAACAGATTTCAACTATGGGCCATGGGCTGATCGGCAGAGGTACGTGAGTAAATTATATTTCTAATAAGTCTTTCAAATGTATTGAGCTCTACTATTAATTTTTATTACAACTAACCCGATACTTCTGTAAGCTGTTCTGTTATGGCAGGGTAAGTTATCCCTATACACATGAATCTGCAGTGACTTGTTTGTGGAGAAACCGGCTTAAGTTTGCTGTAAAGGAGGAGTTTGTTCATAGACAGATGGTGACTGACCACACATTTGTAGTAGGGTCTTTCCTTTTCCTGTTTGTGTTTAATCAGTGAATATGTCAGCGATGGTTGGGCCTGTGTGGATTCCAAGATAAAAACAGATAGTTCAGCTTTAGAGGAGGACAAAAGAAATAAGAGAGGTTTATTACGTGATATAATAGAGGTCAGTAAAAACTCTTGAAAAACTTAGAAAGGTACTGAATTGGTTTGCTCAGGCTTCCATAATGAAGTACCACAGCCCACATGGCTTAAACAACAGAAATTTCTCACAGTTCCCAGGGTGGGGATCTGCAGTCAAGGTGTTGGCAGGGCTGGTTTCTCAGGAGGGCTGCGACCGCCAGGGAAGGACGTGTTAGAGGCTCTCTCCTTTGGCTCGTGGATGGCCGTCTTCTCCCTGCATCTTTGCATGGTCTTCCCTTTTGTGTGTCAGGTGGTCTCTGTGTCCAAATTAGATGGGGGTTCACCAGACAGACCTCATTTTAACTTAATTACCTCTGTAGAGACCCTGATTCCAAATATGGCCAAACTCTGAGGTTAGGACTTGAGCATAAGAATATTTAGGGAACCACAGTTTAGCCTGTAAAGGTACATGACTCATATTAAAGATGAAAAGAGAAGAGAATCGGGGGAGGCTTTTTTGGTGGGGGACATGTGAGTTACGTTTTGAAACATAAGTAAGGGTTAGCGAGGGGAGGAGGAGTCCTGTGCAAAGGAGAGGACATTTGCCGGGAGTGATGAGGACACATCTGAGTTTTTACGCTAACAGACACTGCTTAGAGTTCGGCCAGCAGCGTGTCCGTCTGGACGGCTGGTGCAGGTCTTTCTCACCGCAGAGAAGGCTGCTGTGTTACTGAGAGGGAGCTAGAGGAGACGTTTGTGATTCAATGTTTTTCTTTTTCATCTGTTTGTTAGATAAGATAGTAGCGATAAGACACAGTTCTAATATTGATTCTGGTCCTGTATTAGAGGTAATTTTGTTGGAATAACATGTTACTATTCTTTCTACCTTACACAGAGATTGTTTATGGAAGTTTTTCTTCCCACCCGATTATCAAGTTCTGAAAGTTTCTGAAATTGCACAGCCAGGGAGGCCGAGGCAGATCCTTGCCTTTGAACTGCGCATGAATATTATTGCCGATGCCACAATTGATTTGCTGTTTACCAAGAATAGGGTAATTATTGAACTAATGTTCAGAAAATAGTGTTTAAAATTTGAACATTGTTTTCCAGAGTGTTTTTCTGGTGGCCAGTTCTGTACTTAGATTCATTTCTGTGAGCTTCCTGCCACCCCGCCCTCAACAGCTGCATGTAGGGTGCTTTCATTAAGTGCTGGAAGCAGAAGGAAGTTAGCCACTATTAATAAAATGCCTTCCACTGCAGTCTGGTTCACTTTCTCCTTTATATTTGCCCGGATTGTTTTAGTGTATTTTTGGTATGAATTTGAACTTGTGTTCTTAAGAACTTTGGATACGTATTTAGTGTCCTTGATGACTATATTTTTGTCTGTGATAAGAACTCAAAAGTGAAGGTTTTAGAGCACTTACGGCAAATGCTCTGTGTGAACTGACTTTCTGGCAGGAAACGAACGCGGTGCACGTGAACGTGGGCGCCGGCTCCTACCTGGAGATCAACATCCCCATGACCGTTGCGGAGCACGGTAAGCCGCTGCCTCCCTGTTCCGCACGAGCCGCAGGGAGCCGGCACGCAGACAGTGGCTCGTCAGCTCGTCTGAACTGACGTTCGTCCCTGGGGCTTTCTTTTTCAGCTTTTCATTATATTTTAATATGCCCGTAGTTATCGACAATAGATACTACATAATTAAATCATTCGTGTGCCCAGAGAGAGGGGAAAGTGTTTAAAAATCAAGACAGGCCTTACAAATCTGTGCTTTCATCATAGCCGTATTTCTCTTGTGTAAGAGTGAGCAGCATTGGCTCGGCCCATGCGACCCCTGGGACACCGTGGGAGCAGCTGCTGGGTCTTCCTTCTCACTCCGTCCACCTGACGCTGAGCCCAGCAGCTGCCACGTGACCGGCCAGTGACTGACTGAACGGCTTGAAGGCTTTGTTCTAGGTTATAGCGTGGATTTTGTCAGGGGGTAAACGGGTGCTTTGAACAGCATGACTTCAACGAGATTGCTTCATATTTCAGATATTAAATTTGCCCCTCTAACTAGTTTCATCTGAGCTGAAGTAATCTAATTCATTATACATTTGAAATATGTGCTCTGATATAAGTGAATCAACAGCATGACTAAATATTTCTGTTAGGTTGACCAAAATATTATATACAGCCACTTTCATTGTTTCGTGTTCTTTCTGTCCTCTTAGTATTCCTGTAATTGAGGGTGACTGAAATGAACTTCCACTGTGTTCACTTCCTCCGGTGTGCGGGGAATAGCACCTTACCCATATTTAAAATCACTAACCAGCAGTGCTGGGATGGCTAAGTGGAGAATGGTTTTCACACCGTTCTTGGTGCCCTCTGCTTGTTCCTGCCACTTACTTCGTTGCTCATCTCAGGAGAGGGTGGGCGGGGGGTGACTGGGCCCAGTAGGTCATGAAACAGTGGCAGCCGGTCTGCCTGCCTCGATAACCCGCTGAAGAAGTAACAGGGGTGGCGGGTGCCTTCCCTCTAACTTTGGGCTGTTTCAGAGAAGAGCGAAACCTTCCTTTAGTAAGTTTTGAAAGAATAATCCCACTGAGTCTAGAAGCAGAGCCTCTGGGACTGCAGGACTCCCGTGGTTGGTAGGCAGCCGCAGCTGCAGGCCTGTGACGGGGACAGGCGCTGGGGTCGCACGGACTTGTGTGCGGCTCAGCTGTGGGAGTGCTGCTACTGTTTGCACGCTGACCACGTGTGTAGTCAGTAATATCTGTACAGAACCTCTCACACCTTTACCGGTGCATGGGGAGGGGCTGGCCCAGGGCCGAGCGCTGTCGGCAGCCCTGGGGGAGTTCACAGATGCGCTGCAGCATGCTGGCTGTGGGTCCAAGGGGACCGGTCAGGCCCTTGGTCAAGGTCAGGTGCTTTTAAGAAGACTGTCTGAGGGAAAATAGGCCTAAGTCTGAGATAGCAAAAACACAGAACTCAAATGCACGTGGAACCTTTTTTCAGAGATTCAGGTGTTTGAAAATAAAGTGCCCAGAGCAGGAAGTGCCCCTATGATGAGGACCAGGGGTTAGCGCTCCTGAAGTGCCTCAGTCATGGACAGGAGTGGGAGACCCTCTGTGCTGCTCTCGTGAGAGTGGGCTACACACGTGGTGTCACAGTCGAGAAGGAGGCCTGGGAGTGACAGGAACACGTGGGCTGAGTTGGGGAGGGGGCAGGGCCCGGCACACGCTGAAGAGTTCAGCACCGTCACTGAGAGGGGACCTGCGCTTCTGCACGAGGGTGCCCAGCCACGGTCCGCAGGACGTGGGGACGAGCTTTCTCCCTGCGGTGCGTTCACACGAGGACGGTGGCTGTTAGGGACAGCACCCCCTCCCCCACCGGCGTGGATTTATAGAGCGACGGCCACTGCCTTCAGGGCTTTCTGCTTTGGGTGGTGGCGGGGTCCTGGTTTTTACATCGTGTGTGTATGTCTTTGGGTTCTCAGTTTTTACGCTCTCACTCACCAGGTTACACCCCTGCAATTAAAGGACAGCTCCTACATGTCGATGCCACGACCAGCATGCAGTACCGGACCCTTCTGGAGGCAGAAATGTTAGCGGTGAGTCCGGCATTCGGCCCCATCGGATTCTTTCTCAGGGCTTAACACTCATGATGAATGAGGTGAAAGGGAGAAGATCCTGACACCCTGGGTTGCTCCCTCTTACAACAGGAGCATTTGGGAAATGCTCGTGAGCGAACCTTAGGTTGCAGACTCCGTGGTCAGGCAGCCTGGTATTTCTGTGCGGGCCAACAAGAGCAACAACCGCCGCTCTGCGTGGCTGCTACTCAGAGCAGGTTCTTTTATGAAATGCGCTACCAGTAGGTCCTTACTTGCTTCCCCAAACAAGCCGCTTACACATGATGTATGTAAGTTAAAAGGAAAGTTTTGAATTGACCAGGAAGATATCGATGCCATAAATAGGTCTTTGACTGGCACGGTCAGCATTTGAATGGTTGCTGAGCCCTTGCTGGTCAGTACAGCTGGCTGGGGTAGGCAGCTCGTGCCTTCACGGGAGTGTCCAGCTTTGGCAGGGGGAGTGTGGACCTGTGACAGCTGTGAGAGCCTGGGGGGCCCTGGGCGCAGATTTGCACGTGAGTGTGCGTCACCGCACCCCACCCCCGAGCCCGAGCCGGAGCCTCTGGCTGACCAGTTCCGGCACGCAGACGAGTTAGGGGTTGCCTGTTCCTGCGTGGATTTAGCTTGAGTACGGTTTTGAAACTATAGCCTGGTTTTTGTTCCTCAACGTTTTTGACCACATCATGGCTTAGTATTTCAAGGAACTGGACGTAACCATGGATACTGCCCTTTAGCCATAGCAATATTGAAATGTGGAAGGGACCTCTGTCCCATTCAGTAGGAAGAGAGTGATCTTTACTCACCAGTGTGTGTGAGTTCATCTCTGATGCTGTTCCCCCAGGGTCATGTTTGAGGCGCTAACCTTTGACCTGACATTGGTTTTCAGTTCCATATCAATGCCAGCTACCCCCGGGTGTGGAACATGCCCCAGACGTGGCAGTGTGAATTAGAGGTGTACAAAGCCACCTACCACTTCATCTTTGCACAGAAGAACTTCTTCACAGGTAATTTTCTAGTGAACTCAGTGCAGTGAGATTCATCACAGGGAACAGCTGTCCGTTTCATAGCTTTTGCTTTTGGAGTCAGCCTTGGACCTGGTGACACAGCTGCTTGAAGAGCAGCTCTGGGAGGAGATGGGCACCGAAGTCTCCCTGCCAGCAGCAGGCAGAGTGTGCGACGGAGGGGGTGCTGGGGGCAGGAGGAAGCCACCGTGGCAGGCAGGGCTGCAGTCCTCTAAAAGAGCTTTTCCCTGCCACGGTGAAAAATAATTGAGACGCCAAAGGATAAGCACACTAAGAATAGGCACACAGTTTAAAAAGCAGTGATTAAACCGTACAAATCAGCAGTAGGACTAGTCAGCAGTCGGCAGAGGTGACCGCCCTCGGTTCTTAGAAGGCCAGGTCTGTGTTTTGTGCACCGGGCTCCGGGGCAGAGTCTGGCGCTCGGTGCACATCTGTGTGTGTTCGTTTAACGAATAAACAGCCTCAAAAAACGAGCAGCCCTGCTGCACTTAAAAATGGATGGAATGAGATGCCATCTTCCAGTGACCACCTCCCAGGTTGCACCCTCCCCTCAAAAAAAAGAGGGAGGGAGGGAGGGGGAGGAAGAGGTAGGAGTGAACACCTCTTTAAGGAAGAGGTAGGAGAGGGTACAGTGAAGCAGTCAGACTTTCATTTCCGAGAGGGGTCTGTGGTCAGTGCAGAACCTGCACAGGCGGGCCCCCTCCGTGCTGGGTGTCCGGGCAGTAGAACATCAGGTGGTGCTTTTCTCTTTGTCGTTTCTTTAGAAAATAATTCATGAAGTGCATAGATTTTTTTCTGATTTGGAACTGTGATTAGTAAGTAGACATCTGCTTGCCATTAAATCCTTTAGCTATACCTTAATCAAAATCTTTTAATATTTCAGTATAAAAGTTTCTTTTATTTATAAATAAAAACTCATTTTTGACTGTTGTTAGAGTCTTTACACTTTGTTTTCTGAATTCAGTGAACTTTAACTTCTTTCACCCTGATAATTTTAGATTTAATTCAAGACTGGTCTAGCGATAGTGCTCCGGACATTTTTTCATTTGTTCCATACACCTGGAATTTTAAAATCATGTTTCATCAATTTGAAATGATTTGGGCGGCCAATCAGCACAACTGGATCGATTGTTCCACCAAACAACAGGAAAATGGTAGGGACTTTTAAAAAATTATGTGAAGTATTCTGTTTACTGAGATAAATACCAACAAATTGGCATGGATTTTGTACTTGTAATAGATACCGGGATTGATCTTTTTTCCATTACCATGGGGGACTTTTTAGAGAAGTATTTTGGTTTGTATTGGGTTAAACATATAGTCTTAACTTTAATTTTGTTTGGGTGTGTATTTGAGGCAATTATTATTTAAACTTTTATTGAAGTTAAAAGTAAATTTTCTTCTCTTATTTCAGTGTACCTGGCAGCCTGCGGGGAAACCCTGAACATCGACTTCTCCCTGCCATTCATGGACTTCGTCCCGGCGACGTGCAGCACCAAGTTCTCCCTCCGGGTGCGTGCGGTCGGACCCCCACTCAGTCCACAAGGGTTGTTAGCAAGTCGGGTTTCCCAGGGCTTGTCTTCACTCCCACCCCACCCCTCCTTGCCCCCTCCGTGGTTCCCTGGCTTCCTGAAGTAGCTTATTAGCTTTCCTCCACTGTTCACTGACTTCCAGGTCACACAATTGCCCTTGTTATGGCGGTAAACTGTAGTGTTCTGCCATTCCCCCAAGTTTTCTGACTTGTCCTGAGAAGTTGGGCCATAAAGAAACAGGTCCCTGAGTTGATTGCTCTCTAACTTCTGTGGGTAATCTAATGTTCACTGTCTGTGAATTAGACTTCAGACTTCCCCTCTCTCATTCCTCATTGCAACCATGGACTCAAGCCATAACCCCAAATGCTCTTGTTTGAAAGCTGCTCTCATGCATTCAGAGTGTTGGGGAACACCCAGTTTTAGGGTGTAGCAGTCAGTAGTGGTTGTAGTGTTGACGGAAGTCGTGATGGTGAAAAGTAGCAGCAATGATAGAAGAGCAGCTGACACCTGTGAATCAGTCCAGATGTGTGCCGGACGTGCCTTCTAGGCCTCTGTGTCGTCGTTAGCTCAGAGCAGACCTTGGGGGCAGGTGGAGGTGTTACCTGCGTGCAAGGAGTAGGAAGCCGAGGCGCCGAGCTCGGTAACGTGTCAGGCCGCCGGCGAGCGGCCCGGGTGGATTCGCACCCGGGCAGTCGAGCTCAGGGCTCTGTCCTTTTCAGTGGGGGGCGCTGAGCCTGTGAGGGAACCAGGCGTCAGGCTGGGAGAGTTTAGAAGACCCGAAGGACAACGGCGAGGCTGAAGGGAGACCCTGAGGGGCGCCGTTTCAGGGTTCCTAAACGCCGGTGGAGGAACCAAGACTTGTTAGAACCAAAGGAGACCATCGTTTCATAAAAATCCGCACAAAAACAGAACATGTCCCACCTGAGCTTTTATTAGTGAGGCAATTTTTAGTTTTGCTTCTTGCCGAACTGCGTGAGAAATATCCACGGGCACCTGTGGAAGATGATCCTTTTACCGCTCCGTGGCAACTACGCTGCTTGTTTCCCTGACTTTTTTCTTGACATTCTCATCAGAATTTAGTTTTAATCAGTGTAAAATCTCAATTCCAGTTATTTATCTGACTGTTCAGTGTTAAATCTGACTTTGGTAATTCGTGTTTTCTTTCTTTTTAATGTTTTCTCAAGATTACTAGAGAGTAAATAGTAACCTAACATGTTCACGTACTTATTTTATTACTGTTGGTTATTGTGAATTAATTTTTAGGGAGAAGACGTTGATCTTCATCTATTTCTACCAGATTGCCACCCTAGCAAATATTCATTATTTATGCTAGTAAAGAATTGCCACCCAAATAAAATGACTCATGACACCGGCCTCCCTGCTGAGTGCCAGAGCGGCCAGAAGACAGTCAAGCCAAAATGGCGGAACCTGACTCAGGAGAAGTGAGTGCCCGACGGGGTGGCGTGAGTGCTCTGGGTTGCGGAGTCTTTCGGAGAACAGTGGTGACCTCCTTACCTGTACCCATTGTTGGTGCACAGTGACAGGGTGGGCACCTGACCAGAGACTTTGCTCTTGACTCTCGCAGGGCTGGCTGGGTTGAATGCTGGGCTGTCCCGAGTGTCATGCTCACCATCGACTACACATGGCACCCGATTTACCCCCAGAAAGCAGATGAGCAGCTGAAACAGTCGCGTAAGACTTTCTGTATCATTTGCACTTTGAAAATCTGATGCTATGATTGATAGTCATCAAAGATACAGGAACAGAAAAATGCATCTATTGTTTTGACATAATTGTATATGTTTAAAATCCTTTAAGGATTTGGGTATAATATGGCTAACTTTTATTGAGCACTTACTATGTATCAAATACTAGGCCAAGCTCTTTCTTGACTTATGTTATCTCTTTCAGTCCTTATGTGCCAGAGAAAGCAATTACGTAATTTTCTCAAGGTCTGCCACGATAGGAGCGGCAGAGCTGGCATGGCAAACACAGTACATGTCAGTCTGTGCGTTAATACTTGAAGTACTTGATTTTGTGAAATGTTAGTTTCTTAAGTGCATTTGGTGATATCATAGTTACTCTGAGGCTTCTGTGCCTTATAACTGGGGTCCTCTGCATTTTTCCAGTAGGTGACGTTTTAAAGAACGGTTCTCAAAATCGTTCTCGTGTCCGGAGCTCAGTAACAGCGCACTGTTTGAATAGCTGTTCGTAGGCAACCAAGCGCACGTTAGTCCAAGCAGGGTTAAAGCCTGACTGTGACCTGGGTTCGTGTCGCAGGGGCGCGATGTTCCTGGGAACTTCTCATCACTTCTGTAGTCCGACTCAAGTATTTCTGCTCGTATTTCAGCGAGGTCTCTTCTGTTTCACATTCTTAATTCTTAGTCTTTCAGGCTTGTTTTCATTGTATACTCTAGCCATTATAACAGGGCCAGTTGCTTTCATATTTGCCAAATAGAATTTCTTAGTAGGTCCTTGAAGGACTTCCGAGAGGTCCTCTGCTGCCGTCACCAAACTTTCTGCTCCTGGTTCGTTCAGTGTCAGAGATGGAGGAAACGATGCTGTCTGTGCTGAGGCCGTCCCAGAGGACATCAGACAGAGCCGCTTCTGCTCCCTCCACGTCCTCGCGCCCCCCCGTGGACCCCTCGGAACTTCCGCCGGACAGGCTGCACGTGGAGATGGAGCTGTCTCCAGACTCTCAGATGACACTCTATGGGCCTCTGTTAAATGCGTTTTTGTGTATAAAGGTATGGTTTTTAAAAGAATGCCATCTCTTCTGTGGTCCTGCCACTGTGTAGGCCGGGCCAGAGGGTGCTTGGCTAACGGGGGATGCTGTGACCTGCAGCGAGGGGCAGGCAGTCATTCCTCCAGGGCACTGTTTACTTCCCGCTCTGGGAAGTGCAGACGAAGACCGTCGAATCTCACAGGTCTTCAAAGATCTCTTCCAGGGTGTAGATTGCGAGCTTTTGCTGTAATTGGGGGTGGTGTTATCAAGAAGTTTACTAAATAAACCAGTTACTAAAACCAGTTACTAAACCAGTTACTAAAGTTACTAAATAAACCAGTAACTTTGGGGGCTTTTTTGCTATAGAATATTGATTTACTAAGCAGTCAAGTAAGCATATGTCTTAAATATGTATACTTTTTTACTTATTTTAAGGAAAGAGACCAGATGCTTTTAAGGAAATAAAATAGGCTAGAGAGGTGCTCAGCTTAGGGACTCTGGGCTCCAAGGTGAGAGGTCGTTGCACACCCCTGACGGCAGTCTGTCTTGGTACCTGCAGGAAAACTACTTTGGGGAGGACGACATGTACGTGGACTTTGAGGAGGCTGTTTCGAGTCCTGTTCTGTCCCTGTCCACATCCTCCAGCTCTGGGTGGACTGCCGTCGGGATGGAAGGTGACAGGAGGGAGAACGGAAGCGCAGCCAAGGCAGTGCACCCGCTGTCCCTGCGTCCCTGGGACATCACCGTGCGGGTGAATCTGCACCGAGTCCACGGGCGCCTTCCCGTTGTAAGTGTTCATGTAGCAGAGCGTGGGACTGTGTGTGAAGGGAGCGTGTTTTCTTCAGAATGTGACTCCTCGATCATTGGCAGTTTTGCCATTGTCCTCCTTCCACGCCAGTGCCTTCTTCGCTGTTCTGTGTGAACTACAGGATGTTTTGCCATGGCCCAGAGTTGCGTTGTTTATGGTCAGCCTGGTGGCTGTCCTAGGACTCTGCATTTTCTTAGCCTGTGTCTCCTACTCCAGACCAGCTTGGGGACCTGCAGTGGGCTTATTACAAAGTCAGGGTTCAGGCTCGACTTTGGAGGTCGAATCGTGTCCCTAGAGCTTTGGACCTGGCTTTAAACCCTGGTTCACCCTGAGGTTGACCGCGGGCCTCTCCGGCTAACGTGGAGCGGGATTATATTTCCCCAAGAGCCTAAGGCTCCTGGGGCCCAGTGGGGCCCGATGGTGTCTGACGGGGTTGGGGTGACCCCGGGCCTTGTGCCGCATGTGGGCTCTGTGTCACGTGCCTTGGGTCATACGGCAGAGAAGTCCCCGCTGGTGCACATGGCCCTCCTGTTTCATCCTGGGGTGCAGGTGACGTGCGTGTCAGCAAACACTGTTTCTCTTTGGAAAGTCAGATCTCTTAGTTACATACTTGTAATTTTTATTTTCCTGTACTTCCTTGGTCTTCACCTTTTCTCCATCTCGATCATGCCATTTTGTTTGACTTCAGCATGGGACTTCCGACGGTCCGGAATGTCCCACGGCTTTCTTGGAAAGGCTGTGTTTTGAAATGAAGAAAGGATTTCGAGAGACTATGCTGCAGCTTGTCCTGTCACCCCTGAATGTGTTCATCAGTGACAACTACCAGGTAATGTGACAGCGAGCCATGGCAGAGACTCAGCAGTTTCTTGGTGCTCCTGATGGGGACAGAACCCCGTGTTAGCCCCTGCGCATGGAGCGTTCTGCTCTGTAAGCTAGAGACTTCTCATGTAGCCACAACAAGTTTTGTATGTGTGCGTGTAGGAATTTTTCAAAAGTCTGTTTTGTTTTCTTTTTCTTTCTGTTACTCTCTGTTTATGTGATCCCAGGCATTTATATTTTATATCTATTGTTTTTAGAAGTGGAAATAAATATTTTATAACTTTTTTATTTATTTAGGGAAGGGAAAATATACAAAATGTTGGTGGATTCTACTGAAAATTGCCACCTAAACATTACTACTAACCAGTAGTATAAATCTTCAAGACATGCATATTTGCGCGGCCAGTGATTTAGTCTTTCTGTCCGGCACACTCACAGGATTTTTGTTAATTCCTTCATGTCCCCTCTGGGGCTCCTGTGGAGGAGGACCAGTGACGCTCATCAAGTGGGTTAATTGACATTCCTGCGTAGAGTGTCACCCTATAGTCAGTGCTGTTCAGTGCCAAACGGCTTCTCTTTCTACCGCTGCTTCAGGGCTCTTCCCTACTTTCAGGCAGCTTGTGGGCTTTAGAAACAAATGGATTTACGCAGAGCCAAGTACACATATAAGTGGGAACACGAGTCTGACACCCGAAATCATCAGTGGGTCGACCTGGGGGCTGATGGGCAGGCACTGCCAGCCTCTGACTCCAGAACCCCAAGCACTCTGTGGGGCGGAGCTTTGTGCAGAGCCCCCTTTCAGCACTTACGCTGCAGCTTTCGGAAGCGGCAAGTCTTAGCAGTGCTGGAAATATTTGCTGCTTTTAGTTACGTTTAGTTACAAATAATTACTTGCTCTGTAAAATCAGTCTGCCCTTTTCATGCCTACAAAAGCTGTATGGAAGATGGCTTTCTTCCCCAGTTCTTCATGTTATGGTCTTAATGGTCTGTTGTTCTCTGTTATTTTCTTCTTTTCAATATTTTAATCTCTTGGTCCCTGCCTTCCCATGAGACCTGGGCCCGTGATGTTCCCCATCGGCCACAGTCCGGGTTTCCTTTTCTGCGTCAGGCAGTGGCAGCTCCAAGACCTGCGTTCTGTGCAGGGCCGGCTGCCTTGCTTCGAGGGCGGGCTCTCACGGGCGCCGTCTCACTGCATTAGTTCAGACTCATCTGTGGTCGAGAGACGTGTTGAGGAGCTGGTGCAGCCCGAGCCTTACGTCCTGGGCAGCGTGTTTCCCTGCTTGTCTCTGGGGAGAAAAGCAACTAGAAACTGGAATGCCATTTGCTTGTCTGCCTCACGTCTCAGCGTCCCTGTTTTCAGCAGCGGCCCCCCGCGGACGAAGCGCTCAGGGAAGGTCACATCAGTCTGTCGGGCCTCCAGCTGCGAGCGCACGCCATGTTCTCTGCAGAAGGCCTGCCTCTGGGGAGCGACTCCCTGGAGTACGCGTGGCTCATCGACGTCCAGGCCGGGAGCCTCACGGCCAAGGTCACAGCACCGCAGGTAAGGGTCTGGCCCTGCCCCCACCCCCATTCCTGTTCCTTTGCTCACCCCCAGCACGCTCTGGGAGCAGGGCACTGGGCCCTGGGCCTGCCCGCTGCGCTCGCACCGCTGGCTGGTGCTCTGACTGCTGGCACTTGCGGGTCTCCTAGCAACAAAGCAGCCAGAGATGCGCCAGCTTCTCTAAGCCACGTGGAGCTGAGGAGTGTGATGTTTTGTAGCTCCACGTGACAGTTTAAGGGATTTGACACTTTCTGTGGGAAAAACTCAGGATGGGATATGTATTACACATGTATGCATTATTGAACTCACATTAGTTGGTTCTCTGCTGTTGGAGCAATCTTCTTTTCCTCGTATATAGAATAATTTACTAAGAACTTTGGTTTCCTTGTCTATTTCTTAAGTAGGTCTTGAAAATGGCACCTGTGCTATTAAGGATTAAGTAGCGAGGTCCTTTGCTTGTCTTGTTGTCCCCCAAACAAGACGACATCGCTTGTGCCTGCTGTGAGCACTGTGGCGCTGGCTCCTGGGAGTGAGAACGGGCTCCCCAGTGAGTGGGCCTGGTCTGGAGGGCTGGTGGAGATCCTTTGGATGGGCCCCTCCCTCCCACCACCCATCCAACTGAGTCTACTTTTCACTTACTTATGTAATCTTTACTGCATTTTTCCCATTACCATTGAGTGCCCTTACACCCACCCCCCCTTCCCTCAGCCATCGCCACACTGCTCTCCACGTCCCTGGGTCCTTTTCAGGACAGAGGACTGTGACATTGACCTGTGTGTCTCTAGGAGACTTGGAGGACTTAAGGACTGTTTGCTTCTGGAAATGAAGCACTGAAATCTAGTCAAATGGCTGTGGTACTGTAACACTTCACCTGTCGAGCCGTGTCTTTATGATAATGCGCCTGCTTCTCTTGGCATTGCTAAGGGCTGGAATGTGGCAGAAGTGTATGTATGCAATTTTAATAAAGAGTCACAGAATGGGTACAAAACATGCAATGGAGAGACAGGTGGTGACAGCAAGGTGACTGAAGAATCTGAGCACCTTCGGTATTTAAAATAAATTGTTAGAGACAGCAAAAGTGAAGATTCTAGAAATAGTTGGAAAACGAATGATTTTTGAAAGGATATTTTATGTGAAAATGGATGAAGACAAATAAATATTCAGTGCTCTTGGGCCTCATAACCAGCCTCTGCCCATCACCCACCATTTCCTGTCTCCACATGTACAAGTGAAAATGGGAGCGTGTTTCCCATGAGCTGAGGCAGGTCCCAGGACGGCCAGACTCTTGTGTCTCTAAGCTGAGACGGGGCGGCGGGGGGGGGGGCTTCCGTCGGCCTGGGGTTCATGACCCCACTGGTGCTTCTGACGGGCCACTCTTTGTGTGGTTGAAAGGGAATTGACGCTTTCCAGGAGGTTATATTGTGCACTCTTTACAGAGGGGTGATACCATGTACACCCATGTCTCAGCATGCTTATTAACTGCTATAGTCAGTTACAGGGTTAGGTGAAGAATTGGTACATAGTTACTTAAGCTTCTGTTTACATAAACAGAAGTGTTTCAATCTTCAAAATGTCCAATTTCCTAAAATTATAGTTCAGTATGATAGTTAAATACTCAAATTTCCCATCGAAGCTTGGTTGACTATTAGGTGGAGAATTCTAGGTGCTTTTCTATGCCAAGGGTTCTACTTCTTCATAAAAGAAGAAAGGTATAACCTTGAACAAGAGTACTTGCTTTAGAAGTTGAATTTTTCGGTTGAAATTTGAAATGAGTTTTCATTTTGGCAGCGCACTTGTCATTCACAAATGAAAACTAACACTGGTTTGTGATAATGATGCCCAGGTGGAAAAGTTGCGATGCCGGCGAACAGGCAGACAGGCTGTTCCTTCAGGCTGTTCATGTCCCTGATCAGCTTTCCAGCTCCCAGTGCTTGTCTGGTGTGCTAACGGTGTTGTCCATCTGTGCCGATTGTTTGTAGCTGGCCTGCCTCTTGGAGTGGGGGCAGACGTTTGTCTTCCATGTGGCGTGTCGGGAGTACGAACTGGAAAGGCCGAAATCAGTGATAATGTGTCCGCATGGGATTGATCGTCGGTTCTGTGAGTCCAAGGTACGTTAACAAGTGTGTAAGAAGTTTCGTAAATGTGTTTTTTACAGGATAGATTGAGGGATCAGCTGTAAAGCAAATGTGCACAGCCATGAAGTCAGCACTGTAGTTCAGTTTTTTTCATTGTAACAAAGTTAGTTTTGCAAATGGGTAGCCAGTTATTTAGTTGTAAGTATGAGAAGTATGAGGTAATTGTTCAAACATGCATTCACAAATCCATAGACATATAAAAATTACATCTTACCCTCTTGCATTTTTTCTGTCAACACTCACTTTTACTTCATTATTACACTAAGTCTTTGGGATTTGCTGCGTGTTCACGTGGAAGATTTGGAAATTGAATTAAGGAAGTTCAGATTTCTTCCGTGCATTGTTAGTTGATTTGAATAGAATTAACTGTCCCACCCCCTTTGCTTTCAGTTGAGCTGTATTCCTGGGCCCTGTCCAGCGTCAGATGACCTGAAATACACCATGACGCGTTTGGCGGCCGATGGAGCGGACATCTACGTGGTGGAGCACGGCTGTGCCACAAACATAAAGGTGCCCGTCAGTCTGCGTCTGGGCGTGTGGTTCTTTTCCCTCTGGACCAGACCAGGCCTCCGTGTCTCCAAGTCCAACACGTTCGTGACTTGCTGTCCCGCCCAACACTGCAGAAACCCTAGGAGGCGGCTGCTGTCTTTCACTCCCTCACCTTCCCCTCCAGTATTATTTTTTCAGGCATAACCTCACTGCTTCTTCACACTAAATGAATTATTATAATATTAGCTTATGGCAGAGAGACAAACCACTAGCCTGCTTTTGTGGCAGGGAAGTGAGCCGATGATGTTTTTCAGAGAAAAGCTTGTTTTTAAAAATCAAGCTTTTTAAAGATTCTGTGATTCTATTACTTATCACCCTTCTACTTTTATTCCTTCTCTTGTTTTTCTTTGGACTTACATTCTTTCCCTTTTATCCTTCTTTTAAATTGACTGGTTTTATTCTGTTGCATTTATTTTTTTTCTATTTCTCATTCCCCTTTTTCTTCTTTTTTACACAACTTGAAATAATTACCTACCCTGTAGTTTATTCTAAGTTGCCAAAAAGTGCAGAAACCAGAGATCTGTTTCGTTTTCTTCACTCACCGATAGATGGGTGCCGTTCGGGTGGCAGACTGTAACCTCCACAACCAGACGGTCGGGGAGGGAGTAAGTGCGGCGATTCAGGACTTTCAAGTGAGACAGTACATCGAGCAGCTGAACAGCCCGCGCGCTGGCCTTCAGCCTGCGATCCTGCGGCGGGCCTGCTGGCTGGAGGCCGGCTCGGCCAGCTTAGGACTCATCACTGTGGATGTGGCGCTGGCGGCTGACCACCACTCGAAGCACGAGGCGCAGAGGCATTTCTTAGAAACTCACGACGCCCGCACTAAGAGGTGAGTGGAATCGAAGATGTAAATGGTTACACGACTATAGAGGCAGTTCTACTGGTAGGAATGGGAAGAGAGCCTTTTCAATCAAGACCTCACATGATTGTGTCTCTACCTGGTGACTCCTCGACCTTCAGCTTCGGGTGTCCTTGTGGGTATTTGTCTCCCGGGAGTTTTGGGAGCAGGTGTGTTTGTTTCTGGTACGACCGGGCAGTGGCCGACCACGCGTCAGCTGCTGTGCTGTGAACCTCCCGGGGGAGACTGTTTTGCTTGGCACAGACAGTACACAGTACCCTCATAACAGGTATTCGAGGAATCTGAATGAATGAGTATAAAATGTTAGTGCTAACACCAGTTCCATCCTCCTGAGGCCCTGAGAGTCTGTGCGATAATGCGTATGAAAAAGGAACAGAGAGAGAGCTCTCAGATTCGTGTCATGTAACGTTTTCTAAGAAGGGCGGGGAGTTAATGCCGAGAGAGGTGTGTGTGGGTCACTCACAGTCGGAGAATTTTAGTACATTGTCATTTTTCTTCATTTAGAGTACCTACCACACAATTATTACAAACATTTCTCTAAAATAGAGCATAGTACATTATTTTGGTTTTACTGAGAAACCATTTTTCACTTGACCCATATTTATAACATTTGGGTGTATCAAATTTGCCTTGTGAAATAGGCTCTGAGAATCTAAGGGTAATGCTTCGTCTACTAACCAGAACTTATACTAGTAGCCTTGTCCATTTTTTAGATTCGTGTTTAAATTTGTAGTTCTTTTGAGAATATCCTGTTGTTTTTAAACCGGATTTTAGTGATTTTTACATTTGTTTCTTCCTAGCTCTTTTGTCTTTTTTAATGTGTGCTGTAGCTCTCTTATTATTATTCCTATTTATTTCCGTGTCACTGAACATGGTGACACTATTGTTCGTTTTTTTAGAACGGCAAAATGATTAAAAAGACATACCACAGTAGAAATAAGCCTTTTTGGTTTACTGTGTCTTTTCACATTCATAATTAACTTACTTGTAACTGATTATCTGCCAAAAAGTTCTTCTTTTCTTAGTGAGCTTTTGCCCCATTAGTGTTTCTCATTCGTTTGTTTGTTTGTTTGTGGCTCTGTGCAGGCTGTGGTTTCTGTGGCCCGAGGACCCCCTGCGGAGCAAGAGGTGCAGGCACAGGTGTGGCTGCCTGGGTGGCTGCAGGTTCTTTGGTGGCACGGCGGCTGGCCTGGATTTCTTCAGACTGGAAGAGCTGACCCCTTCCAGCAGCTCTGCGTTCTCGAGCACCGGCGTGGAGGCAGAGATGTGTTATGGGCAGTCTCTGCTACAGCCCGGAGAGTGGATCGTCACCAAGGAGATCCCCAGACCTGCAGAGGGTAATGCGCCCTGCTCCTCTCCTGTCGCCTTTGTCCCTGCACCAACCTGGGGGCAGGGCACTACCACCCTGTTGCACTCGGGTTTGGAGCTGTCCTACAGGGGGATGCGACCATCTCCCTGTGTTGGTCTGGGGCTATCCCGGAGGGGAACGCGACCATCTCCCTGTGTTGGTCTGTAGCTGTCCCAGAGGGGGACACGACCATCTCCCTGTGTCTGGTCTGGAGCTGACCCCGAGGGGGATGCGACCAACTCCCTGTGTCGGTCTGGAGCTGTCCCAGAGGGGGACACGACCATCCCCTGTGTTGGTCTGGAGCTGTCCTGGAGGGGGACGTGACCATCTCCCTGTGTGTGGCAGGCGACTCAGCTGATGCCAGATAAAACATGAGTCTTTCAGATTCACTCAAGGCAAAAATGGGTCCACTATTCATCCAAGCTTATTCTAAATATTTCCTTCCATGTCATTATTTTTCTAGGAGCCAAATTCCAGAGTTGTACCTTGGAATAGTTGTGCTTCAAAGCAACAGTTGTTTTACCAGTTTACTTTAATAAAAACCCTTTAACAATAGTGATGTTCACACCTTCGGCCCCAGAGTCATCACCTGCTTCTGTGAAATGTCCTCGCTGACACCAAACTGTGTCGGGAAGAGGAATGTGGTCTTTCCTTGGAGCCTGTGGGGTAACTGTGCACGTCCGCGCGTGCGGTGTGAGCAGTGCGTGGCGTGTGCACCGCACCATCGGTTTGCCCGGTGTCTTCTCGCTAAGACTTCAGAGGGGCTTTGCCTTTGGGCATCTGGGTCGTGTGGCCCACAGCTCAGTGCGTGCTCACCGCTTCGGTTTTCGGCCTTTGGTGAGAGGTAGGGCCTCGGGAACTCACCGGTCCTGGGCCTTTCTTCCTCGGTCATTCAGAAGCATTCACCTGGCACTGCCTGTCTTCAGTAGACAAACAAGGTTAGGAAAGAATCTGTTTAGGAGTTCAGTGGAGAGGTTTTCCATGTGTAAGGAGCTCTTAGTAGGAAGAGCTGGACGGCGTGGCTCCGTACGCCAGATTCGCGTTTACACCATTTTCCACTGCTGAGTAAGACGTGTGCTCACACTCGTTTAAGGTTGATTTCAGCAGTTTCGCTCATAAGAGCAGATTGTCTTATGAACTCAACCAACACTGAAACTTTTTGACATGTAAAGAAAAGGAAGTTCTAAGTACAGTTTTACTGCAGTGTCTTCTTTATAATATTACTTCCTTACATTTGAGTATTTGTTTTTGAAGATTTTCACAGGCATTTTCTTATTTCATCCCCCAACTTCCATGTGAGTTGTGTGTCATCGCTGTTGACAGTGAATAAACTGAGGCTCGTCACTGAGACTGGGCACACGAAGTCGCGCGGTCAGGTGTGTGGCTGAGCCCGTGTGCGATAGGTCTGAGGACACGTTCCAGGTCAGAGAGGACGGGACAGCCACATGCAGTGATGCGTGGTCCTAGAGCGGGTCCTGTGCTGGAGGCGCAGTGCCGTGAAGGGCACCTCGGGGCCAGGCAGGGGCTGGAAGGCAGTGGCAGATGAACTCGCAGTGCTGTCTAGACACCAGGCTGCTCACGTCGGCACCCGGACCGTGGTTATGTTATTCTTAGGAAATAAACACTTGGGTGTCTAGGTAAAAAGGCCCCAGTGTCTGCCAGGTACTCTCCAAAAGTATTTTGTATATTATATGTGACTAGGGCAAAGGGAACCAAATATTTGAAATAGATAATTCCAAGTAAAGGTGTGTGGTGGTTTTGTGCTGTTCCTGAACATTTTCTATTAAGTTTGAAAATTTTTAAATAAAAGGTTAAAAAAAGAAGAAAAATCTCACTGTCTGTGAACCCACATGTAGGTGGGTAACGTCTTTGCGAAGTCCCACACTTGGCCTTTAAAAAGTGGGGGCGCTCAAAGACAGGGAACTGAACTCAGCGCTGTCTGTCCCAGACCGCCGTGGGGACGGCTGTGCCACGTAGCTGCCCTGGCTCGCCCGTGCAGGTCCTGTGAGTGGCGGGAAGCGGAGAGAATGGGAGAGCAGGCCCACGGGGACGGAGGCCGAGCGGAAGACGCAGCACCTGAGCCTGCAGGTCCCTCTGCGCTGTCACAGCTCGTCCTCGTCCTCCGATGACAACAGCAGCTGCAGCGCGGCCCAGCCCCTGCTGGCTGGGGACCGGGAAAGCCCGTCCTCGGGGGCCGAAGAGCAGGTGCTGCCGAAGGCGCTCCTGCCGGGCGCACAGAGAGACGAAGGCCACGGGAGGTCAGTGTCCTGCAGGTGGGGGCTGCTCGGAAGGGGGCTGGGACTGCTCCATGCGGCAGGAGAAGCTCTTTCCTCTCCACTCCCTCGCCGCGGGCAGTGCCTTCTCCTGGATGTGTTTTCAGGTGTCCACTTGCTGTCGTCCTTTTGGTTATAAAGGTAACACATACCATTCCAGATACTAGGAACATTCAGGAAAGTGTAATGACAAGACCCTTTTGGGTCACCTGGCCTTTCGGAGTGAACCGTTGGTAGCGTTTGGGCAGTCCTGGCCCGGGGGCCATCTTTTGTCCCCCTCTTTCTGCAGTGGTTGACTCCTCCTTTGTTGAAACACGCTTCCCTCCCGACTGGATGGTGCACTTCAGATTTTCCTCCCTCCTCCTGAGCTGCTCCTTCTCCCACATCCTCCGTTTCTTCCCTCCCTTTCTTCATTCTCTTCCTCTCACAGTGGCCCTCGTCACATGGAGCTGTCCCCAGGAGAACAGGGCGCCCTGTTCCTTGCCCTTTCTCCCCTCCCTGTGCTGCTTCCCCAGACCGTCTCTGCAACCTGTTCAGCTTCCCTTAGGGTCTGCAGCCGACGGGTCTGAACTGCAGCCCAAATCTCTGTCTTCACAAGCCCACTTCCCTTCATGACATATGCCCACTGGGCCATCACACTGAGGCCTCAGGCTTGGCATGTGGCCCTGCGCCTGCCACGGCCAGCCGGTTCTGTATTAGCTGCCACAGTCAGCAATACTGGGACTGTCTGTGATTTTTTTTTCTCTCAGGTCCTCTCAGGTAATGAAAGGTCTCTGGTACATTTTCTTGGACAAGGTTTTAAAGGATGTGGAAAAAAAAAGATGAATGCGGTACTTTTCATGGATTATGGATAGAGTATATTATGGGTTTCAGTCTTTTTTTGTTTTGTCTTAAGCTTCCTCAGTTTTTTTGAAACTATATGGGACGGGAGCACATTGTACAGTTTTGTTACTTCCTGTGGTTATTTCATTGTGCAATCTTAGGTTTTCCTTTGTAAAACAAATGATTCAGATTACTAGAGGGCTTTGTTTTAAAGATTGCATTAGTTTATTTACTTTCAGAGAGAGGGGAGGGAGGGAGAGAAACATCAGTGTGAGAGAGAAACATCTGTCTGTTTCCTTCTGCACGTGACCCCAACTGAGACCAGGCCCATAACCAGGGCATGTGCCCTGACTGGGAACTGAACCGGCGACCTTTTGCTTTGCGGGACGATGCTCACCAGCTGAGCCGTGCCGGTCAGGGCATAGGAGGAATTTATGAGCACTGCTGGTTGCACTTGGAACAAATTATGTGAGCAGCGAAGGGTCATGGCTTTGCTTTCTGTTTCAGTGCTCCTGCAGAAATTTCAGGACATAGCCCCGTGTCTCCAAACACGCAGGACAAGTCAGCAGGTCAGTCCCCGCTGCGGTCCCCACTGAAGCGACAAGCCTCCGTGTGCTCCACCCGACTGGGCAGCACCAAGAGCCTCACTGCCGCGTTTTATGGGGACAAGCAGCCCACTGCCACGGGAGTCCAGTTCAGCAGCGACGTCTCCCGCAGCGACGAGAACGTCCTAGACTCACCGAAGCAGAGGCGGAGCTTCGGCTCGTTCCCGTACACGCCGTCGGCGGACTCAAGCTCCTTCCCTCAGTACCGGTCCATGGACTCCAGCATGTCTGTGGCCGACAGCGAGGCCTACTTTTCTGCCGCTGAGGAGTTTGAGCCCATTAGCAGTGACGAAGGGCCTGGAACTTACCCAGGGAGGAAGAAGAAGAAGAAGCAGACGCAGCAGATTGACTACAGCCGGGGATCCATATACCACAGCGTGGAGGGACCGCTCCTCGGCCACGGAGAGAGCCTTCAGGACCCCCGGACCCTGCCATTCAGAACCCACCCTTCCCAGGCCTCCTTCGTGTCTGCTCTGGGTGGGGACGACGATGTCCTGGAGCACCTGGACGCTGCAGAGGGGGAGAAGGTGGTGGGGAGCGAGCCAGGCGCATCTCAGCAGCCAGCCACGAGCTGCTACCAGACGTACCTCACTCAGTTCCAGGTGGTGAACTGGGCGGTGAAGCACCCGGCCAACAAAAGGACCTCCAAGTCCTCGCTGCATCGCCCCCTCGATCTGGACACGCCCCCCAGTGAGGAGGGCTCGTCAGCGTGCGAGCAGCTTTCCGTGCCAACTTTTAAGGTATAAGTCAAATTGTCAGTCTCTACTGATACATTTACGATACATTTACGTAGAAAAATAAGTTCGGAAGGGTTCTCGGAATTGCACTCAGTCATTTCAGCTACTTTTCTGAAAGATAGACTTTCTGAGGTCTGGGCTTCACCATTCTGAAGTATGGTAGTAGGTCTCAGTAGTTACAAAGTTGCAGACTGAGAAATAGTTACAGACTTGAAAGATTGCAGCGTTAACTAATGGTAATAGTCCCTTTCTACACTGTACTCTTAAAATAGGATCAAGTCTCTGTGAATTGGTACTTTCTGTGTCTTAAAAGTAAGTTTTGATGTTGTTTTTGGTAGTGGGTGTTGTAACCCGTAGCTGCTACTGTGCAAACGCAGCCCCACCCACTCACCACCGGGTCTGACAGTGCAGTGCGGCTGGCCGTTGGCCACCTCCGTGATGCGGTCTGTGAACAGCTTTCGGTAGGAAGGCCATAAAGAAGTCAGTAAATGGAGTGACAGCAGCCACTATGAAAACTTATTATAGAATTGCACATTTCTAAGAGAAAGTTTTATGATTTTAAAGACCACAAGCAAGCACGTGAAATCTTACAGAACTGGTTACACATAGGTGAGCACGTACTTGAAGTGTCTTAATCTATTCATTTGTAATTCATGTGTTATGTGCCACGTGAGCCCAGCACTCGCTGTGGGGAAAGTGGCATGGGGCGTTTCATTTGGGGACAGGGACAGACAGTGGATAGATGAATGGATAAGCACATAGGGACAAGTGCGAAGAGTCTTGTGACAACAGCCAGAGGGTGCTGGGAAGGAGAATGATAGGTCGTATTGACGAGACAGCCCCAGTTCAAACTGGGGCTCGAAGGGCGAGGAGGAGCGGAGGGCGGGAGACCCGGGGCCGAACGTGCAGGCACAGGAGTTGCCTCGCTGACGGGCTGCAGGGGAGTCAGTGTGACCGGGGTGTGGCGGGTCAGCAGGGACTCGCTCCTGATGGCCCGGAGACCTGCACAAGGGTGGCAGAGCAGGTGTCAGGAGTGAGAGTGCATTTCAGCCTCATTCGGACATGCACATGAGCCTGGGCAGCAGCCTGCGAAGGCGCATGCTGGGCTGCTCAGTGGGACTGAGTCGTCAGTGTGCAGGGGAGGAAGGGGGTGGAGCTTACGGGGCTGTGGCAGCTGGGGCTCACCCAGTGATGGGACTGTGGTAAATGGAGTTGAGTAAATATCCCTGTAGGTGTGCAGAGGCATGTACATGCAAGCGACGTGCACTGAGGAAAGGAAACAGTAGTGAGAGGTGGAAAGTTTTGGTTTTGGGGTTGTGCCCATGTCTTTCCTTGCCTGGGCTAACTTGCTCATGCTAAGATTTAAAAGTGCTTTCTTTATTCCATGTGAATGTTAGTGTATGAATTTTGTGGTGTGAAATCGAATGGTACTTGTACAGCATAGGATCTGAGGGGTTAGAATTATTTTAGTATTTTCAGTAAATCTGTTGGGTTTGATTAAGCAGTCAAATGTCTGGAGAAAGTAAGTCAAGGAATTCATATCTTTAGGTCATTTTAAAAATAGAACATGGGAAGTAAGAAAGTTGTTGTTCTCCATTAAATGTAAGTAGCTGCCTAACATTTAAAAGGGTTCAGTTCGCTTGTTCAAGTGCTTTATTTATATTTTTCATCTTTCATGGACCTAAAATACAGTCTGGCTTTCCTGTTGTGTAAAGTTTGTATGGGATTTCCCACTCACCTGCCCATTGTGCTAGGAAATGACTTTAAAATCAGCCTGACAGCTCGATTTCAAAGCCGTGCAGGAAGAGAGGACTTGGAGCACTGCCTCCGAGCCTTGCTGTCTAGGCTTCTGCTCTCAGTGCTGAGCCCGTAGGGCGCTGCTCTGGCCTTTCACTGGATAAACCGAAAGTGAGGTTGCCAAATAAATACTTTCTGGGATTTTCTCAGTTTGTCTGTCAAATATTTAGGTCATATATGTGAAAGTCACCTTAATGAAGTAATCTGGATATTCACAAGTAAAGCATAAAGTTGGAGAATAACGCTAAAATTCGAGTATAAGTGGTGTTCTGTGTTGTTCTAGGTTATCAAGCAGGGGCTCACAGCTAATTCTTTGCTAGACAGAGGAGTGCAACTTTCGGGGTCAACTTCAAAGTAAGTGAAAATAAATACTTTTAAAGCCTCAAGCCCGTCTGTCTTGATTATGAGACATGCAGAGTTTATTCTAAACAACATCCATCCTTTATCTGAATATAGAATTCATTTTATGAATAAATTACCCCGAGTAATTCAACTGTTGGCTCTCGTGGCTTTGCCTGCATCCGTCAGTAGTCGGGGCATTTCTCGTAGCTCACCCTGCAGCCGTCCCCGGGCTCACCGAGACGGGGGCCTGGCAGGAATTCTCAGGTGCGGTTTTCGTATTTCGGAAAAGCTTCATTAAGTAAACACATCACAGTGGTTTTCTCACTTGCTATATTAACCATGTTTGGTCAGTTTCTACTTTAGTGTCTCACTTGTCCTGTCTTTGAAAAGTATTTGGGACATGGACTGTCTAGCCCAATTCCATGAACTTTTCAGTTGGAATAAGTGTAGGTCGAAGTGTTTACTCCCCCTGAGGACGCTCCAGCTGCTTCCTCTCAGTCTCTGTAACGCGCACTTGGCTTGTCCAACGTGCAGGACACCGTACACCCCTCTGGAGAGGAGAGCCCCAGAGAGCTCGGAGGACGACCCCGTGACGGACGAGTGGGTTCTGGACCAGCCCGTCCCCCAGACCAGGACGACGGCCGTGGTGGAGGTCCGAGGTGCTATGGACATCGTGCTGACGCCCCTGGTGGCTGAGGCTTTAGACAGGTATTGAGTTTGTCTAAGGCCGTACCTGTCGTCTCATGAAATGACGAGTGGGTGCTGTGCAGTGAGCGTGCGGGGTGTGTGTTCGTAGAGAAGGATGCGGTGGTGGATGTCTGGGTGAGCAGACACAGAGAGACATTTTAAAAGGTCTGTGTCTCACTTAGCTGTCATTTGTTACTTTTCCTTCCAAAGGATTATATTGTAATGTTATAAGAAGTATATTGCATCATTTTCGTTTTTTTGCTTTGGGCCAGTGAGCATGAGATGATCAGATGCCCAGTAATTAATTATTATGTTTGATATTCTCACTGCTGCCCAGTTGCTGGAGGGACAGAGGGGTGATAACAGGCCCCCTGTCCTGCAAGAAGTCAGAGGTTATCTGGGGAGACAGAACTGCCCTGCACGTGGCCCAGAGTGGAACGCGCAGTGAAGCGTCTCGGTCACCTGAGCCTCCCGTTCGTTGCTCTCCTCCCACAGATACATCGAGGCGATGGCCCATCGCGCCAGCACCCGCCACCCGGCGGCCATTGTGGATGACCTTCACGCCAAGGTCCTCAGGGAGGCTGTCCAAAACAGCAGGACCACCTTCTCAGAGAATGTAAGGACTTCTTCAGTCCAGTGTGGCGAATTGAGTATTCTTCATGTGCAGCTAATAGCCAAACTTGAAAAAACTGAACTTATTAAAAATGTATTCTTCATTTGAATTGGAACATGCGGACATTTCTAAATGGCCTTTGTATGTCATTGGCTCCATAAGAGATGGCAATCTACTAAACTGTACTGCGGGTTAAGTAGTAGTCAGATGTTTATTAAAATGGAGCTTTATCTTCCCATTTATTTCAGAAGTAGCTTAATTCTAGCTCTGTCCCGAAAAGCTCTGGCCCTGAGTGAATGGGCCTGCTCCAGGGCTGGTTTTCATTTCCCGAGGAAGCAAAGCTGTTAGTGTTTTGGATATTCTCTATGATGAGAAAACTTGTCTCTTACTTTTTTTGAGATTGTTTGCTCGACTCGGGGAGTCAGGTCCCCACCCACTGGCATCTGACATCCAGCTGCTGCTGTGGTCAGAGCCACCGCCGTGGCGAGGTGGTTGCGTCCCGCTGCCCTCCTGCCAGGTGCCCTCAGCTCGCACGTTGGTCCGGGTCCTGTGTGGACTGGGCACCCGAGGCCCAGTTGGGGGAGGCCGACTGTCTTCAGTGATCCAGTTATTGCAGTATATTGGGAGTTAGGGTGGAGGGGTACATATCAGAAGAAATTGGAGAGTTTTCTCAGGCAGCAAGGAGCCGATTTGGAGAAACCAAATCTGCCCTCAAGTACCATGAGTAGAATTTAGGGATCCGAAAAAGTACCCACTGTTGTTATTATCACCGTTTCTCTGCGGGCCTGTGTCACTTTTCTCTTTGTCACTTCTCTGAGCGCCGAAGCTGCCAGTCCCTTTGGTCCAGTTTGGACTTTAAGACCAGGGTGCTAACCCGATGGCAGAGGGCCCCCCAGGGGTGCGAAGGTGCAGGGAGAAGGAGCAGGCGGCTGGGGTGGCAGGTGCGACGCGGTCATGAAATAAGACTCCTACGTCCACTGCCTGTAGTTATCCTCCAAACAAGACGTCAGAGCAATGAAGCCTGAGCACCCTACCCTGGGGACGACGCCCGAGGGACAGACGCAGACCAGCCTCGCGGTGAAACCGGACAGTGTGACCGTCAAAGGCCTGCAGGCCAGCGTCAGCATACCAAAGGTGACTGGCCAGGGGCTGACGCGTCCTGGTGGATTCGTCTTTTGTATTCACTGAACCGAGTCAGGGTGGAATGTCAGAAGCAGGTGTTTTATTCCCTCGATGAGCTAATGTAGGAATTAATGTAACATAAATAAGCTTACTTCAGCAGAGTGTTGGATATGATACACCACAGGGTCCACATCCATCCAGTAAGAATTTATGATGATTTTGTGAGGTCTATGTTCACACGCTTTGTCTTCGTGACCCTCAGACACGTGCAGGTGCCACTCCTGGCAGTAGTCCTCACTGTTCTGGAAAGCGTGCGCTCGACCATTTCTCACTGCTCAGCGCTGACAGTTGTGCTGTTCTCTGTGTCAGATCAACTTATGTCTGTTGCAAGCCTCAGTGGAAGAGGCCCCCAGCACGGCCCCCAGCAGAAGTGTGACTCACGTGTCCCTGGTCGCTTTGTGTTTCGACAGAATCGCCACGCAAGTCCGCATGAACAGGTAGGGGTGAGTTTAGTGACCTGAGCCATGATGATCTTACTGGATGAGAGAACAGGCCTTACCCATCTTTATAATGCGTTTCTGAAAATTCCAGAGTTAAAGCCCAAAACTGGTATTGGAATTTTAAATCTCCCTTTGTGGGTATTTGAAAGTTTGTACTGCTTGTATTTCCACTTTCCTTCAGTGGAGAACAAAGACTGTCCTTTCACACTGGTTTAGTTAGAACAGCGGAATGCTTGCTCTAAACCGCTCGTGAGTGCGGTGTGTTTCCCGAGCCGTGCTGCTGAGACGTGAGCATGGTGCCCCCTTTTCTTTTCTGTGAAGAGGTGTGGTCGAGGAGGCTGCCAGCGGCACGGAGGCCGGCAGGGCGTCCCGGTTCGACAGGTGTGTGCACGCCACCAGGATGCAGCCGCAGTCGTCTGGGTCACTGAGGTCCAACGCTGGAGCTGAGAAGGGCAAGGAGATCGCCGCCAAGCTGAACATCCATCGAGTTCATGGGCAGCTCAGGGGTCTCGATACAACAGGTAGGATTTGGCAGCAGGTGTTTTGCGAAAGGAGGCACTTCCCCCTTTGAGTGTTGCCGCGATGGCAGTGTTCTGTGAGAAGGAGGCGGGCGTTCCTGCACACGTCGAGCCCGCGGGGTCCACCTCCCTGTCGCTGGCACTCGAGGCCAGATGGGAGGCAGGCTGCGGCCGGCGAGTGCACGGCATGGCCCCAGTTAGAAACCGCCTGTTTCTCCACGCTGCCGCTGCTCATTGTCCTGCACACTTCGGTAGCCATTCTGTCCACCCCACCTCATTAAAACTATTAGCTCAGTGTCCACGATAGATGGTGAGTCTGTGAGATGCAGCGGCAGCAGGAGTGGTAGCCCAGGTCCTGCCTCTTAAAGGCCCTGCTGCAGGGGAGGACCAGATGCGCCAACTGCCTGAGCCTCTCCACGGCGCCCCGTGCCTGTGCTCCTTCAGAGGTCTGGGCTACTTCAGTGTCCGAGGTTCAACCCAGAAGAGGACAGTCGTCCGCGAGGGGACTGCTGTCCTGAGCAGGCGGATCATTGCCCTGGAGCCACTCACTGAGTCCTGTTGGTTCAGAAGTCCCCGAGGGCTGTCAGGGCTGTCGTGGCTGCGTCTGTGTAACCTCTGAGCTTTTTCGAGGTCACGACCCCACCCTTGTGTCTGAGGCTGGAGCACCGGACCTGAGGGTTCTGAAACAGCGTTTCCAACTCCCGAGTTGAGTAGTCCCCATGCAGGTGCAGAAAGCAGCAGCGTCCGCATGAAAGGCCCCCTTGTTGTGCACTGTGGCCCCTGTGCACCAGGGTGCTGGGCAGACCAGAAGCAGTAACTGAATACACATTTGAAAGGTGCATGATGCGGATGAAACTCGTCAAGACTCCCCAAGAAAGTTTAAGGAGACTATAGTGTAGAATAACACAGGGAAAAAATGTGAATGTTAAGTGTGCATAAGACATTTGTGGAAGCATATTCAGTAAGCTAACGACTGGTGGTACCTGTAGAGGGGAGTGTATATGCAGGGGCTCTCGCTGCAGACCCTCTCACATCCTGGGAGCTTCGCAAGCGCATCACCTAACCACAAGTCTAAGTAAAAAGCAAGTTATATCCTCACCTTACACCATATTTCAGAGTAAGTTCATGCAGTTAGACAAATGTGAAATAATTAGATAATGAAAAAACTACAGGAAAATGACTTGGGAAGCCTTTCTAATCATGAATGCAGAGTATGTTCCTGGTGGAATATCCTGCAGCTGTTAAAATGCTGTCCCGGAGCAGCTGCTAAATAAGGTGCCGGTGGGGTTGCCGCCGCTGCTGGAGATGGGGGCAGGGCGGGGCTCGCAGCAGGGCTGGGAGGGGGCTTCACCTGGGTGAATTTACGTGTGTTTTCTTAATCTTGTTTCTGATTTTTAATTTTTTCGTATTCATTAGCTATAATCAGAGAAATTTTAACAAGTAAGGTAAAAAGGAAAAAAGTGCCAGAAACGTGGGATGTTAATTTTCATGTCACAGGTACGAACGGTGGACTATGGCCTGAATTGTGTGGAATGTGTTAGCATAAAGCGGTTTTTTAGTAAAAGCTGTTTCGTTTTGTTTTGTTTTTTAGCAAATAATTTTTTTTTGAGGCTGAGTAACTAAAACAATTTTTTACATAAAATAATGAGAAAGTATTTAAGAATAGTTCTCTGTGTAGCTGAATCACACAGGAGCTTTTAAACTTCAGACTTTTGAGTCGCTCTGCCCTTTCGGAAGTGAGTCCGTCCTGCCTCCGGGTAGCCGGCCGCCTTGTTAACTGTGGCACGTCCCCCCAGCCCCCCTGGGGTGGGGCCAGCTGTGGGTGTGCAGCGCCAGGTCAGGCGGCTTTCGCAGGAGCAGCCTTCGTCTGCTTGTCTTTAGTCTTTGGCAGGCTGCTCAGACACCTTGTGAGCACCACCACTGTGCTAAATGTTTACATGGTTTGTTGTTTGAAAAAATACGTAAAGCCTCTGTCTGTAAAAGTGGCGGTGTCGTTCTCTTGTGATGACAGATGTCGGCACCTGTGCCATCACCGCCATCCCCTTTGAAAAGTCCAAAGTGCTGTTCACGCTGGAGGAGCTGGATGAGTTTACGTTTGTGGATGAGACTGATCAGCAAGCTGTGCCAGACGCGACCCGAATTGGTCCCAGCCAAGAGAAGTGGGGCTGGATAATGTTCGAATGTGGACTTGAAAACCTAACCATAAAAGGTAGGTGTTTTTTCTTTTTTTTTTTTCAATTCTGCTTCAGTGGGGACAGACCGGCCGCACACTGCTGAAGTGTTTGGAACACTCGTGACTTTCAGCAACCCAGACCAGCACATGGGAGCAGCAAGCGTGGGGCTGGGGTTGTTTACCAGGGGTGGGCGTCCCGTCCCTGTTCCCTCCATTGTGTGGTCCAAAGCCAGCAGAGCGTCCAGACCCGCAGCATCTCAGCGCCTGCACAGAGTGATCTGTGGCTCAGATCAAAGCCGCCCAGCTTCTGAACACTTGTGTCTTGGAAACCGGAACTTTGATGAGCAGAGCTGGGCCCTGTAGGGTGAGAATGCTGCGACCCGTTATTCAGGGAGACAGACCGACCTACGGTTGTGCTTGTGTTCTTTCACGTGGCTGAGTAGCGTGCGAGACAGGAAGGCTGACTTGTGCAGGAGCCATTTGGGGCTAGTTGTACATAGTAGGGGTGTACGTGCCTACGATTGCTTCCCTGGTAATCTGATTTCACGTCACCTTTGTAGGTGGGGCTCAGTTTTGGTGAGAATGAAAAAGTTCTTTATGAGATGTTTGTTTTTCTCTGTGTGGGTATGGTAGAGTGTGATACCAAATGTCTTAATAAAGATGTTCTCGCATTTGGCAGGAGGAAGACAGTCCGGTGCTGTTTTGTATAATGCTTTTGGGACAATGGGCAAGGCGAGCGCCACCGAAGGGGGCGGCGTGCTGACGTCCAATCACTCCTCGGACTCCCCGACGGGCAGCGGCTACAACACAGACGTCTCTGACGACAACCTTCCCTGTGACCGAGCCAGCCCTTCTTCCGACTTAAATGGAAACTCTGTTTCTGATGAGCAGGTTGGTCAATGATGATGATACTTTGGAAAAATAACAAACCCTAGAAAGCAGCACACCCACTCAGACTTCGTTTCTGGGGTACATTTGCTGGTCTTCCTATAGATTGGATCGTGCTTACGTGGTGGATAAGGCATTTTGGTAGTAAATGATTCCACTTCCACCAGAGTAGTTTTCGTGGGCACCGTGTCACGGACACATGGATGTCTGTCATAGCACCTAACACGGTGCTGTGTTCATGTCAGGTGCGTAATGAGGTTTGCTGAATTATTGAGTTAACAGAGTTTCAGAACGTGATTTGTTTTTAAGTTAGTTCAAGGATTTCAGCAGAATTCAACTTTTAAATAATTAGTTTCGGTACTGGTAGTATTTCATGCCGGTTCTAAATATTTTTGTCACCATCTGCCAATTCCAGTCAGACCCCAAAAGACACCTCAGATGCCCCCCATTTATTATTTTTATTATGGCAGAATTTCATGGTGATAAGTACAGGAACCACAGTAATGAAAATATTTAAAATTCTAGATTGCAAAAGCATTGCACCAGTTACCGGTGGGTGACCTCGGGCGAGTTGTTCACTCTCGCCAGTCTCTGCGTCTGGGGCAGGAGAGTGCGCGCACTCCGCTCTCTGGAGTCACGGAGGGTGGGGCGACCACTCGAGAGAGACGCCGGCCTCAGGGTCTGCCGCCCAGGTCGAGCCTGTGGGGCACTCTCAGGCTGGAGCTCAGACGTGCACTTCCGATCACATCAGGGTTAGACCAGCTGAGGCAGGAAGAGACCACCTTTTCTTTAAGAACTGTGTTGTGGATACGCCGTGTTTATTTGCAGAATCACCCACGAACCACAGGTTTCTAGGAATTTCTTTGGAAACATTCATTTTGATTTGATGTATAGATCAGAAGTTTAATCCCAGCTTCCTTGTGGGGTCTTTGGGGGACGGGTGGGGACAAGCACTTCAGTGAATAAATTAAAGGGTCCGTGGCTGTTCCCTGGACAGAGGAGCCCTGGCCGCTCGTTCCCTCCGCCACTTCACCTGCGCACACCTGAGGCAGCTCGGGCGCCGCCTCGCCTCTGCTCCCGCTCTCCCGCTGAGGTGCCCACTGGTCTCAGTGTGGGGTTCTTCCCCTGGCCCATTTCCCTTTGCAGCTCTTTGTCCGTGGCAGTGCTGTTCTCCTGGGCTCTGTCCTCGTTTCTTGGGCCAGCCCCGGGGATGACGCTGCTCCGTCCCATGGGCTCTGCCATCAGCACCAGCCCTCCCCGAGCTCCGGGTCCTATCGGGGGACCTCTCAGATACCGCTCCCCATGTGCCGTGTGCACCAAGATCCACTCGGGTTTTTATTCTTCCTCGCTTCCCATGTTGTGACAATTAGCTGCTTATTGTCTACTAACCCCCCTCTTTCTTTGAAATTTCTCATTCCTCAAGTCTGTCTTCTGTGTCCTCATACACCCACTGCCTGGCTTTCAGCCCTGTCTGGAGCCCACAGGCCAGGTGCATTTGAGAATTCAGGTGGTTTTCTTTCAAAAGAGAGGTAAATATGGGGTGTGTACGATATGTTTGTTACTTGAACTTCCAGCGAATTTGAGGCCGTTTCACCTTGAAATACTTAAGTATTTTTGCAGCACAATTTAAATCAAACTACCTAGTGGGATAAAGAGCTTCTCATCAGTCGGATTGGGTTTTGATGCCACAGGTGCAGAAAAGGGTTAGGTTTTCAGAGCGCCGTGGATTTCAGAATCACAGACAAGGGGGTGGAGTGCCTGCCTGCGCCCCCTCCCGTGACTGGGGCCTGGGATCCACCTGGTGTCATAACACGTGGGGTCGGGAGCTGTTTTGTGGGTGTTCTTCGTGCCTCGATCCCTCCACGGGAGAGTGCTGGTCTTTCCTTTATCGTGACCGGTGATATCTGAAAGTGAATCCAAGACCTCCAGCAGATGTCAAAGGCAGGAGACTTTTGTTTGTTTTCTAATACTCCACTCCTCACCTCCCTGCATTCTGAAGGGCTGTGGCTGCCCATAGTTTTCTGTTTCCCAGGACAGCTTTAGATGTGAGCGTGACCGAGGGTTTTCACAGAGTGTTGTTTGTCTGGACATGGGTTACAGTGGTACTGGTCATGGCTCTTTATTTGGCGGCTTGAAATATTCTGTGCTGTGGAAGATGGGGTTTAGTCGGAAGCAGAAGACCTTAATTCTGTCACTTACCTAGTCACTAGCTGGGTAACTTCTGGCAAGTTACAACACCTCTTTCTGTCACTTTCTTCACCTGGAAAAGAATAGCACTTCGAGTCCCTAAGCAGTAGTTCCAGGTGCTCTGTATTACGCAGGACGAAGGAGTCGAGTCTGATGACCTGAAGAAAGACGTGCCCCTCCTGCCGCCACCGCCCGACTCCTGCAGCATGAAGCTCACCATCCAGGAGATCTGGTTCAGCTTCGCGGCCCCCACCAACGTGCGGTCGCCAGCTCACGCGTTTTCTAGGTAAGGGGCCTGGAAAGTGTGCTGCTGTCACAGTCTCTTCATCTCAGCGACGTGCAGTGCTCTGTCACGTGTGTTTTGAGTCACCTTTCGGATAGGTCTAGTGCCAGGGCCACCCTGTCTGCCCGCCTCTCCCAGCTCAGATGCCGTTGGCGTTTGTCCGACATCATTTGTTTCCCAGGGCATTAGTTTTACATGTTGCCCTGCCACGAACTTTTCATTTTTCTCACCTCTAATAGGCTCTTTTATATTTCTTCTTTTCTATTATCTGGTGGTCAAAAGGAAAATAATTTTGTCTAAACAAAATAGCCACTAAGTACAGTAGATAAGGAAAATTGTTTGAAATACAATCTTGACATTTGTCTTACAAATTCCTAAAATACACCTGAAGGCAGCTGAACCTTCTGAGCACGGCGACCCCTGCTGTTGGTGCCTGGCTCGTTCCCATCGATCAGCTGAAGTCGGCCTTGAACAAGCTGGACACAGAGGGGACGCTGCGAGTCTGCGCCGTGATGGGCTGCATCATGACTGAGGCGTTGGAGGTAGGTCCGCAGCATCCAAGGCGGACCTGGAGCTTGCATTGAAAATGACCCTGGTCTTTTCAACGCAAGCTGCGATGCCAGATAGCCTCTGTTTGTGTCGTCCTGAGTACATCATTCTGAGCCTGTTATTTTGCTTTGTTTCAGAATAAAAGTGTGCATTTTCCCCTAAGAAGTAAATACAACAGACTGACAAAAGTTGCCCGCTTTCTCCAAGAAAACCCTTCGTGTTTGCTGTGCAATATACTCCACCACTACCTGCACCAGGCCAATTACTCCATCATCGATGACGCCACCATGGTCAGTGACCGGGACACATGTGGCTCCAGAGAGGCCTCTGCCATCAGGGACCATTGACCCACGGGGCGGGAGAAGCATGTGGGCAGTTAGAGGAAGAGTGCAGGTAGCCACGCAGGCTGCGGGGGGCGGGCGGCGTGAAGTGTTAGAAGATGTGGTCATGGGTGAGACTTGTGGGGTTGGAGTGTCGAGTAAGCAACCGGTCAAGGATGGGTCCTGGAGAAAACTGAAGTTAAAGGAGCTGGGGAGGGAATGGAGAACCGGGAAAGGGCGTCTTGGAAGCCAAAGGTGTAGTGACTTCCAAGCAAGAGAGTCATCTCCAGAGTGGGACATCACAGCAGCATTTCAGCACAAGGGCTTTCTGATGACCGAGGGGGGATGACGTGGTTGTACAGAGGAGTTCGGTGAGCCTCTGCCTGTGAAAAGCTCTTCATAAGGCAGCGATGGTCAGGGGTCAGGGCTGCAGGCGGCCTCTGCCCTTCACCAGCTGCTGTCAGCAGAGCTACCCGGGGCCCTTCGCCAGGTCAGGGGTCGGTGGGTCCGTGTTGTTCCAGGCCAGCCTAACATCTGAGTTCTGGTCTCACCATTTCTGAGTGGCAGTTACGAGACCTAAGTGACTCAATGCTGCAAAGCGCTTTGGGGAGAACTATGGTTGCTGTAGTGAGGTGACAGCTCCTCACACCCTTGTCATCACAGAGCGACGGGCTTCCTGCCTTGGTGACCTTAAAGAAAGGCTTAGTCGCACTGGCCAGGCAGTGGATGAAGTTCATTGTGGTGACGCCGGCCTTCAAAGGAGTCAGCCTGCACCGGCCGGCCCGGCCCCCGCAGCCCCAGGCCACCTCGGACCCCGACCAGGAGGACGGGCTCGGGCTGGACAACGGAGGGGGCCTGCAGAGCGACACCAGCGCCGACGGGGCCGAGTTCGAATTCGATGCAGGTGACTGTAAACATTTAGCTGGTGACTTACGCACTTGGTAGCCTAGTGCAGGTAGCAATTGTAATGATTTGTGCCCCGAATTTAGAATTTGAATTTGTTATAGCTTAATTATATAAATATGATTTGTATTAGTCCAGGTAAATGGTAATAATATTGGAGTCTTACACTGATTTGATTCTCAATATTAATTTGTGTATTGTGGTAGACTTCTCCTGATCCATCCAGGACAGACAGTAGACACCTTCGCGTGACTAGAATATTTTGAGGGAAACATGTTAATTCTCTATTTAAAAATCATATTTGTCTCTCTGTCAGCTCGCCCTGTGCCACAGTGTCTGAAAGGGGCCTTTGACTTTCACCCAGGGCCTGTTTGAGCCTGACTTTATGTCACGTTTGGGGGCTTGGGCTCCGTCCAGGACTCTGTCAGCCTAGTGGCTTAGCACACGGGCTATGCGTGTGCATCTCACACACCTATGGGGCAGGACACACGTGGGCTCGCAGCTGTGAGTCTGCGAGCCAGTTTATTCTTGTGTTACTGTGAACTGATGACTATTAGCTCCCGCACCAACAACTGTGAACCCACAGTCGCCCCACCCTGTACGTACTCTAGTGCTTTTCAGAGTTGTTTTCACCGTTCTCATGAGAGCTGGGTTCTGCCCACTGCAATTTACCTTATGGTAGCTTGAAAAAATAATACCAGTGCCACAGGAAAAAGGCAGTCTGGAAATGAGAGCTTTCAGAACAGTGACATGTAACACTTCACCCAGATTCTCTGTTTTCAGAAACGTACATGTGATTCGTGAATGTTTTACAGCCTATGAGGAATAGGCTGTGTTTTATTTATTTTGACAAATTTCGAGTCTGCACAAAAGCTGAAAGATCAGTGTGGTGGGTGGGCCTCCTAATTAATTCCCTGCAAATGCGGGCGTCACTCTGAAAACCCCAGGCTCTCTGAGCTCAGCTGGACTGGTGTGGGGTCCCTCGCCAGGGGGCGGTGTGTGTGTGAGAGCGCAGGTGTGTGTCCCTCTCCCGAGGCTCAGTGAGGAGACAGGGCGGGACGAGTGAGGGGCGAAAGGAGGGGAGCGCAGGCAGCTCGCCAAGGAGCCCGTCCGCCCAGTGTGGTGGCAGCGCCAGGGCCGCCGGGCGGTGTTTGGGGGAGTGCCTGGCGCTCTGCAGCCGCTTACCGTCGGTCCGTTGCAGCCACCGTCAGCGAGCACACGATGCTGCTGGAAGGCCCGGCCAGCCGGCCACCCGCTGGTGGCCCGGGGCCTGTCACCGGGGCGGAGATCATGAGGAAGCTGTCCAAGACGCACACCCACAGCGACTCCGCGTTGAAGATAAAGGTACAGTTTCGCTGTTTTTAAGAGTTGTTTAGACTTGCGGAGAATACCCTGACTTTGGCTATCTCAAGTTTAAGTATTAGGTATCCACCATAAATATTTAAATTTGGTAAAAATAGTCTTTGTATGTTGAATTTTACATGATTGGTAACTTTTAGTGCACGCGTTTCTTTGCAAATTATATCACCGCAGTAACTAATATTGAGTAAGGACTACTTCAACTACCAAGCCTTAGGGTTCTCTTTTTAGTTCCATTGAATATTGTGGTCAATAAAGTAGAGTACTGAGAATGTCCATCACCTTGCGATTGTGCGTGACCAGCGTCCAGTTGGAGGCAGTGTGTGGTTCTGAGGACGGCGTTTCGTTTGGTGTGTGCGCCGCAGTGAGCACTGGTGGCGGTGCGGCAGCGGTGGTGCTGGCGTGTGAGGAAGAGCCTTGTGCTTCCTCTGCAGGGCGTGCACCCGTACCACTCTCTGAGCTACACCAGCGGGGACACCGCCACGGACTCACCGGTGCACGGGGGCCGCGCGGGGCCGCCGGTCAGGGAGAGCCCGCGCAAGGAGAGCCTGCTCAGCTGCCTGACCGGGAGCTTCCCGAGCCTGCACAGCCTCCTGGAGGGGACGCCCCAGAGGGGCGGCGCGGCCGGCAAGAGCAGCTCCTTGACCAGAACAGGTGGGCCCGGGCTGCTCGTGCGGGGGCACCGCGGCGGAGACAAGACCTGCGCTCGTGGGGCTAGAACTCCTCTGTCACCTTACACCTTGTATCTGAGAGAGGATTTGGGGAAACTTTGTTTAACCTCACTCTCCACCCAGGTGTGGCGTGGGGTGCTGTCTAGACCAGGCAACGATGAACCCCCGGCATAACGCATAAGCTGTTACGCCTCCGCGTCCGAATGCCAGTGTCGAGTGGGGCGTCTGGAAACGTCTGCGAGGACAGATGCCTTTTCACTTCTCGTTTTCCGCTCCTCAGCAGGTAAGCGGTGCTAACACTCAGCCACTCTCTCCGTTCAGGGAACGCTCTGGCCACGGACATGCTGTCGGAGCACCCGCTGCTGTCGGAGCCGTCCTCCGTGAGCTTCTACAACTGGATGTCCAACGCCGTGGGCAACCGAGGCAGCGTGGTGCAGGAGTCCCCGGCCACAAAGTCGGGGCACAACAGTCTTCCCACAGGTAGGGGCCGGTCGGTCCTGTCCCTCCACTGCCCGAGGGCTCCTGGGAAGGCCGGGCAGGGCCTGGTTTTCAGAGGATGGAAAGAAACCACAAACGCGTAAGCACCGTTCAGTTGAAACGGACCCGTTTGTGAAACACCTGGGAAGTTCTGCCGGTGAGGGAGTCGCGAGCAGCCACTCCATGCTCCCGTGCGAGTCGGACGTGTCAAATGGGAGAGCGCCCGTGATTTCAGGAGTTCAAAACTTCTGTTGGGTGTGGCTGGTTTAGTTTTCGAAATGCCAGAGGAGGCGGTGGTTTCAGTCCGTCCGGGCCTCTGCGGGCCGGAGGCTCCAGCGTGCGCACACCCTGGGTGGCTGCCTGGACACTAAGAGGGACAGAGTAAGATTCTCGTCCTCGACGAGGAAAAGAGACAAGGGCGGTCGATCGCTTTTTAAAAGTAGCTTCAGTAGTGAGAGGGCCGGCAGGGGATGGGGGTCTCTCCTGGAGCATGAGTGGAGCCAGCCCTCCTGTCCCAGTTTTTATGTTTTTCCAAATTCACTACATGCATGTATTTTTTTTTTTGGTAAAAAATACATTTTTTAAAGAATGTGTGAGGTAGCCTTCGATTCTAGTTACAGAAAGCAGATAAAATTAATCTGTGTCATGGCTTTTTGGATCACTAGTGAATGCTATTCAGACAGAAAAGACGATATTGTGAAAAGTGGTTGCTACGCAACTGCAAAGTCATTTTTCCTGCCGGAGTGTGACCACTTCTGCATCTGGACCCGATCTGGACGCTGACCGCCTCGGTCCTCTGCACCGCCTGGCTGAGGAAGGCGGACTGCTGATGCCGGGCCGGCGGCCACGCTTGGCCTGCCTGGTTTCCCTAGAAAGAGAGTTTCCGTTTCACGAGCACCAGAAAGGACCCTTCCATCTCTCACGGGCCCTCTGCCTGGCGTTGAAGGAGAAAGGGAGGAAGACAAGAGGGAGTGCCGTCCACGGGGCAGAGAGTTCGCAGGTGCGACTGTGGACGCCACCTGCACCCCCTCCCCCGCCCCCACACTGCTTGCCACCAGCTGCTGCACCTCTGCTCCTCCGGGCAGACTTCACATAGGAGGGTGACGGACAGTTCTGAGGATTTAGTGTCACTTGGCCTTATGTTAATCACGTCTGTTATCAATAAAGGGCCTGAAAGTGTTAACTCTTTTTTTAACAATTTAGATTTCATTCTCGAACATTTTTCCTGGTAGGGGTCGTGCCCAATCTTCCTACGATACCCTCGGCCTCAGACTTCAACACCGTACTGTCGAGCGAGCAGAACACCCTGGACGGGACGCACTCTCAGCACAGCACGAGTCAGGACGACGTGGCGGGCGTGGAGGAGGCCAACCAAGGCTTCCCTGCGGTCCAGCTGGCTGACGCACAGGTGAGCTGGCCCGCTGCTCCCTGGCCGTCGTGGCCTTCACAGGGCAGCTGCAAGCAGGGGCAGCTATTTCCAGCGGGCACCTTGGCATCGAGTGACAGCCTTTCTCTGAGCTTGTCCTCCTGGCATGGTGTCCATCCCATGGCCTTTGGTCTGCACGCAGCCTGGGGTGGCTATAAATGCGGCCCAACGCAAAATTTTAAATTCACCTAAAACCTTTTTCTGTTCATCAGTTTTCATTAGTGTTTGCGTATTTAATGTGTGGCCCAAGATGACGCCGAAAGGTTGGACCGTCCTGCCTTAGGGTCTTCAAAGAGTGCGTGGGTCAATGGACATTTACCCGTGTTCATTCCACAGAAGAGTGGCATGGCTGTGTATCTCACAGTAGCATCTGGCTGTTTGGAGATACAGATTGGCTACATCCCGAGACTGGAAAGATACATTTAGTCATGTCCGTGGTCTCTGTGCCGTGGGAGGACTTTCCAGTGAGCAGGGGGGAGGCACTGACGGTTCCCACCAGAGGAGTCACATGACTGGGCTCGCTGTGGGGAGCCGTGGGCTGGGGCAGAGACGAGGTGGGGGGGGCGAGGCCCTGCTCACCCCGACGGTGGCGAGGCTCTTAGCAGTGAGTCTTGTGGTGGCTTTGATGAGGTGAAGGAGGAATGGCGGGAAGGTCTTATTTAATGGGCCAAATGCGGAGAGCACAAGGCGAAATCTCTGACACGGTGTTAGTGTCGGTGGCCTGGAGGCGAGTGGCAGAGTGGGTCCTGGGCCAGAAGGCCGTTGTCTTCCCGGGACAAGGGAGACCGAGTGAACTTCTGCACTCAGGACGCCTTGTGGTGGCCCTGTGCCCAGAAGGAGGGCAGCAAGGCCCACGGGTAGACCCAGGTTCAGGGGGGATGAGCCCCGGTGGGGTACGGGGTCCTTTACAGAGAGACGCTGTCGACACAAAGGCTGCTTTGTCCTCTGAGTCTCTGGGATGGTGAGGACACCTCACGACCTTACCACCTATGGGTTAGTCTGCAAACGGGAGCTTCCGTTTTCTCCCCCAGGAGGAGGTAGTTTATGGTAAAACAGTTTCCAGACACTTAAGTCTTTGGGATTTACTTCTCCATGACCTCGTGCTTGTTTTGGGGACTCTCACTTTTTCTTAAAAGGGAAAATAGAGGAAGAGATAGTATATTCTGTTTTGTCCTTTATAATACATTCATTGCATTTATTACCATTCAATACACATTTTTAAAGTACTATGCTATGTTACATGTTAAACTCTAAAACACACCTGCCCCGTGAATATGAAGAGCTTCAGTGAAAACTGCGTGGAGTGACTTAGGTGTGAGTGGAGTGTGTGAGAGAGAGCTTACCACAGACTCCAGCCAGGGCTGCTCGGTGCTGAGGGTCTGGGAGGCGCTTAGGGAGGTTGGGGCTCCCCTGCGGCCATCGGGTCCTCTCCTCGCAGTGTCCTAGGCTGCTCTGCTCCAGGAGCAGAGGAGGGTTGGTCCGAAATGGACACAGCAAGAAAAGTGTGGGGATGCCGTGGAGATCACAGTCTGGGTGGTTGCTGAAGCTGAGGCTCAGCCAGGGCTGGGGGTGAAGGGAGCCACGGGACTCTTCCTGGAGTGGACGTGCTGGTCAGGTCGTCTGCAGGCCGCAGCCGTCATTCCAGGTGACGGGTGTGTCTCCCGAGGTTGCCGTCTGGAGTGTGTTCATTCTGTCCCTCATGGCCCAGCCTCCCCATCACGAGCACAGGGCTCACCTGGCAACAACTGAGAATGTGGACCGCTTCTCATCCCACAATGGCACTTGTCCACTTGCCCCACCGTGGCAGGGTTTTTAAGCCTCAGAAAGTGGCCCTTAAGGGAGTGTGTGCAGTGAATGAGACAAGGAGAGCATTGATTGACACCTGGACTGAGGATGTTTGAGATGGAGGGGGCGCCTGAGCAGCCAGAGCGATTGCTGTGAGTTGTTGAACCTGTGCTGTTGCTTCTGCTTAGGTTGGCTCTTGGTGACCATGAGCCTCAATCGCCTAGAGAGTTAACCAGGGGGATGTGTTTCCATAAGTATGTGTGACACCAAAAAGTGAAGGAAGTTCTTTGTCAAATGACTGTTATGACTAAGTGACACCATTTAAAAATAGGTCAGACACAACACAGGAAATTTTTTATATTGACATGGGAAGTTGGTGAACTTCTGTGAACTAATACACCAGATTTTTGTGGAAATGCAGATATTCACGCCTTTTTCAAAAGCAAGAAGAATGATTTAAGCAAACTCATAATTTTATTTTCCTTGTATTTTCAGATGCTCAGGCAGCACTGAGTAATCCTTGTCCTAATGATTCATTTGCAGACAGAAGGTGCTCGGCAGCAGGGTTCAGTTCTAAGTGAGATGAGCGCTCTGCTCACTGCAGAAGGACCTCCTCTGTGCCTCACGCTACATGCTGTGAACTGGGGCGGGGGGAGCAAGCAGCCCCGGGTTGTGACGAGCCACAGATTGTGCTCCTGTGGACGTCTTGTGTCTTCCAGGTCGTTTTCAAGCCTCTGCTGAGCCACACGGGGATCCAGTCACAGGACGCGATGCCGCTGTGCTACCGGATGTACTTTGGAGAACACCTGTCGTTCTCAGGGACGCTGGACTGCCTCAGGGCGGACATCGTGGACTCGGACACAGCCAAGGAGAGGAAGGGCAGGAGGGCAAGAAGGTGCCTAGTGTTGCTGTCCGCACATAGAGTTCTGTACAGGAGCTGGGGTGCTGGTTTGTTCTTAACTCCGCTGTCTCCTTGTGCCAATGAGAAACCCATTTTACTGTCCTGGTGAGAAGGCAGTGTCCCTTTAATGAGGAGCACGGCCGCACCGGCAGTGCGAGACCCACTCCCAGGCCACTCCTGGAGCACGTGAGCACCCCGAGAGTTCGCCGTGTGCCTGTGGCGGTGTCGGCGCTCAGAGTTCCGTGTCTACTGCACCGGCTGCACGTTCGCAGTCTCGCAGGTTGTAGTTTATGCATCTCACGTGGAGTTTATTCCTGACCTCCTCGCTGAGCCTGCCTGCGGCAGGAGCCGTTCTGTCGGGGCAGAGTAGAGGTCGCGTGAGCGCTGCAGCTAGTGTGGGGAGAGTTAGGGGCCGTGTTTTACTGTCAGTCTCTGTCTCAGATGGTTCTGGAGTTTCCTCACTGTTCTCCTAGGAAAGAATGTGCCTACCAACAGGGTTTGGCTAATCTTTTGTGAACTTGAATTTCACTTTGGGTCTTGCTAAAGTGGACAGGAGTAATAGAATATGGACATAGGTTTTTTGCCGTGTGCTTGGTTTCATCCAATTCATGCTTTTGCAAGGAGGTAAGTTGATCTTTAATTGACCTTGAATTTCAGTACCGTCTTGAGGTATCATCGGAGGCAAGGAAAATTGTTTTCAGTACCTCACTGATACTGTTAACCGAAGTCTGATTCTGACTAGTCAGAGCAAGAACAGGGAAGGACTAAAGCCCAGTTTCCTGCTTACAATAGTGTGGCTTAGTGAAAAAAGTAAATTCTACTTGCTTTCATGCTTAAAATTATTTAAATGGCTTGGAGATTATTTTGCTAATAAATTAATAAGTGTACAGTTCTAGAAGAGACGAAATAAAACCCCTTTATTTCCTCAATTTTAGGCAGGGCCACGTGAATCTTCCTCCGCTGGAGTTCAAACCCGCACTGAGGCTGGAGACCTTCGGCCTCAGTGCGGTGGTGATGGAGAAGTCCGCGTGTGCCCCACGGAGCTCCGCCAGCGCACTGTCCTTCCACGACCTGGGCAAGCGCCACTACAGCACCTTCCACTGCAACTTCACCGTCTCCTGTCAGTCCATCAGCCAGCACGTGGACATGGCCCTGGTGCGCCTCGTCCACCAGTTCAGCACCATGGTCGATGACATCAAAGCCACGCAGACGGACATCAAGCTGAGCAGGTACACAGCGGGGTCCGCTTCGCCAACGCCCACCTTCAAGACCAGGAAACACCGGGACTTCCGCTCCTCCGACTTCAGCCGCAGCTCCCGGGGAAGTCTCAACGGTGGCACCAGAGTGAATAACACCAAGAACAAACGGACCAGCAACGAGAACAACAAAAAGGAGTCTCGGAACAAAAACTCCTTGGGACGGTCCGAGAGAAGGACTTCCAAAGTGTCCCGGAAGGGCTCCAAGGACGTGGCGGACCACGTGGCGATCCCCATGGACGACTCGGACTCCATCACCGTGTCGGAGCAGAGCGAGCCCTCCGCCGAGTGCTGGCAGAACATGTACAAGCTGCTCAACTTCTACTCCCTCATCTCCGACCCGACGGGCATCCTGGAAAAGTCTTCCGAGGCTTTTGGACCTGCAGGTGATGGCTCTTTCTATGCTTTCACGATTTCTGTTTGGAACCGCAGAGCTACTAAGAGAGGCCTCAGGTTGCTCCCACTTTCTTCTTTCTTCAAGCGACGAGCAGGTGATGGAGATGCCCAGCAGGGGTGGGCACCACAGGGGGGGCAGTCATGATGCTCAGACCCCACCATCCGCCTCCGGCCCCCTAGCCCGGGTACAGCGGGAACAGCCCGAGTCACACAGGCCTGCCCGCTGATCCCAGATGCTGCTCTTGGCTTTCAGGGTGGCCAAGGGGCCCGTGGGAGACGGGTGAAGTTATCTTATGGGGATGAGGAGGGCGAGAGCTGGTCAGGAGGGTGACGGAAACTTGGGGAGGCGCGTTTGGAGTGTCCTGTCATGCCGCCGTTCTCACCCGCCCGTGTCCCCTTGCTCATGCAGGCGTGCGGAGCCCGACGGAGCCGGCCTGCAGAGTGGTGTTCGAGAACGAACAGGACAGCAGCAGCATGACGAAGCGGAAGCGCAGCTTGGTGACAGCGGAGCCCCAGCACGTCACCCTGATCGTGTTCGGGATCGGCATGGTGAACCGCACGCACCTGGAGGCAGACATCGGCGGGCTCACCATGGAGTCGGAGCTGAAGCGCATCCACGGCAGCTTCACCCTGAAGGAGAAGATGAAAGGTGTGTGCTCCGCTCGCACTGCGGCCGCCCTCGCTGGTCAGGGGCCGGCCCGCTCCCGGCCCGCAGAGCTGGCCTGGGCACGTTCTTTCTGCCGTTCTTTCTGATTTTTAAAAAACTCCAAGTGTTCTGCATTGAGTGTTCCTTCTGGGTTAAAATGTCATCAGGCTGTGTGATGCCGTTAGGACCTGGGATGCGTGAGTGGTGTGTTCAACTGTGCATTTAGCATTATTCAATTTCAATATATAGTGTATATGGATATATGAATATATAGAATTAGGACTTCAAGGAAATTCTTAAAAGTAGTTTCAAAATGTAGTTTAAATTTTATCACAACTTTAAAATTATCTTTTGTCACCAAACATACTGTAACTAAAATGCATTTTTACTATGAAGTTCCAGAATTCACATAATAACTTTTTATCGCACTTCAGACGTTTTACATCAGAAGATGACGGAGACCTGTGCCACTGCGCACGTCGGTGGCGTGAACATCGTGCTGCTGGAAGGGATCACTCCGAACATACAGTGAGTGCGCTGCTGGTGCTCCTTCCTGTCTCAGGTCTGTTTGCCACAGTGTTTCAGGAACGGGAAGTTAGTTCATTGGCTAAATCTCACACCCTGTGAGTCTTGATATTTGTACACTTAGTGGTGTAGGTACTGCAGTTCTGTTTTTTACTACCTCACTTTCCCCCTAAAACATTGATTCCTGGGGCGTTGTAAGGTTGTGTATCAAGAAAAGTGATTACAGTACAAATTTTGGTTGAACATATAAGATGCAGAAGTTCACGCAATTCAAATAGTTCAATGAAATTACAGTCAAAGGATGCAGACTCTCGATTTTACATTAAATAGTTATTACCCATATTCATGCTGGGTTTTAAAACTTCCTCTTGCCATTTCGCCTTGAAATAATCTAACGGCAGTGCCCACGAGCCCTTCTCATTGTGCAGGTAAGCTTCTTATATGCCGCTTACCTTCCACGTCACTTCTTGTGACCCTTTGTCCTTTTCCTACGAGCCCTATTCCTGGATCTGTTCAGAATCGCTCTGGCAGCGGTCACCTGTGCACACGATAGACCCCTCATCCGTCACCTGTCTGCGAAACCGCCGACTCGGTTCATACCACGTGGCAGGGCGTTCCCAGCTTCCTTTCACTGGAGCAGCTTCATCTCGTGATCACAAAATATGTATAGGTTGGATTTTGAGAACTTGCTCTTAAGGTTGTAACTAGTTATTGTTGTCCCAGGAAATTCCTATCATGCCCTCTTTACTGAGTAAGGAGCGGATTGGTTCAGCATTACAAAAGGTAAATATTAGTCGTATATGGACTAGTTACAGGCCTAGTCGTAGTATTTTAAACATGGATAACGTGATCGCTGTCTTGGGGAGCATTTCCCGCAAGGGAAGTGTAAGTCTTGCTGGGCAGTTTGGACTTGTGACCTCAGGACCGAGGAGAACACATTTCACTCCGGTGGCTGGGAGAGACGACAAGCCCTTTCCTGACCATGCCTATGGGGGAGGGACTGTCGAGTAACAGCGACGCCCTTCGGAAGCACCTGCTGTGGGCCAGGAGCCTCTCAGAGGTTCCTCCTGTCCTCTGACTGGGGTTCATCCCCACTGCCGACCCGCACATAGAGATTCGCCAGAACCCAAGGGTTTGCCTAAAATGCTTCGCTCTGGACAGGAGGCCTGGACTGCCCTCCTGGCCGCGGGCCCTGCCACTTTTGCAGAGTCACCTCTTACCAGGGCTGCACAGCCCCCTGGGCTGTGAGTGGGAGCACCTGGCCCCTCCACTCTTCCTAAGGGAACCGGGTCTGTGGCTGTCCCTCCTGTCGTGTCCCCAAGTCTCGCTGCACCTCATGTGTCTGCGGTCTGCCAACTCTGCGGAGAGTGGCACACGCAGTCTCTGAGCTTGCAAAACACGGTTGTAAAATGGATTTTTAGTAGTAGTAGATTGCTGGTTGTTTTTCCTTTTACAAAGAAAACAAGAAAGATCTCTTAACTTTCGGGTTTGAAAAACAAAAGGTAGGATTCACTGCCAGATTCTAGCAGTGGTAAGTGTTTCTGGGTTTATTCTTAGGCTTTTTATCTCCAGCTTTAATTAAAAGGAAACAACTAAAAAATTAGTTTCAAAGGTTCTTTGAAGGAAAATGTTAGAAGTGGGAAATAAGAAAAACTTTCCAGGTGCTGGGTCATATTGTAACTGATTTATGCATGAATGTTCACCTGCATCCTTTTTGTTTTCCTGCTTTCCCTTGCATCTTCGTCTGTAGACTGGAGGATTTCCCTACATCTCCTACAAGCACAGCCAAACAAGAGTTTCTGTATGTTTCATTACTCTTTTTCATGGGTTTTGTGATTGACTAAGTATTGAGTAGTTTTAGAGATAATATTACCTGCATGGCTGTGGATGTATGTAGTTAGTTATTGTTTTGTAGTTTCAATGTAGACCCTGTCATAGACTAAAGCTTACTGGCGTTCCAGGAGAATGCACAGGCAAGAGCTGCCTTTTACAGGGGCTGCTATTAAAGTTTCTGCTATCACGTGTCCCTGTTCACGGTCAACGTGGTGGCAGAAGCTAAAGTGTTTCCCTTTGCAAAAGATCCTTCACTGATTGCATAAGTAGTTATTAAAACACTAACAATGAAAATGCCTACATATCTCAACCTTAAGATTCTGTATTTTAAGATGAGGAGCGTGTTCTGCCCTCCTGACAGATTCCATGTGTGGCTCCTTCTACATGTGCTTCTGTATTTTGAGTGCCTTGTTTGTCTCGTGTGCATGTGATGTGTTGTAGCAGTGAGCCGCACTGAGTGCCAGATGTGAAGTGTTGCAGTCTCACCACCACAGCAGTCGGCTGTGTTACTTAGTACTGGCTGTTTCCTTGGACATTTTCTGTAAAATCCGAACATGCTGAGTAAAATGTATGAATCTGCATATTGAGTTCCATGGTGGTGAGGTCATAAGGGTATAAGAGTATAAAAATATCATACCTGGTGACATTTGTTTCATGCATATTTAATAGGCCATAGACAGAATGTCAGTTACCAACCCTTTGTTGGGGTTAATGTGATGTATGTCACACTATCGGCCAATTAGAAATATTAATAAAGAATAAATGCACTAATGTTAGAGAGATGATTATTTTCTAGAAATCACTCTTCCATATTAGTGTCATCTTCATAGGCACTGAAGACAACCTAATGCACGTAAGTAGTCACAGCAGCTGAAGAAGGTTTATTGTGTCCCTTCTGTCACTCAGTTATCTGGATGTAGAACAAGAACAATTAATAGCTACGTGGCTGTGAAAGAGGGTGTTTTTACCCCCCCCCAGGGTTTCCCACTGAGAAAGTTAGCATGGGAGGCACAGTTGCCAAGTGGGAAAGAAAGTTCCAGTGACTTTAACAGTTGAGTGAACAACCTGTGATCACAGTACCAGGCCCCAGCACACAGCTGAAGCGAGGCTGGCAGCATGAATCAGTCTGGCTCCTTGTCCTGCCCTCGGGCTTGGGCACCCATGCTCACAGGGGTGGGCCGGGGTGGGCCGGGGTGGGGGTAGAGGCAGTGAGACCCCAGCGAGAATCCTTGAGTCATTCTCTCACCCTGCTGCACTGGCAGGGGTGCCTGGCCTGTCTCGAAGGCCCCACTGTCTGGACACAGACGGGGAGGCACCCTGGCCACAGCAGCGAGGCTCGCCGTGGGGCCAGGGGACCAGACTCACTGTCGGGGAGTTCTACAGCCCCTGGTCCCTTGCCACAAACTTTTCGTGCTGATGAGGCTCCCCTTGTCTTCTCGTTAGTGGGGCTTCCTGGTGCCTTTGCCGTGCAGAAGTCTCGCACACGGCAGCTTCGGCTCGAGTGTCGTCCTCCTTGAAGACCAGGCACCACTTAGGAGTTGGCAGCTCCTACGGGCAGCTTGAGAAGCGCTTAGTTCCTCACCCTGGGTCTCTGACCCCTTTGACGAGAGTTGCCCAGGTGTCCTCTGCCATTTCTGGCTCAGTGTGATGAAAGTGGGACTGGCACATCCCCCAGCAGTGCCACCCCCGTGGGTGCGGTGGGCTCGTGGTGATGACCACACGTAGCCCGAGTCCCCGACAGCAGCATTTGCACCAGAAGTGCCACAGCGGGACCTGCAGCAGCAGGGCCGTCAGTCCCCTTGGCCTTCTGTCCTGGCTTCTGGCACACGATTGAAAACCCAGTGTTAGGGATGTGTTTACCTGGTCCAAAGTAGTAGTCAAGCAGGTTGCCATGGATGACGAGGGTAAAACAGTGAGATCGCGCTTCTTGACCATCTTGATAACGAGACAGACTTCTTTGCAAATGCATGTTGAGTTTCATCCAGTAGGTGGTGCAGTTTACAAGTAGAGAGCCATTTCCATTTTAGCATTGTGGAAGTGTGTCCTAGCTGATGTTGAAATTGAATTTAAAAGGAAATATCATGGATGATTAACAGTTGCTTTATTCACTATAATAGGTCAGAAAGGATTAAAAAATTCAGTGAGTAGATGGCCTCCCAGAACGGGGCCAGCCCTTGGTGCTGGCCAGACCAATTACGCAGAATCTTCTTCTCTTTCTAGTCAGTGATTGTCTCTGGGAAATAGTCATCTTTGCAAACAAAAGCAATTTAGTTCTCTGTGGCCACTTGTGAATTTTATATAATACCTGGCTTTCACCATTTGTGGACAGTCGAGACCTCTGACACAGCCACCCTTCGTCCTCTTGGGGTTTACTCTCACAGCCCCTCCATGTGGGGGCTGATCCTTTAGGTCCTTGAGACTATAAGCAGATACTCAGTGAACCCTCTCAGCCTAAGTGGAGAGAGATGCCTGGCAACCGACATGGGTTAACACGAAATGGCATTTTGTGCTAAATTTACTTATCTTCAAGCATCCTTGCCCGTTTGAAAGATAGTGTTCAAGTTAGAAACAGACCTTTCCGGGGCAGCTTACCTAGGGGAGCCTCTCCCTGGTGTCACATTGCCTAGTGGGACTTTGTCACATGTCCCACTGTGCATGGGGCCTCTCCCAGGCTGTCTGCCTGAGTCCCCAGCTGCCGTGGGCAGCCTCATCCTTCCTTCTGCTTGTTCATTCCTTCTGCTTGTTCATTTCACACCCTCCAGGGACAGCGTATCACGCTGAGGGTGCTGTTCCGGCCCCTGGGGAGAGGGGACGGGAGACCGAGGCAGCGCAGCCCCACGCGTGTCCGCACCAGGCCAGCCTTCTCACCGAGGGGCAGTGACCCTCCTCGGTGGGACTTCCCACAGCTCTCCGTCACTCACTGGGAATAGAAAATCTAAGTTAATTTCTTCCTTTCTGCTGATTCCTCTTAATATGTTTTAACATATTAGATGATTATTAATTTCCTCGATTCGATTTTAAGAAATATATTGAGCATTTTTATCTTTCTATAGTCGGTGTCTATGTTTTATTAGTGGTTGTACACAGATCCCAAAAATAGGTTAGAGAAGAAAATGGAGCCCTAAGTAGAGAAAAAATGGAAACAGAGTTTTGTGTGTCGCGTGCGTGTAACGTGTCAGTGTCCGTGCATTCACTCACATGTGGCCACAGACCTCTGTGAAAGTAGAGTATTTGGTGTGTCTAGCAAACATTGTAAGATAAGTGTATTTCAACATTTGGGGGATACTTGTTTCTTCAGTAAATGATTTAGATGCGTGAAAAATCTGAGGTCGTTTAGTTCAGTAATTTAACAGCATTTGTCTTGCTCTCTGAACTACTTTCTATGAAATTTCCCCGCACGTGGCTGCATTTCAATGGCCCTCCGTCTCTGTGACTAGGACCGTCGTCAAGTGCAGCATCGCCAAATCCCAGGCCCTCTACAGCGCCCAGCGGGGCCTGAAGACGAGCAACGCCGCGGTGCTCAGAGTCGGCGCCGTCAGCGTCAACATCCCCCAGCACCCCGCCACCTTGCACAGCATGATGGTCCGGAGCTCTCACCAGCTGTCAAAGCAGATCTCCGACCTCATCAGACAGCCCTCCACCGTGTAAGCCCTGCCGTCAGGCCTGTCCCCCTGTGGCGGCACTTCGGGGCCTTCCCTGCTGTGTGAACAGGGGTCGGGGGTGGGGCAGGTTTCACCCATGGAGCGACCCGGTGGATGTGGGGCCGGTGGGAGGTAGGCAGGCGTGTTCGTGGGTAATGCTGGATGTCACATGGGGACCCGTCACAGCTGCCCTTGTCAGTGTCCCTGTTGCTCAAAGCCGAAGGGGTCCTAGTGCCGTGCGGGCATCGTCAGAGTGAACTGACAAAGTCTTGGACTGTGTCAGTCCTTGTGTGCCTTGAACTCACAGACACGTGTGACTGCATGGGCGTCCGGGAGCTCGGTGGCCATTTGTGTCCCGTGCATGGCTTCGGCTGTCCTTCCTGTGAAGTCAGGGCACAATCCCGCCACATAAGCGTTGTAAAGGGCAGCGATTCGGACCTCGGTGCGCTGACCTCCCTTCCCTGGGCCGGCAGCCCTTGTTCATGGGGCTGTGTTGCTGACTTAGTGGTTCCCAAAGCTGTAGCTGATGAACAACCAGGAAAAATGTGTTTTCCTTGTGTTTCCTTTTCTGTGGCCTCTAAGGTAAAACAACAACAGAAAAACAGTGTGTTTTCTGATGGTGCCCTGAAGCAGTGCTTTTACTAGCTGTTCTGTCTAGATCTTTACTTCTAATACAATATTAACTCACATCTGAAGTTGCCCTAGTAGTAGTAATTTGAATGCTTCTCCTGCTAACGGAATTTGGAATCCAGAATGTGTGCAGGAGCTTTGATTTAGAGCACTCTGAGCAATTTTCTTTAGTGCACTGTGTGGCCCACAAAGTGTGACAGTTTCGAAATGAGACCCTCGAGCCAGGCCGACTGAGTCCAAGTCCTGGTTTCACCACTTTCCAGCAGTCCTTCTTCATGTGCAAAGCGGAGGTAACAGTGTCTGCTCAGAGGGTTTCGTGAGATAAATGAACACGTGATCGAAACACCCAGCACACAGAAGAGTCCCTGGCACACGTAAGCGCCCAGTTCTTGTGGGTGTTGGTGGTGGCTCCGTTCTCAGGTGTGGTCGCAGTAGTTGCGGCCACAGTGGTGGTATGCACCCCCATCAGCACACTGCAGGCGTGGGGTTCCGAATCAGACACGCCTGAGTCTGGACCCCAGTTTCACATCGATGACAGGAAGGGCCTTGGCGTTACAGTGTTGCAGTTTATCTTGGTGCTGCTTCTGTTAGGTTACCGCTCCAAATCATCATTTTTCAATGGCTGTTTCCAGGAATGTGATCTGCATTAGGAAGACAATGTCTGTTCACAGTATATTTTTCATTAAGAACTCTAATAACTTTATATAATAACTGTATAACACAGGATACACTTCTGAATCTTTTTATTTCTTTATTTTTGCTCTGTAGCCCACAGCCAGTAAAAGAAGACATCGCAACCCCTCTACCTTCTGAAAAAACCCCAACGAGTGTTAATCAGACGCCTGTGGAGACAAATGAGTTTCCTCAGCTGCCGGAAGGCTTGGAGAAGAAGCCTCTGGTCCTGAAGTTCAGCACGATGCTGGATGGCGTTGCCCTTGGGGCCGCACTGCTGCCCTCCCTGCGGGCCGAGTACAAGACGGGCCGGATGCGGAGCCATGGGATGACAGGTAGCACCGCCCATGCCCCGTCTCGGGGTGGCGCTCTTGCGGGGTCAGCAGCCGTTTGACGAAAGGGCCGACTTGGTTTTGTAGCTGTTACATGAAAATTGAAATAGTTTTAATCAAAGTACTTTTAAATGTCATTAGTGACTCTCCTCAGTTGAGTACAAACCATCAGTCCCCTCATTGATGACCACCGTGGGCCTGTCATCTGAAGTCTTTAGAGGTCGTTTCTCCAACTTAACGTGAAGCTGGAGAAATTTCTACACCTATCAGTTCCCATTGTTTGAATGCGTGCCTTCAGCTCAAATTAGAGGTCATCTGACTTCTTTAGAATAGCTGCTTCTATAAGGTTTTGTGATCCTCACGTTCCTGCCCCAAAGTTCTTTGCTGTTATGTTTTCATCTAAAATGTGTCATATATACAAGTTAAAATTACATACACAGTGTAAAGGGTAATAAAGAACTGCAAGTTTATCAGTTTGCTGAAAGTTAGGAAGTACCCAACTTGCAGTCGCCTTCAGGGAGTTCTGCTGCTGCCAGGCGGTGCTGCCCCTGGCTGCCGGGGCCCCCACTGCCGTGAGCTTCCTTGGCTCTCCTGTGCGGTCTCTCACACTCACTCACACACACACACTCATGAGCCACCGAGAGTCTGTGCTGCCTGTTCTGAACTCCATTTACACGCAATCTCATTTACGTTTTTTTCGCTCAGAATATTTTTTGCTGTACATTTTGAGTAAGGTTCGTCTGTTTGCGTATGTGATGTTCATTCATTTTTCACTGAAATATAGTGGTTCATTAAGTGGTTGTACCACAGCTGACGTGTCCGTTTTGCCCCTGATGGACCTCTGGCCCATTGTGCATTTTTGCTGTCCCATTCAGTCCCACATCCGTGCCCCGTGTGCGGTTTCCCAGGGTGTGTGTTAGGGCGGCGAGACTGGGGGAAATGCACCCTCCCTTCCCCGAGGAGAGCGGGCCTTGGCGCCAGGCGAGGCGTGAGTTCCCGCTGCCCCGTGTCCTCACCACACGCCTACATTTCTGCTTGCCTGGCAGCTGTGGCACGGTGTCCCCTGTGGTTTGCGTCCTACTGCAGGCATTACTCATGAGCCTGTGGTTTTGAGTGTGACTTCTTACACGGAGTTCCTACTGACGGTTCTTGTTTGCCCGCTGCCCGTTTTACTGTGGAGTCCTTTGTGTTTTTCTTGGCTCGTAGGAACTCTTGATGTGTTTTGTTAACCCTTTATGTTAACTCTGTGACGTTGTGTGTGTAACGTACACTGTCACCCGGCCAGAGGCTCATCATTTCACTCTGGGTTGTCGTTCGGTCAGCTGGTGTACCATTGTCGAGCTGCTGGTACACAGGACGCTCAGCAGAGACGGGGTTGGCTGGAGAGCAGCATGTGTGTGCACAGGACATGGCGTGTGGCAGTTGGCGATAGATCCTGGTTCTAGTGCAGCGTCTGCTGCTTCTTAATGCACTTTTGTTGCACTTCACTTATTTGTTGTATCTCTTCTGCAATGAGAGAAATTGTTCCTCTGTCTCCCCTCTATGAAATGAAGATCATTGGTAAGTGTTTCTCTGTCACCCGACACCATGTTGGGCCCTGGAAGCTACGTGAATACTTCTTTCAGGCTCGATGATACTGACTGACTTTCCATAGCACCCACAGACGTTTTTAAAGATATAAGCAAATTTAAAATACCCTTTCCAAGTCTCTCAACACAGGTTTTGGGATATGCATACATTTTTCTTGGGCACCACTTTTGAACAGAGTGAGGAACACATGTGAACGAGCTTCTGAGCGAAGAAGTGTTTCTCCCTTCTCACAGGTGCACAGACCAGGTTTACGTTTGAGCTGCCAAATCACAGACTGCGTTTCACCTCCAAAGTCTCTGCCACGGACATGTCGACTATCCCCCCCTCCGCCAGCCTGAACCTGCCCCCCGTGACCATGTCCGGGAAGTACGTGATGGAGGAGCACGACAGCTGCTCAGACCAGGTGTGGAGCATCGACGAGCTGCCCACCAAGCAGGGCTACTACCTGCAGGGGAACTACCTGCGCTGCGTGGCGGAGGTGAGCTCCCCTGGTCACCTTCTCACTCTGCGCGATGAGACGTCTTCAAGCTTCGGGTGCACCAAAACCTGTGGTGACCCAGCTTTAAAGGCAAATCGTTAAATCAGTCGTTCTGCAGAAATCTGTACCAAATCTGGTGTGGGTTATTGAAACATGTTTGATTTCATTATTTCTTACATTGGGTTTCACATCCATCTCTGCAACATTTTCATGGTGCATTTTATTATGGTGGTGTTGACTCATTGCTCTAACAATATGGCAGTGGTCATTAAAGATAAATATTACTCTAGACAAAATTTCAGTTTCAAAATTAACAGGTTGCATAATTAAAGTATAATTTTTATTGTTTTCAAATGGTTTCTTATACCTCATTGGCTACTGTTATTTTTTTTAAATCAGGGGACTGGCCCATAATAAGTCAGTAATGTATTGGGAAATCTGAATATTTTTACCCCTTCTTCAGGGTATTGATTTCAAAGAGAATGTGGATAATCGGCTCCAGAATTTGGGATTACTTTTGTGGGCAAGACCCGCACCCAAACCCTCCAGTCATCAGAGTTAACCTTGAGCTCCACTCCTGTTTGCCAGGTTGGTTCTTTCGAACATAATCTCACAACCGACCTTCTGAACCACTTGGTGTTCGTGCAGAAAGTGTTCATGAAGGAAGTCAACGAAGTGATACAGAAAGTCTCTGGTGAGCCGACCCGTCCCCACCCACACGGGACACAGGGCAGTGGGCGGCCCTCCCTGTGGGTTGCGTGGGGCCTGGAGCCTGAGGGAGGAGCACTGGGCCCGGCATCTGGGTGTGACCGTGCGGACTTCCTGCAGACCAGGTGTGCCTGCTCTGGCTTCGCCGCCTGCAGGTGCCTGTGCTGCTTACTTCGGTCACGTGGGATGTACACATCCATGGGTTTTAAAACAAAGCAAAATCTGCTGGGTTTTCTCCACCTCAATTTTTTCTTTTGTTCTTTCATGTGTGGCACATCTAAATACAAACAACAAAGTTCCTGCAAAGTTCACACTTTTGATAAAGAAATTAGTTTACATTTTTTGCTTCAGATAAATTTTCTGAGATGTAAAGTCACGTTTGGTTTACTCACACAGGCAATGTTTCAATTTAGTCCTTGTGAGATGTTTTAAACAGTGTCTGTGTACACGGCATCGTCCCTGCCTCCGTGAGCCTGACCTGATCCAGAGCTTGGGTGAATGATCCGTGAAAACGAAGAAGTGTTGACAGGGTTTCCAGTGCACAGCACAGTGACATTCCTTTACAGAAGTTTCCCCTGACCCTCGGTTATTTCACCTCGTCCAGGTGGGGAGCAGCCGATTCCTCTGTGGAACGAGCACGAGGGCACAGCGGATGGGGACAAGCCCAAGATCCTCCTCTATTCCCTCAACCTGCAGTTCAAGGTGACACGTGGGGGCTGACGCTGCCCTTGGGGGTGTCTTTCCCATGAATCGCACGCTCATTGCAGGAAACGCAGGCGACGTGTAAACGTGCCAGATAGAAAACAGAAGTGCCCAGTGTCCACTCACAGAGAAGCTTAGCAAGTGTTCGAATGTGCCGTAGGACCGTGCTCTGTGTGCGGAGGCTTTTGCAGCGCAAGTTTCTGCAGTTGAAAAGCCTTGGGTGCTTTCTAAGCAGGACATTCAGATCAGCCTTATCTTCTCGAACTGCTGTACTGTATACATACGTTTATAACAGTTTACTCCCTTTGGGTAACATTTTATTTCTTAAATAGTTGTTTTCATAAATTGCAAGAACTATTTTGTACATTTGTCTGATTCATAGTAGTATCTGAATAGAAAACCTTCATATTTCTGATATTGAAGACATCAGTGTTCTTAAAAATAAAAATTATTTAAATCAAATAGGTATTTAATTATAATGTATTTAACCCATAAACAGTCTACATTTTAAATACAAAATACTGAAATGAAATTTAATAGCTAAAAAGTCCCTACTAATGAGAGATCAGAGACTATTGGCAGTTTGATCAGTTTATCAGACATCCCGTACATGTCTTAAAGCACTCTATCTATTTATCACGTTCTGGAAGGTTTCACTGGGGTGGGCGGCGCTATTGCTTCAAGGCTCTCGTTTCCTTCCAACCCTGCATCCGCCAGGGCATTCAAGTCACGGCCACAACTCCGTCGATGCGAGCGGTGAGGTTCGAAACCGGCCTGATTGAACTGGAGCTCTCAAACCGGCTCCAAACCAAAGCATCTCCAGGAAGCAGCAGCTACCTGAAACTGTTCGGCAAATGCCAGGTGGATTTGAATCTGGCATTGGGACAGATTGTCAAACACCAGGTGAGTGCAGAGTGTGCTGATGTCAGTGCTGTGGCTTTGAACTTGTGCACATCAGGTTTAACTACTTCAAGTATTACTATATTTATGAAAATATTTCATTTATGCTAACATTTCTGATTGGAAATTGTAATGAAAACTTATTTATGAAGGCCATTACAGTCTTACCTTGGTATTTCATCCAGTACTTTTATGGTCTATCTCTAGAGTTTAGCACAAATACAATCACAGGAAACTTAAGCCAGTATCTTCTTAAATGTTTGCTTATCTTCTCTTTATTTCAGTAAATGTTATTTTTATTTCAATGCTTTGTGCTAATAACATTGGTTATTAGCTACATGATGGTATTAGCAAGTTTTGAATACCATGTCTTTTTATGTATAGACACACACACACATAGATCAGACTCTTTTATAAAAATTAATATTAACAGCTCATGGGTTTATTTTGTTTTATTGTTGGAAATCCTGTAGATTTTAGCCTTTTCCCTTCTGTGAGTTGAAAAACTGATTAAATGAATATCACAGTTTCACAGTTGAATGTCTCTATTAAAGAATATGTGGTGGGAATAAATGAACAAAAATTTTTTGTTATCTCTAGAAAAATAATTTGTTCAAATAAAAATATTTTGAGAGGAGTATCTAATTATCTTAAAACATTTACTACTTTGCCATTTAAAATATGTACCACACTCTAGGTTTTATATGAACTTGATGTTTGACTTTGTAGTTACTTCTTAAAAACCCATTCATACTGTATATGAATTTCAGGTGTTTGTGGTATAGAATATTGGGGAAAATGTACTATAGTTATTTTGGTACACAAAACCATAAAGTTGTTTAAAAACTTTTAGTTTCTTTTATTAAAACATTTTTTATTGCTTGCTTCTCTTGAACTTTTAATTTAGGTCTATGAGGAAGCTGGTTCTGATTTTCATCAAGTTGCCTATTTTAAAACCAGAATCGGACTAAGAAATGCCCTCCGAGAAGAGATCAGTGGGTCTTCAGACAGGGAAGCTGTGCTCATCACCTTGAACAGGCCGATCGTGTACGCACAGCCTGTGGCCTTCGACCGAGGTGAGGTCGGTCAGTCACCTGCAGTCCCCAGTGAGAATGCTGGAGGAGACAGCTCGCTGTCCCCTGAAGCTGCGGTGTGGGTATTGCAGGAGGTTCTTGCTTATTCCCTTCAAGTTTTAGAATCATTTTACTTTGTGAAATTATTTGCTAAGATTTTTGGTCTGGCTAGCCAGTGCACTCATTTGTTCGGTAGTGTCTTTACTGGCTTATTCTCTAACAGTTACTGTTTTTTTGGTCTAGAAGTGCAGTCTGAAGTCTCCTGTTCTCCCTGGACTCTCAGTTTGGTGGGTGGAGCTGGGTGGACTTGGGGGCGTTAGAGATCAGGTGCTAGGTCCTCAGAGGGTCTCTCCTCGTCCTGTACTGTTTAGAGGGACACCAGTTCTTCATATTGGACTTGGACCTAGGAGTTCACCAGGGAGACAGGAAGCGAAAGCAGCTCTCCCCTGCCTCCACACCCCCGACCTGGAACAGCCCCTGGCGTGGGCTGCCAGAACCAAGTCTGTGTCTGTCAAATGGGGGAGCGTGATGAAGAGGGCGTACGAGCACAGAGGTCCAAGGAAATGCAGCGGCAGCTTTCACAGAGGACGATGATGGGGACTGAGGCTGAACAGAGAGAGAGGGCCTAATCAGTGCATACTGGGTCAATGTTTTGGAAGTGTGTTTCAGAAGTAACAGAGAGCCATGCAGGGAGCCACTGAAGATTGGGCTGGTGGAGGGCGTGGGCTGCTGACGAGGTCTCTTGGTTGGGAAACTGCCGTTGGTGGTGTTACGGGTGACGTTTTATTTTGCTGAGTCAGTGAGTGGACCTGGACTGCTTTCCGCTTCCGTTTTTTCATTTGTCGAGTGGACGACATCCTCTAGCTTCTTTCCCGTTCCGATGCTCCAGTTTCCTGGGAGTAACTATCAATCTGTGGGAGTTGCAGCTGCGGAGGTTTGCTTGCCGTCCAGCTGTACAGTTTTGACCAAAACTGCATTTCTGCCCTGCCTTCATCATCACCAGCTGTGCTGTTTTGGCTGAACTACAAGGCTGCCTATGACAACTGGAACGAACAGCGGATGGCTCTGCATAAGGACATCCACGTGGCTACGAAGGAGGTGGTGGATATGCTGCCTGGAATCCAGCAGACCTCTGCCCAGGCCTTCGGGACGCTCTTCCTGCAGCTCACCGTCAATGATCTGGGGATTTGCCTGCCAATCACAACCGCGGCACAGGTACAGAAGGAGCCCGGCAGTTCTGCTGCCGTTTCCAGGGCTGTGGTGCACCACAGTGCATTTGCTAGGAGAACCATTTCTAGTCTCAGCCTAGTAAACAGCAAGTATGATTGAACTTCCCCAGTGAATCTTCATTCATTCGAACCCCCTGAGATCGGTCTCTGATGGCTCTGCTGGGCCTCTGGACAGGGATGACATTGACACCGTTTCACAGCTCCTCATTTGACCTTGACCACTAAGCATCTTAGTTTTCAGAATCTTTTTATTGTTCTTGTTTGTAAGCAAAGAAGGCTTTGGCACACACTTGTTAATAAAATAGAAACAAAAGAACATTTAACAGTAGTAGTTAATAACATTTACTAATCTCATCTTAAATAGGGTGGGAAATTTCAAAGTGCTTTTAAACTGATATTTAATGGTGATGAGAATTCCAAGTTATGTGTGTACCTGGATAAAGCAAGATTTTTTTCTTTAGCCCTGGCTGGTGTGGCTCAGTGGATTGAGTACGAGCCTGTAAACCAGACAGTTGCCAGTTTGAGTCCTAGTCAGGGCACATGCCTGGGTTGTGGGCCATGTCTCCAGCAGGAGGCGCTGGAGAGGCAACCACACATTGATGTTTTTCTTCCTTTCTTTCTCCCTCCCTTCCCCTCTAAAAGTAAATAAGTTTTTAAAGAAAAAATTTAAAAAATAGAATTTTTTTTCATAATTTGGGACCACTTCTCAGAAATACATATTTGCACACTCATGTGCCTGAGAGAGAAAAAGGCTGTTAAACCCTGTCAGACCAAGAAGTTGCAATTACAGCTAGAGGAGATGCCTATATTTTACTGTTATGATTTATCTTAAAGAGCCTTTAAGCAGTTACTGAGTCAATTTGCCCTTCAGTACTTTGTTTGGACGCACTCTGGGTGGAGCAGTGGCAGCATGTGACGCATTTGGGCATCAGGTTGAATGGCAGTGCTTTCGTGGCATGTGGTTTGGACAGGTCTCTGGGGACCACTCACAGCAAGGCTGGTGATGCGAGTGAAGGTGAATGCTCCTCACAATGAAATCAGAAGCTCAAGTTAGAAGAATAGACAATTAGCTTTTTGCAAGTTTACTTAAAAACAATACATGGAAATGCATTTCACTTGAGCAAGCTAATTTTTAGAAGTAGGCATCTTTTTCAGCTGGTTTTTAATGTAGCTTTCTGGGCTTGACCTTTGATGGGTTTCTGTTCTCATGAACCCTCCAAGAATCTCCAAATGTAAAACGCTGTCACCTTTTGTCTCACTGCTTCTCTGATGCATCTGGCAGTCCAACCACGCTGGCGACCTTGACGCCGGCTCTGCCTTGGTGCTGACCATCGAGAGCACCCTCATCACAGCCTGCTCCTCGGAGTCCCTGGTCAGCAAAGGGCACTTCAAAAACTTCTGTATCCGCTTCGCTGACGGCTTTGAGACGTCGTGGGACGACTGGAAGCCAGAAGTCCGTGGGGACCTCGTGATGAATGCCTGTGAGTGTCATTTGTTTTCTGTGCGCAGGGTAGGCTTTTGAAAAATTAAAAAACGAAAACAAGAAACCACTACCTAATGTCTCCATTCGTTAAAGTAAAGGATGTTCAGGTATAGGAATATTATTGGACTTTGTAAAATGAGGGCTATTTCTATTTCAAAACATCGAAACACGTTTGTGGAAAACTGCAGCTTTCTGCAGTGTCAGTGAGTGAACCACAAAGCCATTCTTGTTGATGGCGCAGCCCTCAAAGGTTCACTCACTGCCTGATCTTCCCTACGTTGATTTACAAGTGATCAGGTAAGGCTCCTGTTCTGGGGGGTCTTGAGAGAAAGTGTGAAATGCAGTTCCTCACGTAACATAGAAGAGACTTGAGCAGCGGGGTCAGCTGGGCACAGTCGCTCTGGCGAGGATGCCATGGGCAGAAGGTAGAAGGCACAGCTGCAGCTAAACACCTGCAGTTATGGGGTAGAACACCAGAGATGGGGGAGAAGTACCACGAGTTGGGAGGCTGAGTCCTAGAGAAGCTTGTGGTCCTGGTTATGTTAGGTGATCTTCTTGGGGGAGAAGTTTCAGGACAGCGTTTGACCTCCAGTGCACTCTCGTTGCCAACCGTTTTGGGTGCTTGTGTGCAGGTGTGGTTCCCGACGGCACCTACGAAGTGTGCTCCCGGACTGCAGGACAAGCAGCGGCCGGTAGGCACACGTTTGCTACTACTCCTGCCCCCTGTGTCAGGGGCAACCCTGCCTCCGTGTGTGTTCTCTGCCCGTACAGTGACGGGGGAGGGGACCTTTGAACTGACTCTGGTGTTCCCCAAATTTCACACGTGTGCACTGATCACCGGCATGTTCCTATTTAACAATTGTGAATCAGACGTCTGCTCAGTGCGAGACAGACCGCACATGTTTAGGGAAGACAAAGATAAGTAAGGTGTACTATAAATAAGGTGTACTTTCTGCTCTATAAATTTAAGCTGTAATAATGAGGCTAAGGCTCTGCAGCATAATTAGATGATAGTATTGCGAAGTACAATGAAACACAAAGTTCCAATTGCTATTGACAGTTACAGGAGGGAGAGAGCATTTCCAAATTTGGAAGGATACTAGGATCAGAGCCAGCTTCATGGCAGAACAAGTATTTAAATAGCAGTTCACTGCCCTGGCTGGTGTAGCTCAGTGGATTGAGCAGGGGCCTGCGAACCAGAGTATCGAGGTTCGATTCCCAGTCAGGGCACATGCCTGGGTTGCGGGCCAGTTCCCAGGAGGGGACACAGGAGAGGCAACCACACATTGATATTTCTCTCCCTCTCTTTCCCTCTAAAAATTAATAAATAAAATCTTTAAATAGCAGTTAACAGATGGGTAGAATAGCAGTTTCTGAAGCAAAACTGGGAGGGGCAGGTCGCAAAAAACTGAGGCAGAGAGTGTCAGCGGTTGTGACTGCAAAATGTGTGTCAGTAGTGTTGTCCAAACTAGCGGGAACACAGTGACGTGGAAAACAAGTTTGGGAAAAGCTGAAATCCCAAAATAAGGACTTGGAACTTGGTTAGCACAGCCAGAAAGCCACTGAATCCCGAGCAGGAGAGCATTGGTGGCAGCGTCAAAGGGACACTGTCAGGAACCAGGGAGGAGGAAACTCCAGCAAACCAGGCCAGAGACAACCAGAGCCGTCATTGGCCGTCCAACTGGGGTGACAGCACAGTGCGCGTGCCCCTTACCTGGCCTGGCACAGAACCAGGGCGCGCTGGACGGAGATGCCGGCGGAGGGCTCTTAAGTGCTGCAGGCAGGGGAGCTGACTGACGTCCGCAGGCTTCTTTCCCTCTGGTCACCACCTCCTGTGCTCACCAAGACTGGCCTCTGTGCCTGTGTTGAGTCATGTCCCCGAGCAGCAGGGTGACAGGCCCCGCTGTCGGGACTGGAAAGGTCAGAACATGTCCAGAGTAAAGTCAGAAGGAAAGGTCAAGACTGAGGTGAACTCGAGTTTTGAGAGAGGGTTCCCACCAAAATCTTTGTCAGGACTTTTGTATACAACAAGCCACTGAAACGAGCTTAACCAAAAGGGGGAGCGTTTGAAGGATATTTGCAGACCACAGGCAGACATGGGGGTGGCTGCTTTGGTGAAGAGGAGGAACTGGGGCCTCGCAGAGTCCCCCCCGGAGGGACTGGGATGAGACCCTGCATCAGCAGGGCTCGGCAGCTCCCGTTTTCCCCCTTGGGGAGCTTCATTCACCCCAGAGGTCCCCAGGCCCCCGACAGGCCCCCGACACAGGAAGACTGAGCTCTCCAGCCCAGGGCATGGGTCTTGCTTCCCAGCACAGACCCTCAGTGGACTGGCAATTTGATTACTCTGCCTAGTGACAGGGGGACACAGCCACAGGTGCTGAGCCTTGGGGCAGGATGAGGGACAGGGAGTCCCAGCCCCAGGAGCAGCTGCTGCTGCCTGGAGGCAGCCTTGGGGCACCCTGGACAGTCGGGCCATGGTGCTGGGGCCCTGCTCCGTGGGCCTCTGTCCATTTGACCCCTGAAATGTAGAATTTTTAAAATGCGACTTCTCTGTGCAACAGAGAGCAGTAGTGCCGGAACCTGGACCCTCAACGTGCTGTGGAAAATGTGTGGGATTGACGTGCACATGGACCCCAACATCGGCAAGCGGCTGAACGCCCTGGGCAACACCCTGACCACGCTGACCGGTGAGGAGGACGTGGACGACATTGCTGACCTGAACTCCGTGAGCATCGGCGACCTGTCGGACGAGGGTGAAGTGGACACTGTGTCTCCCACTGTCCACACTGTACGTAATCTTGCTCTTAGACGTGTTTCCACCAGAGACGGGGACGCTATCAACTCAGTGTTATTTATTATAGTGTAGTTGCTAATTGTGCAGGGAGGAAGGGCGTGGTAGTTCCTGTGTTCACAGTTCATAGTATTGTTTCCAGTGCCATAATATGAGGGGAGACCTGAAAAATACCGGAGTTAGCTTCTGGAGGCCCCTTTAGCACAGGCTTCTCCTGCTAGGGGAGTGTTCTGGGAGCCTATCTGTGCCAGTGGACCAGCCGGCGGTGGTGGTAGAGGCTGTGTTTGGCTTCAGTGAAATTTTTTTTGGTGACTCTTTCATCGTGGTCACCCACTTCACGATGGGCGGTTTACGAGCGTACCTGCCCACACCGCGCTGAGTGTGCAGCAGTTTCTGACCAAAACCAGCGTGACCCCCATGCCCCACCCTCCCTATTCACCCAGTCTCATCCCAAGCGACTCTTTTTCTCCATTCGGATGAGAAAAGTCCTCAAAGGGAAACGTCTTGCCCATGTGGAAGAGCTGAAACGAAAAACAGCAGAAGCATTAAAAGGCACCGAAATCGGTGCGTGCAAATGTTTGGAGCAGCGGGAAAACCATCTCAGTAGGGGCGTTGCATCCGACGGGGAGCACTCCGAAGGGGACGGGAGTTTAAACATGTGAGGACGAACACGCAATTCTTAAATAAATATATTCCAGGGTTTTTCATACTGTCCCCTTTCATACTGTCTTTTAATTGAGTTCTCTCATAATAATGTCTGTCCACCAACTTGTGCCTTAACCTGCAGGTGACGTGGTGACATTCGAAGTGCTGCAAATCCGTAAAACGGAAAGTGCCTTAGTGGTTTCCTCGGGCTGGGAGCAGGGCCGGTGGGAGGGGCCCGGGAGAGACTGCTGGCAGTTGCGAGGCTTCCTTTGTGCTCCATGAAAACGTTCTGGGCTGATTGTGCTGAGGGTCGTATAGCTTTGTGAGTGTGTAAAGCCCACTGAGTTGTATGATTGACATGGGCGCATTCTACGGCATGTAAATTATGTCTAAGTAAAGACGTTAGAAAATGAAACTCAAAAGCAGAGTACATGCCCACAAAATATAGGCATTTAAAAATATGTATTTCGTCCTGGCTGGTGTAGCTCAGTGGATTGAGCGCAGGCCTGCGAACCAAAGGATTACGGTTCGATTCCCAGTCAGGGCACATGCCTGGGTTGCAGGCCAGTTCCCAGCAAGGGATGCACAAGAGGTAACTATACACTGAGAATTCTCTCCTTCCCTTTCCCTCTAAAGGTAAATAAATAAAATCTTTAAAAAATATATGTATTTCCATTGATACTGTACATTTTATAGTATCAAGTTTTTCCATAGTTAGAAAGACAGTTACTCTGCTTTATTCTGGTTATTGATTATTAAAAAATCTTAAGGTACCTTTTAACTATTGCATGATGAAATAGTTTTGTTCTGGGAAGGACATCTTTGAAAAATTAACGCTCCTGTTTGTCGTTCAGAGTTCAGATGGAAGCCCCGTCAGTGGGGACGGCCACAAGCTCACCTTTGGGCAGCGACTCGTAAACCACCTGCTAGGCCTGACGCCCCCCCAGCAGCGCCATTCTGTCCCTGCAGAGTATCTGTGCGACCCTGGGCCATGGGTCTCCCCTCAGTCTAGCCAGGCCCATGTGCAAGTGTGCAGAGCTCACTCGTGGGGAAACGTAGGTGCCGACGAAGTAGACTCCCGTGAAAGCCAAGGGCTGCCAATCACTGGAGAATTCCAATCACCCTGCCTACTGTAGCTGCCTCTGATTCTTGCATGCATCTTGATTTGGGTCACGTCTGAGATAGGGTAGATTTGCCGGGTGACCAGAGGACGGCCCTGACAGACAGGCCTTGATTTTTCAGGAAGCTGTCGAGTATCGAAGACAAGGCGCACCTTGCAGCCAGCCGGGAGACCTGCGGGGCAGGAAGCTGATGAAGCGAATCGTGGACATCAGGGAGCTGAACGAGCAGGCCAAGGTCATAGATGACCTGAAGTATGTGCCACTGTGTTTCGTGGAGCACACGGCTCCCCGGCGACAGAGCCCTCGGGTCTTGAGTGGGGGGAGGCTGGGCGTGCGTGGAGGAGACGGGCAAGGCCACCGCTGGCCGCTGGCCGAGGGCGCGCATCCCGCAGGGACACGGCTGAGCCTGAGGTCCTGGCCTCGTGCCGCCACAGTTCCTCGTTTCCCAGCAGCGTGTGACTGGCTTCCTGACCCACACACGAGCCTCCACACGTGCATGGCCGCTTACACGTACCTTCACGTGCGAGTGTGAATCCACTTGTCTTTGGTGACGTCAGTAGTTCAGGAATCGACATTTTTGACAGGGAAACAAGTTGAGGATTTCTCGGCATGTGCCTTTGACATGTCATCCCAGTTCACTGTCCCCAGCATTTCTGCAGGGTTAGGTGGCATCGTGCAAGCTCTGCAGTTGAGAAAGCTGGCTGGGGGGGATAAAGAATTAGAGTGTGAACCTCTGCAGCCTGAATTCAGTGTCTGCTTGTGGGCCTGCCTGAGCTAGCCCTTCTCCAGCACTGAGGTGGGCGCGGGGCGGACCGGGGGAGGGGTGTGTGGCCAGTTTGTTCTCTGCGTCTCCTGTCTGCTGCTAAGTAGCATTTTCTCTGTAGGGTTCTTCTCAGCAGACTTGAAAGTTTACTTTTCCAGAGACGATCAACATGCCTCATATTTTCTGATCTTCCAACATCTCTACCTGTGGTTATTTTGAATTCAAGGACTTTACATAAACATACATGTTTTTTACAGTGAAAGGGGTTGCCTGAAAGCTTGTCTGAAAATTAATTATGATACTGTGATTCACATTTTCCTGTTGACTTACATTACAGTTTGAGTTTTGTTCTTGGGTGGAAAAACTGACTTGAAGCAGATGCATGCTTCCTCCCTAAAACCTTCCTGAGGCTTACACTGTGCAGGTAGGACGTGCCTGCCCCTCCGCAGAGCAGTGCGTGGCTCTCACAGAGGGTCGGGAGGCAGCACGGGAGTGAGTGCCGACCGCCTCCTGAAACCTCCTGAAACCTCGGAGCCGGCCTTGCACCGTTTGCCGGTTTGAGTCTTAACTTCCTAGAGGGTTGTGGCTTGTTCGTACGTAATCTTTGATGTTCTGAAAAGTGGAAGAATTAAGAAGGAGCAAGTAAAAATCAGCTTTACTTTTTAACTTCTTTATATTAATTGCCGTATTTGTTTTGCATCCAGAAAATTAGGTGCCAGTGAAGGAACCATAAACCAGGAAATTCAGCGTTACCAGCAGTTAGAATCTGTTGCCGTGAATGATATTCGAAGAGACGTTCGCAAGAAATTACGGAGGTCCAGCATGCGAGTGAGTCAGCGCCTCCCGAGTAGGCTTTTTCTTTTTTGCTTCCTGAACCTTACGATGGCACGTACACTGTTCTCTCTCCCCTCCACTGCTGGTGACAATACCAGCTAGTCTGTGCACCTCACTCTGGCTGCACGCCAGGCACTGTTTAGAGCACTCTGTGAGTGTGACGGCCCAGGAAGTCCTTACGGCAGCCCTGTGAGGAGCTCGTGTCCTTCCCCGGTTAAAGGATGAGGAAACGGAGACATGGGAGGGGGGTCACATGACCACGGTTACACACCAGCAGTCCCCACGGCGCCGAGATGCAGACCCACAAACTGCCCTCAGCCAGGGGCTCAGTCTGCCTTTCGTGACCTCGCCCTTTCTTTTCAGTCCGGACCTCAGATGGGAACTCTCTTGTGTCCCTTCTACCCCGTCCCATTCCTTACGGCTCACTGCACCGTTCAGAGATTGATTCCCGCTTTACCGTATGTGTGTTTAGCTGCCCGTAGTAGTGTTTTAGTCTCTTAAAGAGCAAGTTGTTTGTCTTTGACCCCACTACCCACCACATTTTCTGGACTTTGCTCTGGTTGCCGAACAATTCAAATAAATATCTAGCTATGCTACATGCAGTAGAAAAAAAACCCTAAAACTTATTTGAGTGGAAGTAGATTGCTTTGGGTCTTGTGAGTGGAAAACTCACTTTTTAAGAAAAGATAAACAACAGAACCCTCCATTTCTTCGTCCCGGAAGAGGGTGCTGGGAGGCGCCCCCGTACACGCACACCGACCGAGGCAGCGCTGCTGGGTCAGAGCGGGGTGGGACGGGCCCAGCAGTGTTGGGCCTGAGCCCTCTTCCTGTGCCCCCCGAGTCTCAGACAACCTAGTCTGAGTGTCGCTCTGAGTCACTGATTTCAGTCAAGTGTAAGGTCCCATTTGAGTTATTCTCCACTGGCTTCTAGTGTTAATAAATGCATAACCCTGTACACAGCATAATTAAAGTAATGCTTGTGTAGTGTGTGTGGTCGCTCACACTCAGTAATGACTGAAAAACAAAACTAGGCAGGGAGGGTCGGGGGAAACCCGACGAGCGAAAACCTGTGTCCCTAACGCAGGCCTCCCTCGGCTTCCCCCCGAGTGTCCGGCGAGTCCCCCTGCGCCACACGCCTCCGCCGTGTACATCCCTTTGCGCTCCGCCCTCTGCTCCGTGTTTGGAGGCCCGGAGAGCGCTCCAGCCGCCGCTGCCTTCCCCTGCCGCCGTGGGGGCCTGTCCCAGCTGCCTGTGGTGGGACCCGAGGGGCCTGGGGCTCTTCTCCTCCTTCCTCGTAATTCTCAGCTCCTCTTCAGTCGTCTCCTCTCTTCCCACCTTCTCTCTGTGATGCTCACCCCGCTCCCGTCTTTCTCTCGGGCCAGCTGGTGGCTACTGTGTTTGCTGTACCCTCTCTCAGCAGACACGGGGGCCAAAGCGCAGCTGGCCAACGCTTCACTTCCACCTGCCTGCTTGTTCCTGACCTGGGGCGGCCGCCGGCTGGTTCACAGTGGCTTACACTCACCCTGTTTCTCCCCCACTCCATTAGGCTGCTTCCCTGAAGGATAAGTGGGGTTTGGGCTACAAACCCAGCTACAGCCGGTCGAAGACCGTCTCTGCTTCTGGGAGGCCGCCTCTGAAGCGGACGGAGAGGGCCAGGTAATGTGCAGTCCAGCCAGCCAGCCGGGCCACCTGCGGCCCGAGCAAGGCCCACTGCTCGTGTGTGGTGTGCTGAGGGTGGGAGCCACGTACTCGTGAAAGCCAGAGCAGACCTAGTGTTTCACACACCAGCAGTTTGTGACTCCTGGGCACTGTCAGATGGAGTCCAGTGAAGACGTTCATTCCTGAAAAGCCACTGTCATCGCGTGCTTTTCAGGAACGAAGGACATCACTTCTTAGGCAGGTTTACGTGTGAAGTTGCGGACTGTCCAAAGAATGGAAAAAGGGCCGGTTAGTAGCTGCTGCTCCAAGTGTGTCATTTTAGAAAGTGTGTGATTTCACACACGTTTAGCATGTGACTTTACATATTGAAGGAAAATGCTGGTTTACTAATAAATGAGCACTATAAAGTAAAAATTGTTAATTCTTTTTTAGAACATTTTATGTCAATGAAACATTCAATGTTTTCTTATGAGATTCTTAAAGTTAAGAAATGCTGTACTAAAAGTTCAGTCTTTGGTTATGGTAAACATTTAGAAATAGACCGCAGTGTCTTAAATCAGACTCTGATGAAGTCCAGGGTCTTTTTAAAAACAGGAGTGCTGATGTTTTATAACTCCACATTTATTTCACTCAGTTCTCGAGCAGGAGACCCTGAGGAGCTCCCGGAAATCCGTGTGGACGCAGCATCTCCTGGGCCCCGAGTGACGTTCAACATCCAAGACACAGTAAGCGAGGCTTTCTGTGTTAGATGCATGGGGCCAAGGGACCACACAGCTGTGACGGCTCTGAGATTTCAGAGCTCGAGTCCTGCCTGCGGCTGGGTGGGGGCTGTGACGGCCCAAGCAGCGGAGCGTCCATTGGGAGAGCAGGGCGCCGCCCGGCGGCGTTGTGCGGAGAGTGAAGACCCCGCTGCTCGCTCAGGTTTCCTGGGGCATTTCTCCTCCTGCTGCAGAGCCGCACCAAGCTAGGGCTTGTGCGCAGGTGCGACGTGGAGTGGTCCTGCGTTTGTGCGTTTCAGTACTTTGCACTGCAGTGTAAAATACGTCCAGACGAGAGCAGAAGCCAGAAGGAAGCAGGTCGGCTTCGAAGCTGCAGTCTAATTTAATAGCATCTTAAAAAAGTTTGTTTTGTTTTTTGTATTTGTTTATTTGAAATCATTTTTTGTGAGTTTTTATACATTTTCTTATTATTTTAAGTTGAAAAAAACAGTGTGGGCAAGCACACCAGAGTCCAGCTGTCCCGGGGAAGGGTACTTTCAGGTACTTTTTAAGAACAATGTAAATTCTGCTTTTAAACTAATTAACCATCTTGAAAAATCTTCTTTCTCAATGTCTTCCTCACATTTCATACTAAACTCAGACCTCAGAAATATTTTAGATAAAGGTTTAAGATTTTTTGAGTTACAGAGCTCTTGCATAAGTATACTTTAGCTTTATACTTCTTCATAGTTTAATGCTATTTAATCTTCACAATTAAAAGGATAAATCAACTCAACCAAATTGTAAACCAAAAAATGCAATTTTATTGGTTATTTGCTAATCCCTAATACAAAATGAGTATTTTCTTTTAAAAAAGGTAGATAACTGGTTCAAATTAAAATCAAACCTATCACAGAACAACAAATTAATCATTGAATGTTATTTCTTTTGAGTCACTAGCATAAAAAATGTATAAAAACTTCACCTAGAAAATTATTCTCATTTTTAAAACAGTATGGAAAATATGCTAGTCATAATTTGTAAGTCAAAATAATGTTTATATGAGCCAGATATTTTCTCTAAATAAGTCAGAAAAGTACAATTGAATTTTAAAAATGCACCTTACATACTACTCATATAAACCTTTGTCTAGATGTTGTCAAGCGACTTTTAGAACTTGGCACTTCTTCCACATGTGCCTGGCATTCCTTCTCTTTTATGCTCCTTTATGCTACACTCTCAATGTACAGGGTCCAGCACAAGTAACACCCCTGTTTTATTACAGAATCTTTTACCACAAAATCATAAGCATGTAATTCTGTAACAGGACAGTATTGCACTTAAGCACATTATGACATTTTAGGTGAAATGTTCAAATTAAAACGACAACTTACTGCATCCATATCACTACCCTGCCAACCACACTCAAGCAGGCAGTGGTACTTCTGCTGAACCCTGTATTTCCCATAGCTGCCCTGAAATTTAGTCAAACTGAATTTTTAAAAATATATGCGGCTTTAAAAAAAAAGATTTTACTTATTTATTTTTAGGGAGAGGAGAAGGGAAGGAGAAAGAGAGGGAGAGAAACATCAGTGTGTGGTTGCCTCTTGCGCACCCCACACTGGGGACCTGGCCCACAACCCAGACATATGCCCTGCCTGGAATCGAACAAAAACCCTTTGGCTCGCAGGTCAGCACTCAGTCCACTGGGCCACACCAGCCAGGGATGAATTTTGTTTGAAAACTACTAGATTATAATACAATGAGCTTGATAAACCTATCCTTTTTCTAAAAATGGACTTGGAAATAAATCATTTACAGTGAATAGGGTGGAATCTACCAGCTAAGTTTTTTTAATGGATATAATTGACATATAACATTGTATTAGTTTCAGCTGTATAGCATAATGATTCAATATGTGTGTATACTGGGAATGATTGAGTGATTCCTAAATGCATTAACATTTGAACTGAGTCAAGTCCTACTTTTATATAACAATGTATGCTGTTAATAAAAATAGTATATAAAATTATAAACTACAAAAGAGATCATTAGGCATGGTTAAATAAAAAATGAATATAAAACGGATATTTATCTATATAAATTCTCACCATAGTTTTAAAAATTGAAGATGCTTTGACAAGTAAAATTTGATTTACTTTATTTACTAAATAACATGTATCTTATCAAAAGTAAAGAAAAGGTGAATCCTGCAAATGTTTGAAGTTTTGAATTAGGAAATTAGAACTTCACTAGGTGTCAAATAGGAGCCGCAGCAAAGAATCGCTCCCCCTGCACATCGCACTGGACAGAGGCCCACAGCTCCCGAAGGGCCTCGGGCAGCTCTCAGAACTGGGAGTGCGAAGCAGCTCGCGGGCAGCCCCGCGTTTCTGTCGCCCCCTTCAATGCAGTGGCCACGGGTTGCAGTCCTCAGTGCCACGGTGTTTATGCGAACTGTTCACCCTCACGTGTAGGGTTCTTAAGTTTGAGCCATTGACCTGCTCATTCATGAAGCTCTTTGCTGTCCCCAGCCGTCCGGCAGCGTGCTCGGGGCGCCCTCCTTGCTGCTGACGCCCTCCCAGCCTCCGACTGCAGCGGGCCCTTGTTTCCCTCTCTCTCCGCAGCATGTTTAACTTGCGCTTCCTACTGATTACCACGATGGCACATGCTTATTAAGTGTCACTCTAGTGTTTCCTCTGTCGGTGGTGTGACTTTCTGTGGTTCGACCTTCCGCTTCCTTCCTTGCTGTGCCAATGCATACGATCGTAAAGCTGACCTTTCTTTCCAAAAAAGTTCAGAGTGAGGAAATTTGCCTCTGGGACAATTTTTAAATGCTTAAACATCTGTCTTTTTTTTTTAATTGAGAAGTTCATGATTTGAACCTGATTCCAGTTTCCCCTTTTTACGATCAGTTTCCGGAGGAGACAGAACTGGATCTTCTGTCAGTCACCATCGACGGCCCCTCTCATTACTCACCCAGCAGCGAAGGGTCCTGCTCCGTGTTCCGTTCCCCCCGTGTGCCGGGCTTGTCCCCAGGCGCCGCCTTCCAGCCTGAAGATGGCCGGCGAGATGACAGTTTGTCTTCTACGAGCGAAGATTCCGAGAAGGATGAAAAGGATGAAGATCATGAGAAGGAAAGGTTTTATATCTACAGGAAACCCTCGTGAGTAGCCTTTTTGTTTTAAGATCCTCGGGTGACATCTCTGAATCTAGGGTGACTGAGCTTAAAGCATTGCGTGTAGCTGTTTGCAGAAAACAGCTGTTCACATGCCTAATGGAGCGAGATGGGGACACGTGCCCGTGGTGTACTGGTGCAATGCGGCTCCATAGGGCGTTGTTTTTTTCCCTCCTCCTGTGCTTCTGCCCCTAATACAGTCGCAGAAGATTCACAGCATTTGCAAAATGTTGTCTCCTCCCAAATGCGGGGTGTGGTGCCCACACTCCTCTGCAGCTGCCCCCCCCGCCCCAGGTGGAGACTGCGCCCGTGTCCTCAGTGCACGGGCGGTGCACAGTCATAGCTCTCAACACATGGGTGTGGAATGAGACGTGACTCCGTTACACTTAGGAGAAGCTTCAGTTAGTGCGAGCTGGTTGAGTATTTTGTGTGAACCTATGAAATAGTGCAGTCTACTTACAGACTGTGGTTTGCACAGCACATTGGAGGGTAGTTTGTCCAAACTTTTCCCGCTTTGCTCTGATGTGGTGACCAGCTGTTCTCTCCATAGACATACATCTCGTAAGAAGGCCACGGGCTTCGCTGCTGTCCACCAGCTGTTCACAGAGCGCTGGCCCACGGCACCTGTCAACCGGAGCCTCAGTGGCACAACCTCAGAGAGGAACATCGACTTTGAACTAGACATACGGGTGGAAATTGACAGTGGAAAGTGCGTGCTGCACCCGACCACCCTCCTACAAGAGCATGACGACATCAGCTTGAGGAGGTGAGCGAGCGCCTGGACGAGGGTGCATGTAGTCTTGCCCGGTGGAAGCGCCGTTGGTGCAGTGCACCCTGCAGCAGCACGGGTGTGGAGAGTGGCGCGGTCGTACCTCGGTGTCCGAGTGGTGCTTGTGCGGCACGCTTTGTTTAGACAGGTGTGTCATGTTTTTTGGCAACTAGAAGTGGGTGTCTAACTTAGATTCTAGGAAATTCTTTAATTAAAACAGTTGCATCTCTGGGTTCCCCTCAGACCAGTGTGAATCTCTCCGTTGGCCCCCCTCTCAGAGCACACTCTGTTTTAGAGAGCAGTGCCACCTCGGGAGCTTCTGGCTGCTGAGCGTTGCTGGTTACTGTGACGGACTCACTGGGAAATGGGGTGGCGGGGCTGCTTGCACACAGGGGCCTCCGTGTGCTGGGTGTCGTCCTGGCACACCTGCGGCTTCACTGTCTGCTCTCATCAGTAGCAGCTGGTGCCATGAGCAGGCTGGATGTTAGGTTATCTTCCTGTCACACTGTTGGTTCACTTTTCTTTCCCAATGTGGAAGAGAATAAGAAGATCATAGTTGGGTGGGTGGTGGGAGTGCAGATGGAACCAGAGGGTGAGGCTCGCAGACCTTGAAGCTGGGAGACCAGCGGTGGGCTCCGACCCCACGTGTTCCCTTCTCCTGTGTTCGTGATGTTCTGTGAGAAAGGTCTTTAACTAGTTTGTCTGCCAGAGGAGGCTCTTCTCTTTTTTTAGCCCTCACCCAAGGTCATGTCCATTGGTCCTAGAGGGGAGGGAGGGAGGGAGAGAGGTGTGAGAGCAAGGAGGCAAACGTCGACCAGTTGCCTCTCGAATGCCCCAACCCAGGATCAGACCTATGACCTCTGGGTTTATGGGTCGGTGCTCCAAGCAACTGAACCACACCAGCAAGGGTCCCAAGGAGGCTTTTATGAAATCACAAGATAAAAATGAAATTCTTACAAAGGTAGTAGTGATGGTGAAAAGAGACCATTTGTTTTGGGTCGAACCCCGATAAACCACAGTAACTCGCTGGTGCCACTGTTTTCACCTCTGTAACGGGCAGCAGCACTCAGTTCAGTGTCTGTGCCCAGTGGGCCAGGCACGAGCCCAGGTGAGAGGAAAGGTCTCGGACTGCAGGGCAGAACCGGCGCCAGTGTGAGGGTCTGCGGTTTAGCCAGACACCCCAAAAAGCTTTCCCTTCTCAACCTCATCGTTGAGGGATGGCATTCCACTAACTGTGTAAGTGACAGTTTGATTTTAACAAAAAGAAGAGAGAGGAATGTCATCGTTTAGAAAGATAAAACACTTTTCTGTTTCTAGGAGCTATGACAGAAGTTCTAGGAGTTTAGATCAAGATTCTCCTTCAAAAAAGAAGTTTCAAACTAATTATGCTTCTACGACTCACTTAATGACAAGCAAGAAGGTGCCGTCGTCCCTGCAGACCAAGCCGAGTGACTTGGAGACCACGGTCTTCTACATCCCTGGCGTGGACGTGAAGGTGCAGGCCTGGGGGCCCAGGGCGTGGGGTCACGTCCCGGGGGTCCGCGTCTGCTCTCTCTCGCCGGTTATGTGGAAGTGGGATGTCCGAGCGGCTCGCTAACGTGTGAGCCTCCTCATGGCACATTGTCACTGCTCCAGGATGGCTTTTGCCACAAAGTTTGAGCAGAAAGTTTATTTTATTTTTTATACATTGACAGTTAGAACATGTTTACTAAGCCTTGCATAGTACAATGCTATTAAACAACTAGTTTTTGGATTCTAGAATTGTGGAATCCTAGAATGTTGAGCTAGAAATAACTTTAAATACCATCAGGGCAACCTTTTCAAGTTTGAAGAGGCGAGAAAGCGAAGAAGCGCCAGGGTCCCAGAGCTACCCTGTGAGCACGGGGCCTGGCTCCTCGGGTGCCGGACGCCTGCCCTCCTTCCACACCTCTCCTACATCTCCTCTCTCTCACTGGCGTGGTTTTGGCTTTGAAAGGCTTTTCTTCCCAATGCAGCTGCATTACAATTCCAAGACGCTGAAGACCGAGTCGCCCAACGCCTCCAGAGGGTCATCCCTGCCAAGAACACTCTCGAAAGAGTCCAAGCTGTCCGGTATGAGAGATAGTGCCGCCTCTCCTCCTCCTCTGCCCTGCACTGTCCAGAGCAAGACTAACACCTTACTTCCTCCCCAGCCCCCACCTCCGCCCTCAGGTACTGATGGAAACATGCCCGGCTTTTCCTTTCTCTCACGACTTACTGTTTGGTCATCGTCTGCTTGCTCTGTTGAGACTTTCAGACTCACAGGTTTAAGAGAAGAGGAAATAGACTTCATAATGGCTGTACAGGATTCACAGATGGGAGTATGAGCTAGCTACTCTGGCCTGTTTTTCAAACTGATACTACCTTAGAATATCAGTTGTTAAAATAAACTTAGTATGGTAAACACTTAGTTTTTTTGATTCCACATATTTAGAAAAAGCTCTGCAGTTCCAATTTGGAAGCGATGATCTAGATGGAAACATCAGACTTATACAAGACAGGGTGCATTAGTGTGACCGCATTTGTTATCCATTACTGCACAACAGATCGTCCAAAACCGGGCAGCTTATAACCTCAGACCCAGCTTTCGTAGATCACGAACTCAGGAGCAGTGTGGCTGGGTTCATCTGACCTCACTGTCCTTTACAGAGCCTCTGCCAAGCTTGGGCGAGGCCTGTGTCACCTGAATGCATGCCTGGGGCACATGGCTGCGAGCTGTGTCCTGCCCCCTCAGGCCTCTCCTTTGGACTGGGGAGTCCCTCAGAAGGAGTCCCTGGCTGAAGGGACTTACCTTGTATGGCTCAGCCTCAGAAGTCACGCATCATCCCATCCACAGTGCCTGTTGGTCCTGCAGCCCAGCCCTGATCAGAGTTGTCGGGGGGGGAGCCACTCCCAGATGTGGATGCCAGACCAGGACATCAGAGGCTGTTCTGGAGCCTGGGTACCACACTGTGTGAACAGTGCCCTGCCCACATTGAATTTCCAAGAGGGAATGGCAGAGTGGACAGTCATCATCTGAAACGGTTTCGTTTGGGAGATGGAACTTGATGTATAAATCTTTTAAAGTAACCTGTGATCATGATAATAATGCTAATCTTTTCATATAATTTTCAGTTGACAAGGCACATCTAACATCTGTGCCCACTAAGTGCAGAACAGGCATTATTATTCCCACTTGATACACGAGGGAAGTTAAAGCTCACAGAAGTTGAATTTACTTCCTAGGTTTACAAAACTGGTATGTGTTGTTACAGTCAGCATCCTAAGGCAAAGTTAGCCAGGCCTGAGGCAGCCGCGGAACTCACCCTGCTGACTCAGGAATACTGGGTTAGGTGGAAGGAGAGGCACAGCCCACGCAGGGATGCGTTGCGGACGTGTGGGTGCTAAGAAGAGCAAGAACAGAGAGAAGCCTGAAAATAATGGCATTTTTCTTCACTTGCCACTAAAGATTGTCAAAGTTCTCTGTATTGAAAACCTAACCAAAATTCATGAGCTAGAGCAAGTAGGAATACCTCATTATCTATGTCTTTAGTCACCTCTGTGTTCTGATGTTAACGTTTCGTGTCTGTCTGCCCACGGTCCTTATACATTCTTGTACGGTTTTAGTCATGTCAATAGACTGCCGTGAAATTTTGAGGTCTCAGGAAGTCGCCATCTGTTGTGTTAAGCTCGCCCCACGTCTGTCATTGTTCTAGCCAAGGGAAAAGGAAGTGGAGGAGTGAAGACGGCCAAGCTGTATGCCTGGGTCGCCCTCCAGTCACTGCCGGAAGAGATGGTCATCAGCCCCTGCCTGTTGGACTTCCTGGAAAAGGCTCTGGAGACGATCCCCATCACCCCCATTGAGAGGAATTACACAGGTGAGCGCCTCCTTCCAGCTCGCCCATCGTGCACATTTTGGGGCTCTAGGACTTAGAAGGATTTTGCGATTATCTACTATTACATAACACATAATTTCAGCATTATCTGCTATTACATAACATATTCAGTGATAACATAAAAAAATTATAGCGCTGAGAAAGAACTTGAGGGGTCAGCTAGTCCTCATTTATAAGTAAACAGACCAGGTCCTGGTGAGCATGGGGGGTTCCGCACGGCCACAGTGAGCTCAGGACGGTCCCCTCCTGAGGTCCTGAGGCGTCTCTTCGATGGGCAGTCCTTGAGGGCAGAGGCATCGCTGCTGCTGCGTTTGGTGCCACAGTGGGGGATGGGCTTGGGGACCGGAGCGCGGCTCCAGGGGCCGCAGAAGCAAGGGTGGCAGCGTGCTCACAGCCCCGAGTGCGGGGCTGGCCCTGGTCCCGATGGCCAGGCTGAAACCGGACCTTCCAACAGCAGTCAGCTCCCAGGATGAGGACATGGGGCACTTTGAGATCCCGGAGCCCATGGAGGAGTCGGCAGTGTCGCTGGTGTCGTCCTCCACGTCCGCGTGCTCCTCCTTCCCCGTGGACGTCGTGGTGTATGTGCGCGTGCAGGTGGGCCCCGCGCCCCCTCGGTCCAAGGGGCGGTCTTTCCCGAGGTCCTCTGGCTTCTCCCACCTGGTCCTCTGGCTTCTCCCACCTGGTCCTCTGGCTTCTCCCACCTGGTCCTCTGGCTTCTCCCACCTGGTCCTCTGGCTTCTCCCACCTGGTCCTCTGGCTTCTCCCACCTGGTCCTCTGGCTTCTCCCACCTGGTCCTCTGGCTTCTCCCACCTGGTCCTCTGCGTTCACGTTGTCTTTCCCGGGGCTCACAGACCTTTGGATGCACTGTGGCTGCAAGGCACCCAGCACCTCAGGGAAGCACCTGTGCAGTTTCATGTATGTGCTTTTCTGCCAAGGAGGGTTTTCAAAATTTAGATTTCAGGCCTGTGTGGCAAAAATAAAAATACGTGAGTTAAAATCCCACTTAAGCATGAACATCTTTTGCAGGGCGGCCTGTGTATCTCTTGCCCTGCTGCCTGCGGCAAAGGGAGAGGGCAGTTGAGACAAAGTCGCAGCAGTGCCTCTGAGAGTTTGCTACGGGTCATGTGATTGTTCTTTGTTCTTTCCCTCTAAGATGCAGCCCCATCAGTAGGCCCTTGGGAGTAAAGTTGGCATCCGATTGAGGCCATTTAGTAAGAGGATTTGAAAACTGCTCACTGGTAAACTTGAGGGTTTCGCTCACCCTCAGTTGGAATCGTGCCCTCCATCTCCAGAATAGAAGATACGGTAGCGGTCGGTCCCCTGCGCAAGCTGCTCTCTGCAGCGGCCGTTTGGCCAGAACTTCCTCCTGGTGCTTTGCGTAGCTTTCCAGGGTCTCCTGAAAACTAATGGCTGAGCACTTGAGAGTTTATGGAACTTTTTTCAATGCAAGTCTTTTAAAATTTTAGCATAAGGGAAAGGACTTCCTAGACTTGATTATGAACAAGGGTCTTTAATGATCTAAATACCTAAATATTTATCACTCAGAAAAGACTCCTCAAATACTTAGATGTTTAAAAGTGATCCCGTTATGTTAATACATTGCTGGATGCCCCATGGGTCTGTTTGCAAAAGCTAGTACATTAAACACAGAGTCCTTCTGTGTGTCGGACAGCCAGAACCTGTGGCCTGAAAGGGAAATGTAATTTTTGGAATCTGGTTGAATGTGTCTAACCTGGAGCCTTTTCCTCCCTTTTGGCTGTCTGCACCACAGCCCTCTCAGATCAAGTTCAGCTGCTTGCCAGTGTCCAGAGTGGAATGCATGCTGAAGCTGCCATCCCTGGACTTGGTGTTCTCCTCAAACCGGGGAGAGCTGGAGACTTTAGGGACCACATATCCGGCCGAGACTGTGTCCCCTGGAAGCAGTGCCTCCCAGGGTGGGGCAAAGGCCTCTGCAGGCAAGACAGGAGCCCCAGGTAAAGCTCCCTTCCTCTGTCCCATCTGTGCAGAGCCAAGGGCTACTTGACACTCTGCGTGGGTGGCCTCGTGTTGTTTGTGCTGACAGCGTGTTGGGGGTTAGCCCATCCACCCATGGAAAGTTTGGCCACTGGGAACACTTGGTCTCTAAGAAAGAGGATTCATAACTTTCTGCATTTTGAGGGGGGCTTATCAGTGGGAGTTCTTTTATTTTTTCCATTTATATTCAGTGTTATTTTGTATTAGTTTCAGATATACAGCACAGCGGTTAGTCAATCACATACTACTTTTACAAAGCGATTCCAGTATTTTGAGTGCCCACCTGGACTCACACATGGTTGTTACATGTTACCGTGTTCCCTAAGTGACTATTCTGTAACTACTGGTCTGCATGTCTCAATTCCTACACTTTTCACCCAGGCCCCCAACACCCCCCCTTCTGGCAACCATCAGTCTGTTCTCTGTGTCCGTGAGTCTGTTTCAATTTTGTTTGTTTATTTTGTTCATTAGACTCTACGTGTAAGTGAAATCACATGGTACTTGCCTTTCTCTGAGTGAGTGACTTCACTGAGCATTATCCCTTCTATGTCCGTGCTGCTGTCGCAGATGGTACAGCTTTGTGCATTCCTGTGCCTCTCTCTCACGGTCCCCATTGTCTCCTGCTGGAGTGCAGGCTCCCGCTGTTTGACTCGGGCTTGTGTGCAGTCTGTCCAGTCTGTCCCCCGCCCATTGCCTAGACCCCCACTGTTCTGCGACTCCCCTTTGGCTGACTTCCGGTGGCGCAGGGGGAGACAAAACAGGAAGCGGGGGAGCTGGTCGCTCACACGCACACATGGCTCTGTCCGAGTGTGCAACCCTGGTTTACCCAGTAAATTAATTGGAAAATACATCTAAGACATCATTTTGTTTTCAAGGATTTAAAGCTATGGATGAGTTTATGGTTGAGTGTTTCTAGTTTATTTTCCAGTCACGCTGGGCTCCTGAGACTGTTGGTGACAGGCTTTGGTTTCCTGCAGCTTATAGAGGTTTCTGGTGTCTGTGTCGGCTGCAGGTTCATCGGGCCTGGGCAGCCCTCTCGGCCGAAGCCGGCACAGCAGCAGCCAGTCGGATCTGACCACGTCCAGCAGCAGCTCCTCGGGGCTGAGCTTCACGGCCTGCATGTCCGACTTCTCACTCTACGTGTTCCACCCGTACGGGGCCGGGAAGCAGAAGACTGCCGTCTCTGGCCTCACGGCCGGGTCGGGGGCGCTAGGTACACCTGGCACACTCGCCTCTTCCTCACGTGACGGCCCTGTCCAGGCTTTGATCTTTTCAGAGTGCGTGATGCCTTTCATAATGGGCGTAGACCAAGACCAGAAACTTAAACATTTTTCCTCTTGGTAATATCTACCTTGTCTCTACAGATAAGTAAAAATGTGCAATAAATAGGCAAGGTAGATTAATTATACAAGAATTTTAAAACTCCTAACATTTTACAAGTGATATGCACAGCACAATTCCTTTGGATATAGGTTTAAAGTGTGTGCACCGTGTTCACTAATTTACAGTGAGACTGTGGCCAGTGTCACTGTTATTGCTTGACTCTCACGGGCGCTCTGAGCTGCAGGGTCACCACTGCAGGTGCGCGTTAGGCGGTTACATGGGGCTCTTACCTCACTGACGCGAGTTCACTTGGTGCTCACTTCCAGGGGTCGGGATAATGTTGTGGAACTACAGTAGGTGGTTGTGTGTGTGTGTTTTAAAGGGAATGTGGATGAAGAACCCACTTCCGTCACCGGTCGGAAGGACTCCCTGAGCATAAACCTCGAGTTTGTAAAAGTGAGTTTATCTCGGATACGGCGATCAGGAGGCACCTCGTTTTTTGAAAGTCAGTCTGTAAACAAGTCTGCGAGCAAAATGGACACCACGCTCATAAATATATCTGGTATGCAGTTTTATAGTTTTTTAATTTAAATATTGTTTCCCAGAATTAAACAAGGGCCTCCTTTTAACAGTGTTCGGGTATTAAATGCACCTATCACTAGGCTCTTAGTGGGGAAGGGGGGGGAGGAGCAGCGGTGCCGCCCGCAGCATGTGCTCACCCGTGCGAGGATTGTGGTTTCCAGGAGAACACAGAGAAAGGTCACCTGGGGGCTGGGACACCCCTCACTGAACCGCCCAAAACTGCTGCTTTTCTTCTCTACCATTGACTGGTAAAATTTCTAATTTTTTACTTGATTTTCAAATTGCAAATTCATAAAACACTAAGGAGGAATGAGTTAAAGGTGTTGCACACACATTTGACTTTGATTATTGAGAGGGGCTGCCCGCAGCTGCGGGGCTGGTCCCCAGGGGGGCGGTGCCCGAGCACTCGGCACGCACGTGTGCTGGGCCGGAGACCAAGCCGCTCCTGTGGCGCTTCCTGTGGGCAGTGGGGCCGGCGGAGGCGGTCAGGAAACGGGAGGACAGCGTCGTCCGCAGATTAGCGAACTGTATCGTCCACGGAGGACGGATCTTGCCTCAAGGGCTCAGACCGTATGAAACAAGGCAGAGTTGTATACGAACCATCAGCATCTCTGCATGTGCGTTTCTGTACGGAAAAGAAGTGGTTCATTTGGAAAGAAGTCACGGCGGCATGGACATGGACAGTGGTGAAAGGGAGGAGGTGTGGTGTCGAGAAATTGAAGAGAACCCACGAGTCTGTTGAGCTGCAGAGGGGACGGGGTGGCCTCAGCCTTTCCACCTGAGCGACAGAGGGACCGAGAGGTCACTAAGCTAGGTAGAAGATAAAGACTTGCCTCCCAAGCCTTCCTGTGGCAGGTGGGCTGGGCTGGGTGGCCGAGAGCTCAGGCCGATGCAGAGAGCAGGTTCAGGCACTGCGGCTCGAGCACAGGCACACTCACTGACATCCACTGCTGCCCACAACTGCCCACAACTGCCTGGTGCGTGGCCACTTCTGAGGGGATACGTCCCAGCTGGTCCCCACGAGCCATTTGCCATATTTGGGAAAAGCCCTGGGTCACAGTTGAAAGCCATCCCTGAGACTGACCTTCGGAGCCTCTCTGAGAATGTCGTGAGAAATTGATCATTCCAGCCTGCCCCGCCTCTCAAAAGGGGTGGAGCCAGTGGTGTCAGGTTGGAATGTGCTCTTCCCTCTCGTGGAAGGAGCACGTTATCACTTACTGATCAGACTGTGCCACACTCTTTGGTGTTTCATGACTTGTAACAAGTGTAACTCAAGTGTAGCTCAAGTGTGGCGAGCACTGTGGAACATCACAGGTCTGGGAGTCAGCTCTAACAGGTCCTCTCTGTCTCTGCGCCAGCTGTTTGTGACATAGGCTCCGCATCCTTTAAATACGACATGCGCCGACTCAGTGAGATCCTAGCGTTCCCAAGAGCCTGGTACAGGAGAAGCATTGCGAGGCGCCTCTTCCTTGGAGACCAAACTATAAACTTGCCAAGTAAGCTTGTTGTGTGATTGGACTCATACTTATGTTGCTTTTAATTTGGGCAGCACTATGACAAGACTGGTGGTTGAGAAGGCGCTCTGTGCCTTTCCTTCCCTCATGCAGGAAGCGTCTGTGAGCCCCGAGTGTGCTGGAGCACAGTGCTCAGCTGACTCGTGGCCTCCGAGAGTTTCTCTGTATCTTTGTAGCACCTGCAGATGTGGAAATACAGGCCCCGGCACAAATAAGGCCCCTTTTTTATGTCAAAATCTTTTATTGCAAAGTCACAAGCATGTAGTTCTGTAACATAGCACTATCACACTCAGGCACACGATATAACATTTTGGGTGAAATGTTTGAATTAATATGATACATTATTACACCCGCATTATTACCCTGCTAGCCACACTGCAGCAGGCCCTGTATATTCCCCCATGCAAGTCAGCCGTGGGGAATGAAGCGTCGAAAACAAAGTGCTGGGTGGGAGCGTGCGTCCGCGGTGCCTGCGCGTTTCCTCCTGGACGTAGACAGAGCTGCCGGATGAAACTGAGTGAGAGGTGGAACTAGCAGGTCACAGTTCCAAGCGGGAGACGTCGGTCTAGGCCCACCCCGCGTCTGCAAAGGGGGCACGCAGTGCCTCTCTAGCCCTTCTCCCAGTGTCCCTGTTGGAAGGCTCTTGGCGAACTGTAAGCTTCTGCACTTGCATCAAACAGAGAACCAGAAGAAATGCATAATGGGATTAGAAGTGGTAACAGTTGCAACATTCATTTTGTGACATGCTGATTTTACCATCAATTGCTTTTGTTTCTGCATCTTGTTAGCGTCTGGCCCAGGGACGCCTGACTCCATCGAGGGGGTGAGCCAGCACCTGTCCCCCGAGTCCTCGAGGAAGGCCTACTGCAGGACCTGGGAGCAGCCCAGCCAGTCGGCCTCCTTCACACACATGCCCCCGTCCCCCAGCGCGTTCAGCGAGCACCTGGCGAACAGCACCATGTCACCAGGGGCCGCACAGAGCCTCAAGTCCCCTGCGTCCGTGAGGTCCAGGAGCGTGTCGGACTCCTCCGTGCCCCGGAGAGGTGACATTGCCTGTTCTCACTGGCCCTCCTGGGCCCAGATCAAGGTCTTAGCGAGTTACTCCCAGGTCTCTGCCCCTCCCGCAGGCAGGTCTGACCTTGCAGGTCTCTTCGGATGATGGCGGGCAGGGGTTGGACAACCAAGCAGCAACCCCTGGAAGTTTCTGCCTGCAGAGGAGACAGCTGGGTACTAGCAGTTTTGGAAAGGGAGGTGGAGAGGGGGGAATGGGCCTATTTTAGTGTGCTCCATGGGGTGTGGTTATTTCGTTTGCTTTTTCTATTACAGTTTACATGCAGTATCATGTTGTATGAGTTTCAGGTGTACAGCACAGTGGTTAGACAGCCGTGTACTTTACACACTGGTCCCCCAATATATCTAGGACCCACCCGGCACCACTCAGAGTTATCACCTTGTCATGACTGTGTTCCCTACGCTGTACCTCACATTCCTGTGATTATTAGTCTGTGCTTCTCAGTGGTTTAGTTTATTTAGAAGTCAAACAAACCTACGATGTTATGAGAGAAGCTCGATGTTGGAAAAGCCAATCTCTTAGTACCCATTCGGTCAGTCTTTTGGTGACTCGGTGTTTTCTGAACTCTCATGTGCTCACACTCTACTTGTGTCTAAACGTGTAAAAACGAGCAAGTAGTTCATGTCACGAGGTGACAGTGCAGTGAGCGCATGTGGGATTCCTGATGCCCGTGTCCCCGTGAGACCCAGGAGATAGGCACACGGCAGCCAGGCATCGCAGAGTGGGCCCTGGCTGGCGGTCCTGTCTTGGCCGGTAGCAACCAGGGGTTTCCTGCTCTGTCGAGGAAGCCTGGGGGCCGAGTGCCCCGTGCTGCCACGTCCCATGCACACCCACGGTGGAGCGTGTGCAGCACTTCATGAGCTTTCAAGGGCACGGCTGCCGGCATCTGCAGGATGCCGGCGGGGAACGGCCCGCTCTCTGATGAGAGAGGCCTGAACACGAGAACCCCGTGTCCGCAGTTCTGGGGCCATGGTGATTAGAGTGGCTTTTGCATCGTAATCACTGAGTATGTGAATAAGTGTGCATTTGATTTTTCTTGTTTTAGATTCACTTTCAAAAACATCAACTCCTTTCAACAAGTCAAACAAAGCAGCAAGTCAACAGGGGACCCCGTGGGAAACACTTGTCGTGTTTGCTATCAACCTGAAGCAATTGAACGTTCAGATGAACATGAGTAATGTGATGGGAAACACAACGTAAGCTTTTCAGTTTAAAGAGATGACTTAATCGTCAGTCTTGATTTTTCTTACATTGTGGTAAAGCAGTTCAGAGACTTTTTTTAGTGTTGAAATGTTTGAAACAGTAAAGACAGTTGAGTAAAGCAGAACATTGCTCCACCCTGACAGTGCCTGAATCTAATCCTAAAGCTCCTATAAAACAACATGAAGTGTGGTTGAAAAAGAAAATTGTAAGTAAAACAGCATAACTTTCTAGTTAAGCAAAAAGCCTCCTCGTAAGTGGTAACATTTAAACATTTATCAGTTTTTATAGTCAGCTTCTTTTTAAACTTTTGAAATCATCTCACTCTTGCTGTAACTCATGATGCCGGAAGCCATGTGTCTCACTGGCAACCTTCTTCTGCAGTTGGACCACGAGCGGCTTGAAGAGCCAGGGCCGCCTGTCAGTGGGAAGTCACCGCGACCGGGAGATCAGCATGTCCGTGGGGCTGGGCAGGTCCCAGTTAGACTCCAAGGGGGGAGTTGTTGGCGGCACCATTGATGTCAACGCTCTGGAGATGGTCGGTATGTTGACATTCCAGTTTTTAAAAAATGACTTTGGGGAGTCGTTCCCAGTGGGCGTTTCTGGGAACAGTGACTGTTGTTTGTTTCAGCGCATATTTCCGAACACCCGAATCAGCAGCCCAGTCACAAGATCCAGGTCACCATGGGCTCTACAGAGGCCCGTGTGGACTACATGGGCTCCAGCATCCTCATGGGCATCTTCAGCAACGCGGACCTGAAGCTGCAGGACGAGTGGAAGGTGAACCTGTGCGCCGCCCCGGACTCGAGCATGGCCGATAAGAGGTACTCGGGAGGAGGGGCGCCTCCACACTCCGCCCGCTGCTCCGGGCAGCCGCCATGCTGGAGAGGCCGCGGCAGGCCCTGCGCTGCAGGATGATTCCCCCTCGTGCGCTCAGTGGGAACGAAAGCTGGGTGGGGAGGGGAGCTCTCCACGTGCTTCTAAACCGTCCTCTGTCGGGTGCCTGAGAAAGACTCTGCTTTATGTTCCAGCGAGATTTTTGTCCATGGAGATCTGAAGTGGGACATTTTCCAAGTGATGATATCAAGGTCAACCACGCCAGACCTGATAAAAATAGGAATGAAGCTCCAGGAATTTTTCACGCAACAGTTTGACACCAGCAAACGAGCTCTGTCCACCTGGGGACCCGTTCCTTACCTCCCACCCAAGGCCGTGCCGAACAACCTGGAGAGAAGTTCGCAGGAGCAGTGTAAGAATTAGAACTGAGCCCGCACGTGTGCTTATCTTTGAGCGACCGCGGTAGAGCCCTCACTTAAAGCCACGTAATGCCTGTGCACCACACTTACAAAGTAAGCCCTACGCTCTTCCCCAGCTTACTCAGCGGCCCACCGATCCCTGCCCACCAGTGGGATTCGCAGCCGTCCTGCGAGAAGTCACCCCTTCCCCTCTCCGCCCCCAGCAGCAGCTCCTCGAAGCCCCCAAACACTCACTGTGCCAGTCCCGCATTCCCCCCAGACAGTGGGCTGTGGAGTCCGAGGGTCTGCGTGGCCCGGTAGTGACGTGTCACAGTAGGCACGTCACTGGTTCCCCTCGGTGCCTCAGCCAGCACATGCTCAGTACTTTCAGTCATGTCCTTAAGCACTGTTTCAGGTGCAGAAGATCTAGTGGACAAAGTTCTAGCCTCATGAAGTTTACATGCTAATGGGAGAGACAGTGTAACTGGTTTACTAACTACAACGAAGACAATTTAGGTAGAGAAGTGCCGGGAAAGGGGCCGAAGCGGGAGAAGGAGATGGAGAGTGAGTGTGTGGGGTGGCCCTTTCCAAAGACGGGGGTCAGGGATAGTTGTTCTAGAGAGAAAGGTCGAGGCTGAGACCTGGGGAGGAGTGTCCTGGCCCAGGGGGCTCGGGAGGGGGCCGAGCCCCTGCAACAGGAGGAAACCGGCTTTGAGGACTGGTCAGGTGCCACTGTGTGGAACAAGGTGAGCGAGCAAGAGAAGGCTGGGCCTGCACTCAGAGAGGCAGCCCTCAGATAAGGGTCATCATGTGGTGGGTGGGCAGCTGTTGGAGAGTTTGAACAGACTTGGCATTTAACTTTGTCTGAAAATATTCCTTTGTGACATGTCGCCCTGGCCACCATGGAGAGGAAAGACTGCAGGCGGCTGAGAGTGGCAGGAAGGTGACCCAGCGCAGTGGCTGCCACCATGACGCGCACGTTCATACCACCTCAGTGCGGGGGCGCCCCCCACGGGAGCCCAGCCAGACCAAGGGGCTATAGCCAGGGGACAGAGGTGACACTGGCAAAAAGTTGTTAGGGTCAGAATAATTTTTAATGACTTCTTGTTATCACAGAAGCAGTACTTGTTCATTGGGAAAAAAACTAGAAAATACAAAAAAAATAAAGACATGACATTCCACCCAGAAATCACCCCTATGAACACCTGGAGGCCCAGACCCCCAGACACTTTTTTGTGCACCTGCGTGTGTGTGTGCGTGTGCGCACTTCCTGCCAAAGTGCCCGCCCTGCTGCTCAGATGTTTTCACCAGCAGCCTCCCACACTCCATTTCGCCGCTTTGCCTGCTCTAGCCTGGGACTGCATTCCACAGCTGGCCTAAAATTATCCTAAAACCATCCAAAGCAGTATCTCCGGTCCAAGATCACATGTTAATCCAGTTTTGTTCCTTTACCCTTTTAATTCAGCATAGTCCTTTTTTAACGACCTCACTTATTTGAGAAATTTGGACAATTGTCCTGCAGAATATTCTACCTTCTAGATATTTTTCAGTTGCTTCCCTGTGGCTTTATTTGTTTTGTTCCTCTCGGGCCCATATTTCCTTTCCACTGGAATTGGTATCAGGTGTGTACAGGTAGAGGGAAGTGTCCCAAAATGCCTGGCCTGGCTTCTCTAAAAAGTCCTGGACATGGAAGACAGGCCTGGGGACTTGTTTCCGATTAAAGGGAACTAGAGACACACCAACTATACACAGTGCACAGTCCCTCGCCGGTCTGGAATGAAAGCTGTGGGGACAGCTGGAAAGGACATTGTTGCAAGAGTGAGTGGGGACACAAGTCAGTGGGAAGCAGAGCTTCTCACACGTGACTGCACGTCCGAGGCCCCTGGAGACCTCACTGAACTGCAGACTCTGACACTGCAGTCGGGGGCTATTGGAGTCTGCCTTTCAGACAAGGACCGGGGCGGTGCTGATGGTCCTCAGACCTCACTTTTGAGGAGCAAGGGTACAAAAGAGTAAAAAAAGTTACTGAAAATCAGGGGACTGCGTTTGATTTCCAGTGGTCACTTGTTTCTCTTCACCCCTCCTCTGCTTCACTCACTCAGAATCCAGATGAAGGCCCAGCTCACAGAGCTGCTGTGAGACTATGGGGAGTGTCGTGAGCATGTGCAAGGCGTCACGGCAGTGTCGGTTGTACCGTCATTAGCGGTGGCTCCTTTTCTGTGTGTCCATCCCTGCGCAGCGTCTTTCCCAAGGCTGCTTGTTAGCTTCCGTGTCACAGTAACCAGGGTTGGTGGTGGTGGGCTGCCCTTACCCGAGCCCCCGCTGCCGGCTCCTGCCACTGCCGGTCAAGTCGTGCGTGGCAGGAGCCGGGACAGGTGCTGTTTGGTTCTCTTACAGTGCTGGACGCCGCGCACCACCGGCACTGGCCCGGCGTGCTGAAGGTGGTGTCGGGATGCCACCTCTCCTTGTTCCAGGTCCCCTTGCCAGAGGACGGGATGCAGTTTGGAGGGTCGATGAGCTTGCACGGCAATCATATGACACTGGCCTGTTTTCACGGTCCAAATTTTCGTTCAAAATCCTGGGCCCTTTTTCACTTGGAAGAACCAAACATTGCTTTTTGGACCGAAGCTCAGAAAATCTGGGAAGATGGTAAACTGGCATATTTTGAGCTCTTACTCTTTTCTTTCTTCTGATATGATGGTATTACCTGGCAGAGTGATTTTTTTTCCTACGTGCATATTTTGTTCTTTCTTACGATATTCCTGAAGTCCATCTCTGTTTGTTGTTTTGTGGCTGACGTGGCAAGTTCACTGCTATGAGTCAGTATCCGCGAACGTGGGGAAGGACTTACTCCTGAACCTGCCCATCGGCTCCGGTTCTGATGTGGGCATTCAGGTTTCTGCTGCTAGGGCTGGCCGGAGTCATGGTAGCCGTCACGAAATGTCTTACCTGAGCAGGAACATGTAGGAGAGTCTCACAAAGTCGGAGAAGGGAACACAGCCTCTTCTTAGTGGTGTGTGAGGAGGGGAGCTGCCAGTCAAGACTGAAGCGTGAAGCTGCGAAGGGCCGGACTCTGCTTTCACCTCTTATTTGGGGCGATAAACCCAGTTCCTTGCAGCCTTAAGTTCCTCCTTAGTGGTTTTTAATGATGACCAAAAAAAATGGTGGGTGCTCTTCACCTTACTGGGGTAAATCCAGTTATAACTAAAAGCAACATCACTTGTGACAGTTTTTCTTACGTAGTTACTCGTGCTCACAGCCTTTTTTATGACTTAGTTAAATCTGTCGCTCTCAAGGCCACACTGTTTTCTTGTATTAATACAGTTTGTTACATCAAGAAACTTCTTTTCCTCTAGGCTCGGGTGACCATTCTACGTACATCGTACAAACTCTGGACTTCCACCTGGGCCACAACACCATGGTCACCAAACCCTGTGGCGCTCTGGAAAGCCCCATGGCGACAATAACCAAGATAACACGGCGTCGCCATGAGAACCCCCCCCACGGAGTGGCGAGTGTGAAGGAGTGGTTCAATTACGTTACGGCCACGAGAAATGAAGGTCAAAAGTTTGATTTTTTGTTTTGAAGATATTTGTTTTTTTTCTGTTCTGGGCTCTTTTGACTGTTTAGCATTTAAGTGGAATGAGAGCTTTCATTTTTTCAATTAAACAAGCTTCGTTCTAGTCCTGCTGCCATAGTAACAATATCAGTACTGGGCTTCACTGCCCCGGGGATGCAACATCTCATGGACTTAAATTAGTTTACCTGTAACAGAGAACATTCAAAATAGAATTGGCCTACATAAATGAAGTTAAGTTTACTTCATGATGATTGGAAAAATATTTTCACACTAACGCTAAACATTTCAGGTTTGGGCAAGTTATTGCAAAGCTCAGTAATAGAATGCCACAAACTTAAGGTTCTGGATAAAGTAAAATGAAACTAAATAATATTATTCCTATAAAGTGGTAAGTTTTGGTGAGTTTTTTTCTTCGATTAGATTCACCAGTCTTGTAATAATGTAGCCATGAACAGTTTTATTTTATGCTTGTTTTGTGTTCAAGGTTACAGTACTGCTTTTACCAAATTGTTTTACTTGTATCGGAAAGCTGACTAGATTGAGACATATTAAGACTGGAATGTTTTACTAAAAAATGACTTTGCAAAATGTGAAAGATGACGGCCTGGGCCCCATGGAAAACAGTTACCGTGGCACAGGCAGCCCCCGGGTTGGAAGACTGTTTGAGAACAGGGGAGAAGGAAGCACCGGGAGCACTGTGCACGTAGTGATGCTCTTCCCTCCAAGTGCACGTTGTGGGGAGGGAGGGCTTTTTCGGGGGGGCTGGTAGCTACTGAACCGCTACCCATGTGCCTGGCGCTAATTTTACAAGACAACCATAATGTAATCATGGCACATTGGTTGAGGAAAATCAGGACTTCTACCTGATTTCAAGATCAGGGTCATACTTAATCACAAATTCTGTAATAGTGAAGTATTCAATGTATGGAGAACTCTGAGATTAATGACACTCTTAAACTCAGACATGAATTCAGGTGAGAATAATATTATTTTAAAGTTCAAGGAACAAAAACCAAAATGGATTGTATTATTGGATTTAATTCAAAATCATGTTACAAAGCTTCAGTCTTGAGAGTAGTTATATGTGTTACTATTTATGTATACGTGTATATATGTATAGATAAATATAAATCGCTCCATCGATTTTAGCACTATGTTTATTCATATAAATATATGTACACACCTATCTATATATAGAGAGAATATAACTATTCTCAAGACCACAACCCTACAGGGCTCTATGTTTTCAAATGTGAGTTTATTTCCCACCTTTGGAAATGATAAAAGTTCTTGTATTGGAGTTTCATGAGAGCTGTAGGCTTACCCATGCCTGTTGGTTTAATTTGGTGCTTACTGTCCCCTCGTGCCCGTAGAGCTGAACCTGCTTCGTAACGTAGATGCTAACAACACGGAGAACAGCACCACGGTGAAGAACTCCAGCCTGCTGAGCGGGTTCAGGGGCGGCTCCTCCTACAACCACGAAACAGAGACTATCTTCGCATTGCCGAGGATGCAGCTTGATTTCAAGTCCATTCATGTTCAAGAACCACAAGAACCTTCGCTACAAGGTATGTGGAAAAATGACCTTTAGTTTCTAACATTACTAAGAAAATTCTAAAGGAACCTCAAGCAACGGTCTTCCCGAAGGTTATTTCTATGATATCAATATAATCTGATGAGATTGATATCCTGGGTCAAATTGATTTTCTTACCAGCCATATGACTTACAGCAAATAATTTAACCCATTGTACCTCTTTCTCAGTAGAATGGAGGATAATAATAGGACTTCATTCATAGGGGTTTTATGAGGAATGAATGGCACGCACTTGACACTATCCTCACTCTGTAAATCACACACAGAAGCCGCTCCTTTCCCCATCGTTGCCCTCAGGGGGATACATGTATACAGACCCCGTCTGTCCCTCACTGACTCGAGGCGAGAGACTTAGGTTGTCGCCCTTTACAGTAAAGGAACTCTGCCTTGCAGATGCCAGCCTGAAGCCCAAGGTGGAGTGCAGTGTGGTGACGGAGTTCACCGATCACATCTGTGTGACCATGGATGCCGAGCTCATCATGTTCCTCCACGACCTCGTGTCGGCCTACCTTAAAGAGAAGGAAAAAGGTGCGCAGGGTCATCGTGTTTGCAGGTTGTGGTTTTTCTTTCAAGCTTCAGGAAAGGCAGCTGTCTGCCACTTATACAGGCTTTTATGGGCTGAGGTACACGAGAAGAATGTGTCTCCTTCCTCCAGGAGCAGCGAATGTCAATGAAGAAGTACCCATAAGTAATCTATCAGTAAGACCGTGGGACAGACTGAGTGTCCGCCAGGTACACACAGTGCTCCTTGTAGTCATGCCTCGCACCGGGTGGTATTTCATACGTCACACTGTTTCCATGTGTGTGTGGACATTATCGACGTGCAGGAGTTTCTCAGAGTAGGAAAAGAAAAGAAAACCTCTTTGAAGAAATGTTACTACTCAAGTGAAATGACTAAGGGAAACAACTGCATACTAAAGTAGCATGTTGTCTATTATTTATGATCACCAACTCAGAAAGACTCCATTATTCATAAGACAGTTGAGTGTTCGCTACACAGATGAGAAGCCTGCCCACAGAAGAAGCTTCTAAGTTAGTTGCCGCTGTTCAAATGCACATACAGCCATTAACACACTACAACCATTGGGCCGCACATTCTAAATGAATGAATTGTACGGTATGTGAACTGCATCTCCACAAAGCGGTGAAAATAACAAGTCGCTCACCTGAAGCCACTCTTTGGGAAACCTACAGCTGTCAGTTCAGCGCCCCAGGCCCGCTGTCAGATAAGTCCCCTTATCCTTCCCCATTCGTCTTAGGCCCACAGGTACACGCAAAACCTACGCCCTCACTCAAAAGTAAATGATGGCATTATCTCTGATTGTAAGACAATGAAATGACTTTGATAATTATCTTTCTCTAAGCAATATTAGTTATTGACACTCATTTATAGCTTATATAAAAATGCTACTTTTTAAGAAATGTAATTAAATGAGGCTTTGGCCAGTTCATAGATAAAATGACAAGGGGAGCCAATTATTGTTTGTGCAGTGATTTAAAGTAAACTGATAAACATTTGCAATACTAATCTATTATTTTTATCATAGCCATTTTCCCACCTCGCATTTTATCGACTCGGCCAGGACAGAAAAGTCCAGTCATCATCCACGATGACACCGCCTCGGACAAGGACAGAGAAGATGGTATCACTTACACCACCGTGGACTGGAGGGACTTTCTGTGCAACACGTGGCACCTGGAGCCCACGCTCAGGTCAGCAGCGGGCATGTGTGTCTGCCTGGATGCTGCGGAGCGGGCAGGAAAGGGTCACAATTAGGTGTCGAGTTATTAAATGCTTTTCACCAACACGCACATTTAGAAGTGAGCCAGTGGGCCCCTGTATAAGCAGAAAGTGACTTCGTGTTAGCAATTGGTATGCAGTGAAATGTGTTGTAACCAAATCAACAAAACACTTCAGTATGACTTCAGTATGAATAGCATATAAACACAGGAGAAATATTTACAATGTCAGTACTAAGGAACAACCTTAAAATATTGCCAAGGTCATAGTGCATAAAACTGCTTAGAGAATCTGTTTTGTATTTGTTAAGTCTAAGTAAACATAACTGGCTAGTTAAGTCAGCCCCTCACGTCAGTAAGTTGGTTCTGTGACTTTGAGGGAAACAGTGGGTAACAAAACTGTTGTATAGGCTCAGCGAGGTTCCACAACGTTGTGACGAAACGTTGTTTACGGACCTACTGTGTCTTCTAATTTGAAATGAGCATATAATAGTTCATTTGCCATAAGTACCTTCCTTCCTTCCTTCAGCAAACTAGCACGCGATTCCTCGACGTGGGGCAGGGCTGGACAGCATGGGGCAGAGCCGGGGTGCCTAGCCCTGCTTTCTGGAGAAGCGACTCACCCAGCGGCCCTAAGAACTGCTCTCTGCCTCAGTTGCTGCACAGGAAAAATTTAGAAAATGGTATTATGTGCCATGTAGGGTTGTTACGGTAGTGGCATAAGTTAATTAACACCGAGTGCTTATGATTGTGAAGAGTTTCAGGAGATCTGAGCTTAGTACCAGCCTTTCCCCTAATTGAAACAGTGGGAGAAGCAGCTGGAAATCACGATGACAATTTCCTTACTGATGAAGCTGGTAACAGACTGTGGTTTGGGTGTCTAGCAACAGTGGCTTTCCACCACAGAGTCCAGGCTGGGCTGCCCTGTCTCAGCGCCACAGACCTTCCTGGCAGGGGTGGCTGGAGCTATGCGGCCAGCAGCACTGGGTGATCACCTGGCCATAGGCGGGCAGCCAGGAACAGTCTTGCCTCGAAGATTTAGGGGCCTGTCCTTGAAAACCATGTGGCATAAAGGGACAGACCACCATAAATGGTTCCTAAGAGAAGGCAGGGCGGAGGGAACTGAACTACACCACTCCATTCGTTCCTCCCTTAGTGTACAGTCAGATAAACCTTCAGGAAAGGGTGGGCCAAGGCCAGGAGCCTTCCACGAGTGGCTGTTCTTCCACGTGGAAAGGACTACCGAGAACTGGAAGAAACAGTTCTTCCTTGGAACATGCTGAGTACACAGCAAACACTCCACATATTTTACCCCCCACTGTTGTGCCACATACATGAACTTGTGTTTTTTCAGCTTTACTGAGGTGTAATTGACAAAACAAAGGTATTTGAAGTGTGTGTCATCCTGACTTGCTATACATTGTGGAACGACTTCTCCCACCAAGGTAATTAACATCTTTTAGAGTGAACCAGATGTCCTTTAAATGTTTAAGATGGCTGTGGAACACTAGGCTTGGAAGAATCAGGTGAAATTCACTGACCCCCATTACTGTGTGTAGGCTTATTAAGGCTACTAATAATCACATATTTTTTAATGCTATTACAGTGAATCCAAGAATTGTGGGTGAGATTATTCAGATGCACCTACTGAAAATACTTTGTCTGGAGCACATAATGGAGGCTAGTGATGCTCTTGAACTTCCTTCAGGACAGTGCTGGGACACTGTGCTCCTAATTATTGTTTATCCTTATTTTAGATTAATTTCTTGGACTGGAAGGAAGATTGATCCAGTGGGCGTTGATTACATCCTTCAAAAGCTGGGCTTCCACCACGCCAGAACTACCATCCCTAAGTGGCTTCAGAGAGGGGTCATGGACCCCCTGGACAAGGTTCTCTCCGTCCTCATCAAAAAGCTGGGGACTGCACTACAGGACGAGAAGGAGAAGAAAGGAAAGGACAAGGAAGAACACTAAAAAGTCACTTGATCTGTGAACACATTGTGATTGTGTCCATTAAGTTTTATTACACTGGGTTTTTTTGTATAGTAAAATTATTTAAAATATAACTTTAAAATAATTCTAATTTTGTGGCCATTATATTGAAGGTTTTTAAGTTAACCTATTTGTTCTGTATACAATGAAGTATTGCATGATGTAAATTTTGTGGAAAACTAGATTAAAATATATACACCTGCTTCGTAGGGTTTATATTATGTGCAATATGATTTCTGCATCTCAAAACACTTTCAAAGTAACTGTGAATTTCTTGTTATTGGCCATATTTTTAGGAAAAATCTTGTTCACAATGTGATATTTGGTTATTAATTACTTTTTCTTTTTTAATGCAGACTTGTATAAATATCTATTTGTATATAGTTTGAGTAATTGTGATATGATTAAATACTATTAAAATATTGTTTGCCACTATTGTAATAAAGTGACGATAATTGGTTTCAGTCTGTAGTTGTTTTTGAGTTTTTTCTTCCCTGGATAGCTTTTTAAAATAATAGTTGTCCACCCTCTGTCAGTTACTGCATGTTTTCATAGAAGATAAGCAGTGCTCATAAAAACGATGTCTGTGTAAAAATGAGCTCGAGGAGGGGCACCCAGGGAGAGGCACAGCAGACGCTGCAGAAACAGCGGGTATTCTAGTCCCTGACTCCTGCTCAACACGGCTGTTTTTATTAACTCAGCAGCACAATGCAAACTAAAACCCCAGCCCTGGCTGGTGTAGCTCAGTGGATTGAGCGCGGGCCTGCGAACCAGACAATCATGGTTCGATTCCCAGTCAGGGCACATGCCAGGGTTGCAGTCCGGTTCCCTGCAGGCCAGTTCCCAGCAGGGGACGCACGAAAGGCAACCATACATTGATGTTTCTCTCCCTCTCTCCTTCCCTTCCCCTCTAAAGATAAATAAATAAAATCTAAAAAACAAAAACAAACGAAAAAAAAACCCTAAAACCCCAGTGGCTGGAAATTTCGTATTCCTTCCGGGAGCCCAGCTCCGCCGCCCTCCGACCCCCTGCGTGCTCCCCAGGCCCCTGCCCTGGGGACTGTGGGAACCTTGTGTCCACTGCGCCGACTTTCCAGAGAAGCTTTCTTTAGCTACTTTCGATCTAAGATAATATTGTCAGAAAGTCGCTTCATCAAACAAAATAACTGAAACTTAGTACCAATGTTAACTTCTTAGTTTTGATAGACTATGGTTACGACAAGATGTTACCATTAAGGGACAGTGCATGCAGGGGTACAGATGGATTACTGCAATTTTTTTTTGTAAATATAAAATTATTTCAGAAGAAAAAAAATATATGCTTTATCTGTAAGAGTAATTTTTACCTGTTCCTTTTATTTGAGCTTTTATTTCTATTGCCTGTCTCCTGAAATTTAATCCTAATTATGCATTTTTGTGCTTGGAAGTTTTATTCATCATCCTTACCACGCTTCTTGGCAACATTTGAATTTTCTCAATTTCTTGTGACCAAAAGCTTCTAAATGTTGCGAAGTAAAATTGTGGATTGAGTTAGATTACAATTATTAAATGACACTTCATCAAAACGACATAATCAACACATTTTGATAATCACTAAACGTAGGCTTTTACTAAAACGCACTGCTTAATGAGAAGAATTAAGCTGCTTTTTTTCTACCAATTAGCCCCGGTATTTGTGGGTGGATATTACTTATTGCTGTAAGGCGGTATAACTCCATCGACTCTATTGTTTTTTTCTTTTTGGGTGCAGTGATTTAACTCTTCAGAAACCTTGTTCATAGAAAAAGTAGCGCACACTTAAACTTTGTTACAACAATGTCACTCAAATCCTCCTGCCTCACGCGCCGAAACTTATTAGTAATTCACGAGAAAGACGTGCTCCACAATCCAGCAGCTGACACCTCCCCGAGGGCCTCCCCAGCAGTTCCCGGAGCGAAGGAGGGAAGACGCGGGGCTCGGCCAGGCCGCGAGCGCCGCCGCGCGAAGACCCGTTTCCCGGATCACAGCGCAAGTCTCCCGTGTTTTCCGTCAACCCTAGGCTCCAAGGAAGCTGAACCTCGGGCACTCACAAGGCCTTGTCAGCAGAGAACTGGGGATAGAACCAAGGGTTTCCTCGAAGGCGAGAGCACCAAGGACAAGGGGCCCCATGCACGGTTCTGTGAGGGCTGCTGGGGCATCAGTGAGCCGAGCCAGGGACCCTCCAGGCCCGCGTCGCCCTGCCTGACTCCCCAGCACTGAGAGTCGCAGCGCCCGCACGCCCACGCTCAGCCCACGCTCAGCTCGCCCGCCTGCAGCACGTGGCCTCAGCGCACGTGACTTGCCCCAACGCCCCGGACCTTTGGCAGCTCCACACCCTCTATTGGCTCACGCCAGGTGTAGGGGCGGGCCTGCAGCTCAGAGATGGTGGTGATTGGGTGAGGGCGGGAGCGGGCGTTGTCAAACCAGGCCACCATCGCGAGACCGCGCTTGAGGGCTACAGCCAGCGCCGGCCGCGTGGCTCTCTCACACAGAAGCCAGAAGTGAGAGGTTGAGGCGAGGAGGCGAAGTACCAGCACCGGCTGGCGAGCCGCGGCCGGGCCTCAGCTTTCCGCCCGCGGAGTGTGGCCGCAGGGCAGGGAGGACGCTTCCGGTGGGTGGGAGTTGGCGGGAGCCGGGGAGGCCACCCAGGACGGCGGCTACAGCGCCTCCCCGGGCGCTGTGGTTTGCTCGTCGCCCCTTCCCCGAAGCCCCGAGGGCCCCAGGCTTTCCCCGGAGCGCGGGTAGCAGGGCAGGCCCCTCGTCCCCTGAAACTGGTCCCGAAGCCGCCACGACGTCAGTTAGAGTTGCGGCCGGCGCGTGTGCCTCTTCGTGCCACCTCTCTTGCCGTTCACAGGCGAGAAAATGTCGGCCAACAATGGCTGGTTCCAGAGCGACCGGGTCCCCAGCTTTGCTCAGATGCTGAAGAAGAACTTGCCGGCCCAGCCGCCAGCCCCGACGGTGACGCCGCCCGCCGCGCCCTCCTCGGACAGTGACGGCCTGGCCCGCCTGGCGTCCAAGGTCACTCCGGTGACGGGTACGATGTCCTCCCCGAGTTCTCTCGACTCCGGGCGAGCACCGCGCAGGGGTTTCCGGGCCTGTGGGCTGGTGTCGGGCTGGCAGAGCAGGTCCTTCCCTTCCGACCCCGGCAGGACGCGCTCTGGTCGCGCTTAGCGGTCTTTAACTTCGCTGGAAACCGCCTCGTTACATTGTATCGTGACAGCTGTCATGTTGACGAGCAATTTTTTAAATGTATCAAACTGGTGCATTTCTGTGCAGCCATTTTAATATTCAGGATGAAAGGAAATACGCAATATTGTTTGCTTATTGTGCTTTGTAATTAAAGGTGAAAGTGCAACTGAATCGCAAGAAAAGGTTTGTATGGTGTGTGCAGAGGGGGCTGTGACTGATGGAACCTGCCGGAAGTGGTTTCCGGAAGTTTCTCGGTTCTACTGACATTTTGGAAAAAAAATCTTTGCTGTGGGGCTGTCTTACATGTTGGAAGATGTTTAGCCACAGCCCTTGTCTGTGGCCACTGGAAGTCAATGGCAGGACATAGTCACTCTGCTCAAAATATCCAAATCAATGGTATTGGTGAATATGATATTGTTGTACGGAATAAACGCAAGGGACTTGTTAGCCACCCCAACACCTGTGGCTGTGCCCCACCTGCCACTCGGCCTGTAGATGCCCCTCCCCTGGCTGCTCAGTTACATTTTACTGCTGGCTTGCCATGCAGCTCAGGTGTGTCTTCCCAGGGCCAGGTGAGGCTGTGGCCCCTTCCAGGAGGGGCCTGGACCCACATGTCTGTGTTCCAGAGGTCACTCGGCAGAGCGTGCTGTGTGCAGCGGAGACAAACACCCGTTAACAGTTCTGCTGAATTCAGTGTGGAAGACAATACGCAGTAGTTGGGAACCCAGAGATGCAGGCCTAGCTCCAGGTCTGTGTCTGCTCCGTTCTCGGTGTCGGTGGCGCCCTTCGTACAAAGGGCTTGGAGAGCCTCTGCAGACCTTGGCATCCTTGCAATCCCGCAGTGCTTCATCGCTGGTAACGGGGTGATAGCCCTTCTTTGCAAACTAGTTTCAGGGCTCTGGAAGTGTATCTAGTGTTCAAAGCGACAGGTTGCAATGGTTGTTTGCACCAGATTGCTGAGCAGACACTTGGATGTAATGAAATGAAAAACACACAAGACTAAGCGTGTCAGGGACAGTCTTCCACTTTAGAGGAAAGACTAGTGCTTTTGCTCACTTTTTTTTTAATTTACCAAATTGACAAGCATAACCTTTGTTTTTAGGTAATTTTCCAGAACCGTTGCTTTCCAAAGGTCTTTCATCTATTTCAAACCCAGTCCTTCCTCCAAAAAAAATACCTAAGGAGTTTATAATGAAATACAAGCGTGGAGAGATTAATCCCGTGTCGGCCTTGCACCAGTTTGCACAGATGCAGCGGGTTCAGCTTGACCTTAAGGAAACAGTAACAACAGGCAAGTGAAAGCCGAGTCTGCTTATTACAGGAGGGGAAACTTTTTCTATTACAAGCAGCATGCAAATGGTGCACATTTGACTATTTTCTGTATTCCCGTAATGTTACGGCCAGATAACTACTAGTATCTTTTACTGGTATATTTCAGAAAATTTGCATTAATATTTAGCCTTTTGAGAATCAAAATAACTGAAAATACTTATAATCATAGCATTTAATTTTCCTGTGTATAGCTTGTTGGACTGAAATCTCATCAGCCTCGTGTGTTATTCTCAGTTGTAAATACTTGTAGAATAAAGATAGTTTTTAGGGACATTAAATATTTGGATTATGATTATCTCATGAACTAGATTCTGTGAGGTTGATGCCTAACAAAAATTATGGTCAAATTTGGCTTCTGAAATTCAGGAATAACAGGTCAAAAAAGCATATAGTCGTTTGCAGACCTGTCTGTGACTGTTCCTCTCAGTTGTCTCAAAACTGCCTCGCCCAGCAGCCTCTGTCACCACGCTGTGCCTGTGGAGGCCACGGGCGTGCAGACCAGCCACAGGTGGAAAGCAGCTTCTGATCGTGTCACCTGTGCCGAGTGCCCAGGAAGCACTTCAGGAGAGTGGAGGGATAAGAGACGTGCTCCTGAGAGGTGCCGACAGTCTTTGAAACTGAGTACACGCGTGTGTGTTCCCTCTGGGCAGATGGGGTCTGGGTGTGGAAGGGAGTTTTCCCAGGTCCGTCACTGTTGGTCGGACTACTTCATGTGGTCAGTACCAGGGGCTCACTTTCTGTGTAACCAGCTGGCTTTCCTCCATTCTTCTCAGGCTGCCCTTGGGAAAGGTAAACTGTGGCTCACAAGGAAGAAAAAATTGATTGGGGTACATCTTCCCTGAGCTGAGCAAAAACTGCTTAAAACACCACCCCCTGATTGAGAGTGGAGTACCAGTCGATCGCTCTGATTCAGTGGGTTTGGTGG